TACACGGATGCTTCAGCAGACGCACCGGGCATGTCCTCAAGGCTCGTGGGACGCGGCCTTCCACGATGACCTATTTGTAGGCGAGGCCGTGCTTCTCAGCTGGCAGCGCTGGGTCTGATTGCATAGACAGGACGGACCTCCAAGGGCCTTCGTCGACGCCGGACAAGCCACTGACTCCATGTTTCACAAATAGCCTTTATCCATGCGTACTCGTCGATGTTTCCACTGCTTTGACCAGCAGCAACCTCAAAGCGCTGCCGATCGGGGTCCCATGAAAGCCTGTAATCGCCTGCGTCTTCAGCTACCCATCGGCGTTGCAACTTGAGGGCGTTATCTCTCCATCCAGGCTGCTCATCCACGACAACTAGGATCAGGTTCGTGCAAGGGGCCGCCTCTAACATATCCTCGAAGACGGAGGTATCTTCCAAGCCAGTGGGGCGAGGAGGGAAGGTACCTTGGGCGCGAAGAAAGGATTCCGACACAGCGAGACGGGCAATAGCTGAACGTATCAGCGGGCCTCCGCCGGTGTCCCATATTAGGTCCTCCCACTCACATACAAAGGCTCTTGCTTTGTCTGGTTCAATGTAGAGCGTATCGCGACTTTGGTCGAACGGCCGCGCGTATCCAGAGCCCTGGCGGTTCGCGCAAGGACGCATCCCCGTTTGAGTCATTCAGGACAAGGCAGCGCAACGAGATTCCCGACAGATAGCGGCAAGATGCATTGGAACGCGAACTTTGTCCAACAAGTGTGGATCAAAGTCCGCGCGCACAACCTTTTGACCGGCGATATACGCTTCGTCAGGTTCGGAGACGTCAAAGAGTCGCAGACAAGCCCGCCTGTAGGGCAGCAAGATTGGCCCGTCGGCTTCGCGCAGCGAGATGTGCCATATGTGAATTCGTATCTCCGGTGGGAGTTTGCCGAATAGTAAAAAAGAGCGGCAAGCCGCCGTTTCCTTGCTTTCTGCGGCCTGGCCATCATCTGGGCAGGTGGTGTATGGCTGGGTCGGAGGGAACCTCGGATCTAGACTGTCCACTCCATGGTGCGTTGGGCCTTCGCTTGGAGCCGCTTCGGGCAACAATGAAGGGCTGGATGGCATGCTGATTGAAGAGCTACCTCCGGAGTCGCGGGGCGATCGTGAGTCAAGAGATCACGAGAGTCATCGAGGATCAACGAGAGGAAAGAAGAGGGGAGACGAAAGAAAGTGGGAAGAGGGGTAAACAGCGCGACATGCCGCCGGGGAAAGAGGCTTTTTGATAGGCAGGCGGCGGGCATCTGGGCCTCCTACTTGCCCGCATGATTGGCCAAGGAGCAAGCAGGCGAGGCAGCCGCTTCTCCGTAGAAGCGCTTGAGAGAGCTGACTCCGCCATGACACGCAGATGCCGGGCGGAAGAGTGTTGGTCGCAAACTCATCATGTGCGACGCCTCGTTTCACCGATCAAGCCCTGGTCAAACCCTGGTCACGGCAGCCACCGCTCAATCCAAGCTGACCGGCATCATCCAACGACAAGCTCATGACGCGCACTGCATCAATGTGCAACGGTCATCCGCTAGAAGGGGGAGGAAGTTCGTCGGAATCGATCTTGGGAGAGTCGGGGAAGTGGCGGGGCCATCGGGCGGCTTGCATGGGCGATGTCCGGATGTCTCTATGCGGCGACACTCGGTGAAAATGGGTAGGCGTGCTTCGTTCAACGGAAAGCTTGACGCACGCTGGATGAGGTTGGCGACGGCAGGATCGTGAGCGTGTCTTGACGCGGATGGTCGAGGGAGTCGCGGCACCATTTGCGCCGCGATGACCAATGGCGTGCAGCCATGCAGGGTGGCTGCCAGCCGCCCCTCCTCTTGCGCTGCAGAGATGCCTGGCTCACCCAGGACGTGCGAACACACCAGCATGGCTCACCCGGCTCACCCAAAGTCGCGCGATTGGCAGGCGCGCCGGAGCTTCTGGCGCATCTGCCACAGAGTCCCTTCGCCAGCAGAGAGCCACTCGAACCCTCCATCCTGCCGCGACCCGAGGCCCCCGTCAAACCCTTTGTATAAGAGCTCACATCAGCGAGTTGTGTGCATGCAGCCATAAAGTGCACATACGCGTTAGGTCTCGCGAAAAATTGCGCCATCACTATTTGAGCTGGTACCTTCTTATGAGGGTTTTGGCCACTGATCAGCTCAGTGCCTGCCGCTGGGGATGCCACACTGGATGCTCAAACACGAACAGCGCATTTATCAACCCCTGTGACGAGGGAACTAGCTGAATCCATTTCCAGGCGTTGCTGGTGCCACTACGAGTCAAGGCCTCTACCGACCTTCGAGTGATCTGGCACATATTGGCGTCGCTCCCACTCCTGTTGCTGCACGAGAATGCCCACTTTTCGCACCTAATGGTCCTCATATCTAAACGCGGAGCCCTTTGTGGCCCTGTCAACAATGCCCATGCCCATAGTCACAAAAACTCTACATCATGGCCGCCGAGTCTAGTATTTCCGGCACGGCTCAGAATTTCGGAAGGCAGAGAACCCTCAAAGCCTTCACTCACGCGCTTGCTCAAAACATAACAAAGTCCCACATAATTATGGACGACATCCAATCAATCTCACCGTTGACGAGTGATGCCCCACTTTCTGATTCCATTTCAATCATGCCTTCACAAGAAGACAGTCAACCGCGCCAAGACCCTCCACTGCATTGCCATGTCATCGTCTCGACGATGAATCCAGCGGCGGGACGAGGGCGCCGCATGGCCAAAGGCAAAAACCGCGCCCAGTGTCCCTTTTCGGTGGTGACAGTGTCGACCAAGCGGAAGCGAAAGCGCGACACTCGAGAAACCGAGCAAGAGCTATTGCAAAGATCGCCCTTCCAGCCCAAGGGAAGGTTTTTGACGCATGACACAATGGACTTGGCGTATATCGTCGAGCCGCATAAGCGGTGGTCTGACATGACACGCTACAACAGCTTTGTTTGTAAGACTCCCAACAGTGCATTCTCTGGCGATCAGAATGATAACAATGAAGCACCTTCAGTGAACAGCGTGAAGTACTACAATGAAGATTTTGTTTATGTGGCGACCGATCGGGCCATCGCACAACATAAGACTAGCGATGGGGGATCCGAACATCACGGCTTGCTCCAGCTCTCCGACTGCTGGGTGGCCAAAATACTTGAGATCAGGGCGCGGGATCAACACCACGTCTATGCTCGTATTTGCTGGATGTACTCACCGAACGACTTGCCTTCCAAGGCACTCGACAACAACAAGCTGGTATCAGGACGCCAAGCTTACCATGGACAAAACGAGTTAATAGCGTCCAACCACAGTCAGCTGTCTCTCCTATCTAATGCGAACCGTCACTAACTGAGAGCCAGTGGATATCATCGAGGCTGTCAGTGTTGTTATGCGCGCTCAAGTCAGGCAGTGGGTGGAGTCGGACGATGAAGCGGTGCAAGATTCGCTGTACTGGCGGCAAGCATTTGACTGTCGAACGTCTGAGCTCTCGGTATGACCTACGGGATCCCATCTACATATGGCAAAAGGCTAATCTTTCGGTGCTAGACTGTCGATCTCACATGTTATTGCAAAATGCCTGCCAATCCGGACAAAATATTGATTGGCTGCTCAAATCCAAGTTGCGATCAATGGCTTCATTACGAGTGTCTTCTGCATGCCTGTCTCATGAGTGTCTACGAGCAGCTGGGCACAGACAAGCCGCATAAGACAGAGTTGGCATCGAAGGGGCAAACTGTGGTAAACCCACAGCCAGACGTACAAGCAAACATAGCAGCAAAGGAGGCCGACACGACAAAGCCAGCTGCTGGTGAGAAAGAGAGTGAGAAGCCTTACTCAAAGTTAGAGTGCACAAACGGCCTCACATTACAGCCAGCCGGTACACCGGATATTGCAACAGAAGTCATGGAAGTGGCGCACGACAAGCTTAATCAGTCGGAACATATAACGGAATCGGGCAGAAAGGAAAGAGGAAATGGCGCGCCATACGCCGGCCTTTTCGATGCAAAGCTTCGGTTAGATCGAAACCATGCGGTATGGGAGGTGGCTGATCTGCGGCAAAACATCCCTTGCGGCGATCGAGAATGGGAATTGGACGTCAAATGTTTGGTCTGCGGTTCTACAATCACGTAGTTGGAATAGTCCGTACCATAGAGAACAAGAACGGTTGGACAGACCGGCCTTACCGAGAACAGCATGCCCAATCGAGTGCTGGCGTGACGCTTCATCATCTCTGTGCATTTATTTTGCGGCATTGTTGTTGAATCGCATAGGCCGCACGTAAAAGTTTGCAGGCAGTCCAGCACTGACTTGTGGTTCCTTTCTAATGTTCTCGGGAGCATGAGATGTCTACTCCCGCCACCAGTAAAACGTCGGGCTTCTGTCCCCTCAAACCCACGGTAATGTCGAATGATTGGCTGAGATCATCTGGAGAGTAGCGCGAGCCATAGAAAGGAACCGCCATCTCTGGGCGATGAGTCGTGAGAGCCCAAGTGTGGACATTTAAGGCAAGTCAAGAATGAATTCAACCGTGACGAGTTGCCAGCGGGCAGCATGCATGATGATCTAGAAATGCACGCATATGGAATGTAGGTGGCGAACCGCTGGACTTGCGTCGTACGAATCTCTCAATCTTCCTAGTCGCTGGATCCCTCCCGGTCCTTCAGCAGCATCTCTCGACCTGAAACTTAATGACACCATAGCTACATTGCTGTGTTGAACGTTGAAATAGTACTTACGGGAGCTCTGCCGCAGCATGCTTCGAGCAATGGCGCGTCGGCAGGATTGGAAAATGCGCTTTGGAGACTGTAGGGGCGGCACTGCAGACATGTAGCCCTTTGGCGCTACGGCGCGTGGTCAACGCTGTTGAGGTCTTCCGTGTTGTATTTTTCATGTCCAGAAATTTGTACACGTGCCGCACCTATAATCAGGGAGTCTTCAGCCATGCCCAGAATCGTACGATTTGTATGGTGAGATGCTGACAGGGACATACTGTTTGGACGCATAGTCAGTCAGGTCACGACGGTCAGCCACATATGAGTGAGCTTAAACTCGACAACCTCGTCATTCACGTGCAGGCTCTGTTTTCATTAACCCTCGGGCTTGCTAGCCATTACATTGCAGGAAACGGGGACTGAGATACGTAAGTGCAACGCTGTGGTCGCCCAGGCGAGAGTTGTCGATGTGCCGCCGTGCGCAGTAGTCGCGGTGAGCCCTGCTTGCAACTCCTGATAGACATGCTTACGGTGCCGGGAGGTATAGCAGGGCCGGCACATGACGACCCTCGGACCATGATGGTTGAGACTCAGCAGGGTGGACAACCCGAAAATCGCTGGATGGCCCGAGAGCCCGCGACAGGACGGACTTATGGCCTTGTGCTCTGGATTATTCTGGCAAGAAGGGACGGGAAAGAAAACGTCACAAACCTACTCTTGGGTGTAAGGCAGCCAATCTTGCACTGGTCGGGTCGAGTGATATGTGCATCGGAAACTCAGTACTGGGTGGCCAGAGACGTGGCAGGAAGCGCTGTTGCTTTCGCTCCTAATGATCCAGTGAGATCATGCCGCCCTCCTTTCTGCCTAGCATAGCGGGATTTGGCGGGACTTGGGAATGTAGGTGGTCCCGGCACCCTGTCGCAACCTGCCGAACATTGCCATTTTACCCTCTTGCCGGGAAACCTGTTGGCCGCCTGCCAAGCAAGCTACACTCGCCAGCTATGTCTCAAATTTGCAACCAATGAAAGGCTGTCGAGGTGTCCCATGTTAGCCCTCTCGATGGCATATGATTGGTTGCCCCAGTGGCAGCGCCCGACGTTAGCGTTCGGGTTCCACCTTCAGTGGCGGAGGCCCGTCCTCGACGCCATGCAGAGGTTGAGACGCCATGTTTGGCACAAGAGATGGACCTGAAAGCTTGCCGGACTAAATAGAAGTAAACTGCAGCAAAAGTGGCAGGGCGTCAACGACTCTATCCAATTGTTGAGCTGGCGCTAAGGTCCTGCGAAATGTGTGATGGAACCTAGGGAACGGTACGACCCGCTGTGTGGTCAGGGGCGTGAGCCGAGGCAAATAGCTGGCAACTAGTGCCTCACTGCAGAAGTAAAGCTGATGCATCGTGTAGAGCATGCGTTCTCCGCCTTGATGACGCAACGAGAAAGGTGCGCGCATGCCGCGACAACCAGCCTGGACGACATTGCCATCAGTCAATCCTCTGCGAGGACATCGGGCGGGGCGAGCAGATCCATTTGCACACTTATCGCCCAATCGGCTCCACCTGATGTTAAGACATGGAGGGCGGCTCAGGTGGCGAGCTCAGGCGCTACTCAGGCACTAATCAGGCGCTACTCAGGCTGCTCAGGCGCTACTCAGGGTAAAGCGGCGGGAGCTCAGGAAAATGACTGAGAGAGGAAATTCCAAATGTCGGGATTCGGATCGTGTACTCTTCTGTTATGTAAGTACAAGGCATGTCGGGGCAGTCAGTACGAGATACGCAGAAACCCGCGCTTGCTGCGTCTACATGGCAGTACCCGCTATTGGTGCACCCGCAGTCAGAACTGGGCAAACTGGTGTACTCTATTTTATTATCGTTGTAGTTGTCTGTAGGATAGCACTTTCTAGAGATATACGCATTATCCGCCCCGCACGAAGGTTATGCTGTTAGAGGTTACGTTCGAATTGGAAAAAGTCGAGCTGGCTGTTGCGTTGCGTATAGCGAGGAACGTGAAAGTATCCCCTAGGCTCGCGAGATACTAACCGCATGTCTATAGCGTCCGCAGTTGTTGCTGTCCGTATTGTAGTTAGGGTAAGTGCTTTTGTATCGCGGTTGTCTACTATTATTGTAGAAACACTTAGAACTGCTGTAATGCGTACCTGTAGGACACTAGAAGATATGTCAATTAATACTTGCAACTTGCATAGACTTATATGAACATATCCATCGTTGCATATCGTAGTAGGGATTGATACGCATAACCCGCAATTATAGCAAGGACCCGTGAAGCCACCACCGGGTGAAGCCTTAGAAGTGTAGATCTGACCGGCGGTAGACCTAAAGTTATGAAGGCACCATTTCGCGCATATCGTGGAAGCATAACGGTGGGCGCACGGCGACGTCAGCTGCTAGTTGTTTAGCACGCCATACTAGAGTGTTGACTAGAGTGTGCAAGGGACTCACTAGCTATGAGAAGGCCGGATCTTGCTTCGAGGGCAAGTTCTGGTAGTGATCAAGGGTATCAAGAATACTGGCTTTTGACTCAGAAAAGTCCAAGTGCGATTGCCGTGGAGAAAGTTATCTGCGCAGTTCTGCATCACTGTACATGTACCTCCCATGCCATGTTGCAGTGCGCCCCTTGGCGAGTTCATCTTCCGTCATAAGGAGCGATTGGTGGCGCGAGATGGTTCGTTAACCGCAATGACTTGAATCGCATATGAGTGCGCAGTACATAATACGTGTTGCGCAGTTGGCCGGACGGTCGTCGTACCCACGGCCAGCCTAGCTCAATTCAATGTTGTCAACTCAAAACGGAACAGGAAGAGCATGGGCGGTTTCACCAGGGATGAAGAGCCAAATGGTTGTCCCCCGTCGGCATTCCCAATACGGCCAGGCATGGCTTGGTCCGCAAAGCAAGGGGCACGAGGACAGGGGTGGGATTTTTTGTACTCGTATCTTGATGGCGAAGCAGACATGCACCATCCTGGCGCACACCAAACACCAATACGTACCCCGGCCGCCGTAAGCAGACCATTTCCCAGCACACGGCAGACATTGGGGACACCTTCCTCTCGTGGGTTAGTGCCTCCCGCAATTGCAGAACCGAGGGCTATTACTGGGGCGTTTCGCCCACGATCGGTCGCGGTCTGGTCGTCTCAATTCCATGGTCCCTCGAGGCCCGATGAGCCGCTGTTCCACAGTCGCCGGTATTTGATGGGCCAACACCGCACCGCCGCGATCGCCTGAGCGCCTTCGTCGTCTTCAATTCTCCCCCATCTGCGAATTGGACGACCCGGCAAACCCCTGGCCTCCCGCGAAACAATGGTCGCGCCCGAGTTGGGCGGCAAGGCCATGCTTGCCGGCCATGACCATCCCAGCGACGAGCCCGTCAACATGAAAGGTGACGCCGACGATGTTTTCGGGCAGGAGGCCAATCACGACATCAAATACAAGCGGCTCTCCTGGCCCCTCGTCGCGATCCTCATGATCACCGAGATTGTGTCAAATGGAATGCTCTCTCTGCCGTCGTCTCTCGCCGTGGTAGGCATGGTACCGGGCCTGGTCATCATCGTGTTCCTCGGCGTCTTCGCCACGTACACCTCCTGGCTGTTGGTTCAGTTCAAGCTGCGCCATCCCGACGTGCACACCATGGGCGACGCGGGCTACATTCTTTTCGGGCCCATCGGGCGCGAGCTCCTGGCATTTGGAACATTGTGCTTTTCCATCTTTGCCTGCGGCGGGCAGCTGCTCGCTGGCCAGATTGCGCTCGCGGCGCTGAGCGACAACAAGCTGTGTTTGACGCTGTACACGGGGATATTCGCCATCCCGACCCTGCTCTGCTCGCTGCCGAGAACGTTTCATGGTCTCAGCTGGATCTCAATCGCGAGTGTATTGAGCATCTTCATTGCCGGGATCGTGGGCATGGCCGCGGCAGGCCTGTCGCCAGACCCGAACAGATCTGTCGACGTCGCGGTGTCGTCCGACTTCTACACGGCCTTTGTGTCAATCACCAACCCCGTGTTCGCGTTTGCTGGACACTTTATGTGAGTCCTCCTACCGGAAACACGTGGCTCTACTGGCCCGTCGTGGCGTCGCTAATAGTCGCAGGTTTTTCGTCCTCATTTCTGAGATGAAGGAACCCAAGCATGCCATGCGAGCCGCGTACACCTTGCAGACTTTCGCCACAGTCTTCTACGCGATTTTCGCTGGCGTGACCTACGGCTACATTGGCAGCACGGTCATGTCGCCTTCGTTCTCCTCGCTGTCCCCGTACTGGCAGAAGGTGTCGTACGGCATCGCAATACCAAACTTTCTCCTCGCTGGGTCTCTGTACGCGCATACGGCCAGCAAGGTGATCTTTGTGAGAGTGTTTCGGCACTCGAGGCACCTTCACAGCCACACGGTATTGGGCTGGAGCGTGTGGGCTGGGCTCGTCCTGCTTGCCAATGGCTTGTCGTTCCTCCTCGCGGTCGGAGTTCCAATCTTCAACTACTTGATCGGAATCGCCGCGTCGCTCTTCGCCGCGTGGTTTACGTATGGAATGTCAGTTCCCCAATTGAGCGCTCGCGGTGCTTTTTATGCGCGCGCGCGCTCCCTCCCTCTCTCATATGTTGCAGGGTGACACTTCAGCTCTTTGTGCCGTTTCGCTAACTCGAAGTCATTGCGCGCGACAGTGCCGGCATGTTTTGGCTTCACGATTCGTACCACGACGGGGGCGGCTTCTACTCATGGCGCCGGAAATGGTTCCAGGCTGCACTCTCCATCGCGACAATATTGACGGGCGGGTTCATCTGCGTCGCCGGTCTCTACGTCACTGTCCGTGCGATCAAGGATGCCTATGCTAGCGGCCAGATGCCTTCTCCGTTTACTTGTTGACAGCCTTGTTGAAGCATTTTCAGACCATCTGATCAGCGTTGACGTACACGAATACCCAATATTCATTATGAGACATGTCTGGTCGATTTGTGAATCCATTGGGATGGGCCCATCTGACGAGGGCGCGCCACAGTGTCTGTGTCACTCTCATTTCCCCATTCAGCGCCTGCTCAGAGCTACAGCGAGGCACCTATAGACAGCGGCCAGCAGTCAGGCTCCCGCATCATCATCAAAGGTCCAAGTTTGGGATGACACTCTTCCACGTCAATATACCTTTCGGAAAAGGAGGTATTCTAACTTATAGCCTCGGCCACTGAACTGGCAGCTTGCCAAGGGCCTTCTCCTTCCCGTAGATCACATCCACCGCAGACTTGAAAGCCTCGACCGTAGGCTCGTACACCGCGAGGTACGTCTTGATGGCGTCCTCGTCCTCCAAAAAGTCATACGGAGCGCACGTCGCAATCGCCACAAGCGCTTTGTCCTTACGACGACGGGCAATCTCGAGGCCCATCTCCTTCTGGTAGGGCGACTCCAGGGCGTTACGTGTCGCCAGAATGACGACGTCCGCGTCGGTCACTTGCTCCCACTGCTCTTCGGTCAAGCCGGTCTCGGTGAAGCGAATGTCCACTATGTCGGCGTTGTTCTGGCGAATGGTGTCGGCAAAGGCGCTCTTCACCCAGGGCACCCGTGTGGGCAGAGTGGCGTCGCCGCTGTCAACAGCGCCGCCGCCAACGGGAATGTTCGGTCCAGGCGACACGAACACTGTCGAAGCAGTCGGTGAGAGAGGTAGAACGCCAGATTGAGACCGCACGAGAGTTGCGGCAGCCCTGTAGACGCCCGAGGCCAGCTCGAAGCCCTTGGTGTTGAGTGTCTGCAGCGCCTCTGGTGTTCCCGTTTGGAGGGCTGTGTCCCAGCTGGTGAACTTTGACTTCAGCTTGCTCAAACGCTCCAGCGACTCATCGATCCGCTGTTGGGTGATCTCTCCGGAGTCTATCGCAGCACAGATGCGGTCGATGGCTGCTGCCTGCACGTCGAACGTGTGGCAGATCATGACGTTGTCGACGCCAGCCTGGAATGCCATGAGGGCACCCTCTACGGTGCCGTAGGTGGCTCGAATGCCATCCATCTCCAAGCAATCGGTCATGATGACTCCGTTGTAGTTGAACTCGTTGCGCAGGATGCCAATTGCCTGCGGCGACAGGGTCGATGGCAGCTTGGAGCCCAACTGGGGCATGGAGATGTGTGCCGTCATGACCATCTCAATCCCTTCGCGGGCCGCGTCCCGGAACGGGACAAGTTCGGTCTTGTCCAGATCCGCTCGCGACTTATCGATGACTGGCAAGCCGTAATGTGAGTCGACGTCTGTGTCGCCGTGTCCGGGAAAATGCTTAATGCAGGGCGCCACGCCGGCCTCGCGAAGTCCTCGGGCGCACGCAGACGCGAACTTGGAGACGGTTTCCGCGTTGTCTCCGGGGCTTCGCGTGCCAATGACTCGGTTAAGGGGCTCGGAATTAATATCGCCGATAGGCGCGTAGTTCATGTTGATGCCGAAGTGTCGGAGCATCTCCCCGGTAGCGACGGCGACGGCGTGCGTCGAATCGAGGGAGCTCGTGGCACCCAGCGACATGGGCCCAGGCATCTGCGCGGCAACCGGCGGCGAGATCCGTGTGACGAGGCCATTTTCTTGGTCGATGCCGACAAAGAGCGGTTGCCTGTGACCGGCTTCCTTGGCAATGGTCTGAAGGCCTTGCGACAAGGCTCGGAGCTGGTCCGCATCTCGCACATTGCGCTTGAAAAGGACAATCGCGCCGACTCCGTAATCCCGAATCAGTGTCCGGATGTCGTCGTTGATCTCGTTGCCGTGGAAGCCAACGGCGAACAGCTGCAGAGTCTCTGTCAGCGTATAGTGGCCCGGCAGCTAGGTGACGGTCGACTTACTTGGCCGACAGCCTTTCTACGGTCCTGCAGAGACATTTTGGCGGAAAGGGCTTGTCAGGTGCTGGGTGGTTTTTTCGCGATTGCTCCACGAAGTGCGCGACACAAGCGTCCGTCAGCCCACCAGCCAGCGGGGACCCAACTTGTATTTATCGTAGGCCGGGTATCTTACAATTGCCTCACCCGCTGGTATCTCTTGAAGCTTGGGCCAGTGGTCTGTGGTCTCCTCGGTTCTAGTATCGGCCGATGAGCCGCGGCGGGTTGCCTGGCGGCTCGACGTGTTAATAAAACCTCCAGCTTTCCCGTTCGCCGCTCGTCAGCGACATCGCGAGCTGTCATGTTGCGTGGGGGCGGGGCTGGCTGTGGGCTGTTGTGGACGACCCCCGCGCGCGCTCTCTCAAGTCCGGGTGTGTTTCCAGAAGGCACACCGGCGAGCTGTACTGAGTAGCTCCGCGCACACAGAATGTAACGTGCCTGGGCCACCGTGCGGCACCCCCAAGCCCCCACTGGAGCCAGTTTAAAGATGGGGGGATGAGGGGTGCTGGTTGAGTTGGGAGCAGCGAGCATTCACCATGATGGGCCCTCGCTCCACCGTCTGTTACCCCGCGTTGGCATCACTGACTTGCGCCGGTCGGCCGAACCTTTCTTGATATAAGCTGTAACAACCCCGTCAATCTTTGGACCCTTTCAGCCGGATGCGAAGTTGACTTGCGCTGCGGATTTTTCGCTTCGGGCGCCGGGCGCTGCTTCAACCTGAATGAAGCTACCGGGTGATCGTTGGAAAAGCCCTCGTGCCAGGGACGGAGCCATCCCGGGATGTGGAGGGCTGGTTGCTGGTCGGGCGTTCAGTGACGAGCTACGAGACTGCAGAGAGCGCGTTCAGTCTGGTCAAACGGCACTCCGAGCTCGGTTATCGAAGGATAGCGACGCGCCTCCTTATATTTGGAGAGAGGGTAGTCCTGCGCGGGCTTGGTGTTGAAGACGGGCATGCCCGCAGCCACCCACACCTAGTCACGAGCCCGAGACTGGCCGAGATGGGCAAGTAGGTTTGCTATGGCACGGGCTGGGCTCGGCATCGGGGTAGCACTCGTGGCCCCTCACCTGCTGCGCAACACCGTACATCTCAATAGAGACGAACTTCAACTGCAACCCATAACCCTCTGAATCTGCCGACGACGATTGCCAGTGACTGCTACTTCTTCGCACAATGGGTGACTACGAGACCTTCGACCTCGGCGACATCGACCTCCAGTTAGGTGGCAGACTTGAGAACGCATACATCGCTTACAAGACGTACGGTGATGCAGCGAACCCCGCCATCATCTATCCGAGCTGGTTCAGCGGTCGCATCGCAGACAACGAGTGGCTTATTGGGGAAGACAAGGCCCTCAACCCAAAGCGATACTACATCATCGTCCCAGCACTGTTTGGCAATGGGCAGTCCAGCAGTCCGTCGAACACACCCCGCGACCCAGCCAGACCCTTCCCCAGCATCACCCTTCGCGACAACGTTACTGCTCAGCACCAGCTCGTGACGAAGGGCCTGGGCGTCACCCACGCGCGATGCATTCTCGGATGGAGCATGGGCGCCGCCCAGACTTACCAGTGGCTGACGCAGTACCCCGACTTCAGCGACCTGGGCGTGCCGTTCTGCGGCAGCGCGCGAACGTCGCTGCACAACCAAGTCTTTCTCGAGGGAGTGAAGAGTGCTCTGCTGGCCGCAAAGGGTGTGTCTTCGGCGGGTAGCTGCGCTGGCGAGAGCACGCCCGCAGACAACTACCGGGTGTGGTCCGAAGAGGAGAAGACGGCGGGGCTCAAGGCACTCGGTCGCGTGTACGCAGGGTGGGGATTCAGCCAGGCTTTCTACCGAGAGCGCGTTTACGAAACGGCGCTCGGCTACAGCAGCCTTGAGAAGTTTATGACTGACTTTTGGGAGGCGTGGGCGCTCTCCAAAGGTTCGTAGCGTTGGCCTCTCTCCCGGTCCATATACCATTTACGTCACCGTTCTCTGAGCTAACAAAGCAGACCCCGAGAACATGTTGACGATGCTGGAAACGTGGCAAAGAGGAGACTGCTCAAACCAAGCGCCGTTCGATGGCAACTTCGAGGTAGCCATGCAGGCGATCAAAGCCAAGACACTTGTGCTCCCCGGAAAGACCGATCTCTACTTTCCCCCCGAAGACTCGGAATACGAAGTCAAGTGCATGTCAGAGGGGATCGGGGAATGTATTCCTTTTCCGTCTATTTGGGGCCACTGGTAAGCTATCCAGGGCTTTTTGACTGGAGGCAGTAGGGTTACAACTGACGCGACTACAGGGCGGGGGGGCCTGGATTGAACAAAACAGACCTGGATTGGCTTGACAAAAAATTGAAGTCGCTTTTGGGAGATGGTCACCAGACCATGGAGCTGCCTTTGAGGGGCGCGGATTCGACCGCGAAAGGCAATGCTGGATCGTCGTGAGCACATATGCAGGTCTGTCAGACGAGATGCCCGGTATTTCCCCATCTTGCGCGTATATTGTTGTAGCCTACTCCGAACGCTAAGCAGCCGCTTTTACTTCTTCTTCCTGTCTGCCACGTCGGCGTGCTCAGCGTCCCACTCCTTGGCCATGTTGATGAGCCGCAGACCAGCTGCAGCGCTCATGCCATCGTCTACCTGCTTCCTCCAGAAGCTGTCAGCACCCAGAACAAGGACAGACTTTCTTCGCTCCTTCTCAGCAGGACTTAGGTGCAGCCCAGCCTGCCTGTTAGCCTCAATGTTATCGAGGTACGATAAACGCCGGGCGTATCGCTCATCGCGCTCCCGGCGAATCTGTTCCGAACCGAACCTCTCAAAGATCCATCGTGCTAGGGAACGGAGCACTAGCAAGATGTGTTCGCTGATGAAGACCGTCACGGGCAGCGTCGCCCAATGCGACTTGTGGCCATCGGAGCCGAAAAGGTGGACCATGGCGGCCGTGATGATGCTTCCCAGCCACGTAAGCATCTCCAGCGACTGCACCCACGGCCCGATGCCGTCTGCGCGCGTGGGAGCTGGGCGCCTGTGCTCAAAGCATATCTTGGCAAAGTCCGATCGAAGCTCGATCCAATTGTTGATGAGGAACCCGAGCGAGATGAGCGGCCACACCGGTGCAAAGAGCGCCAGGTAGCCAAATTGAAGAACGATTTCGGCAATGTCGTCCTGCACATTATACTGCGGCAACGTGCCTTGGTTTCGGCATGTTTTCAAGAACTCGACTTCTTCTGCGTCGTCGGTGGTCATTCGCAGGAGCATGGCGTCCTTAGAATGAGCCCTGCGATAGGCGCGATGCCAGCCAAGAAACTTATGCTTGATGAGCGGCAAAAGGTTCTCCTCGAAAAAGCTGGAGATTTGGCCAGTGACGGTAAGAGCGATGACCTCGTTCCGGAGCCGGTTCGGGTCCGACCGGAATGCCTCCGCCGACAGTCGGCTCGAGAGGCTGGGCAGGAGACGTTGCAGGACTCTCTTCAAGCTCGGCACAACAATATGTCCGTAGGGAACATACACAAACGCCGTAAGCAAAATGGGTAGGTAGTTGGTGATGATGTTGAGCAGAAAGATCTTCTGCGTCAGCGACATTTCATGCTGGTCGGCCGTCCGATGGTTCTCGTACTGCGTGAGCGCCTCTGCGATTCCCTCGAGCGATGAGCTCATGTACGGAATCGCGACGGCCAGGAGAACCGTTGGCAAGTATTCCTACATCCTTGTCAGGACCAAAGACAAACCGGAATGGCCTCTAATGGCCTTGTGCTTACCAAATAGAACTGGTAAGGGCCATCGTATGCCTCTGAAATGAGAATCTCGACTGCAAAAACGCAGCAGATGATGGCGCCCAACACGACAGTCGCCAGCACGATGAAGGGGATTTGCAGAAGCTGTCGGGTGATGTGCTTCCACTTAGGAAAGTGGTGCCTGGTTCGGCCGTGGGCGTCAATCAGGACGCGGTCGTACTTGAACTCGGGTCGGTTGGTCTTTGACTTGTTGACACCCCGGGTTTTCCACCGTATGCTGAGGTCCAGCTCTTGAACCTTCCAGTACTCAAGAAAGACGGAGCACCAGATGCTCGTCAGAATGGCGTACGCGAGCGAATACTGCGACAGGAAAAGCCAGGTGAGGACGCCGGTAATGGCAGGAAAGGTCAGGAACATCAGGTATGTCTGAATGAAGGCGAAGTAAAATGCTACCTGAACGAAATCGCACTGCGTCAGCCACGTTTGATGACAAGTCGGGGCCAACCTTTACCTTTGCGCCAAGCAAGTCGCGGATCTTGTCAAAATCGTCGTTGGTGAGCACCAACCGCCGGCTGAGGTGTCTCAGTAGCACTTGGTTGTCACGCTCGTTGTGCAGCGGGAAGATGGCCTTGACATTCTCCCATCGGCCCGTCTCGGGTGTGATGCCAGCACCCCCGAGCTCTTTCGGCCAGGCAACGAGGTGATGCATGGCCAAGAGGTCCTCAGCCTCGTACCACGCGCGCACGACGGTGTCTTTATCGCCTTCGGGGCGGTTTTGGGTGATGCTGTAAAGCCAGTCCCTGACTCTGTGCGACGTATGTGCGTTAGCCTCCAGGTCAGCATGGAATTTGCCGCTTTTACCTGTCGGATTCTCCCTACCTGGACTTGTAGACGGTGTTGCCCAAGAGTTGTTCTGGTGCCTTTACGAAAACGAGAATGGTCTTTTCGAAGCTGGGGCGCACCTCGACATGCAGCCCAGCTGCCTCGAGGCTGTCCAGCAGCAAGCTGAATTCTTTGGCTGCTGCATCATAGTCTGTTGGGCACGGCGACGACAAAGGTCAGCTTCATAGGCAAGCCTCGGGCATGCGGCGACGTACCAACGCCGCCAAAGTCATAGGCGACAACATAAGTGTCATTGTAGGTCGGTTCGGTCGGTCGTGTGCCCCCATTTGGAACAGCGACTCGGGGGGGCGGCAATCGCAGTCGGCCGCCCTGTTGCTGTTGGCCGGTGGCGGACATGTCCATCACCTGCCGTCCAACCACGACCAGGTTGTGACGGGAGCGGCCGAGGGCCCCTAGACAAGCAGCAACTCAGCCCGGTGTAGTGCGCTGGAAGGATCCACGGTCGGTCGCAGTCGGAGTCATAAGCGGGCGTCGCGGATATCGCTCCATGCAATTGACAAGGTCGAGGGATTTCGGAGAAGAAGTAGCGACGCGTGGCAGTCAGCCCAAAAAGAACGTAGAGAGAGTCTTTGTTGAACTCCTGCAGGGTCAAGCCCACGGACAGCCTCCGACTCCAAGCTCCAGTCCCTGCCCAGATGTATTAGCTAATAATACTTGCAAGCAGTCAAAGGAGTTTGCACGCTGCGTCAGGGGAGGATGAAGGTGCGTCACTGCACTCCACATGGCATGCGCTGCGCCACGGACCAAGGCACCACTCGCCGGCGGCCCCGGGTGTAGGCAGCGTCCAGCCCGTGGCTAAAGCCTGGCACCGGCCGGTGTGGGCTGGGCCAAGAAAACGAAACGCTCCGAAGGTCGGTCTAACGGGACATGTCTTTACACGCCCTACCATGCTGCTGCTGTGACGGACCCTGCGCGGAACGGATCACTCATCGTCTGCGACCTTCATCGCCAGGCCGCTCACCGAGCCATCACAAGTTCACAACCCACGCACGCACGCCCGCACGGCCCGTGTTACTAGTTACTACCCTGTCGGTCCCTGTGCCGATATGCCGGGCCCCACCAACACGAGTCCAGCCGCGCCCGCCGCGCCCGCTCCTCTTGTCATTCGACAAGTCGAAGCCGCAGCCGACATTGCTGCGGCTGAGAGGTGCTTCGACACATACACGGAGTGGCTCGACATGGATATTTCGTTCCAGGATTACGCTGCAGAACGCAAAGGGCTCCCTGGGAAATACGCGGCGCCGTCCGGCGCGCTGCTCTTGGCGGTTGATCCACTGTCTGACAGTGTTCTTGGCTGCATTGCCATGCGGCCGATTGAGCTGGGTCCAGAGTTCTTGCGACAACGGCGACCCGACGCGCGCTACTGCGAGATCAAGAGGCTTTTTGTCTACCCTGCGGCCAGAGGAAGGCAAGTCTCACGGGCCTTGGTTCGCGAGGTTACGAGGAGGGCCAGGGAAGTGGGTTACAGCGAGGTGTTGCTCGACACAATGACCAAGATGCAGGCTGCGGTGAAGCTGTACGTCTCAGAAGGCTTCGAGGAGACTGCGCCCTACAACGCCAGTCCATTGGATGGAGTCATGTACTTCAGCAAAAAGCTGGACTAGGCGGAGCAAGGAAGCTGCCGTTTGATGGTGGGCAGATCGAGTCGCGCTCATCACGAATTTCACCACCGGTCGGCACGCACTTGCAATCACAGTCAGTTCTGCGGCGTCCAGTACCAGATTAGTCGAATCTTCAACGTTACCTGCATCGCCCAATACATGGTCCGGCAGCCCGCTTCGCATCGCCGATCGTGGTCGGCCTGGATCGGCCTTGACGCGTGACGGTAATATTTGCGTCCATTATCTGAACGGGCTCGTGTCCCCTGCGGACAATGCTGAATGCAGCTCTTCAAGTCGTGTCCCGGCCAGTGGAATCGCGCACTGGAGACATGTTCACTCACCTCCGAACGCGCGGTTTCTCGTGTGCTGCTCCGTCCAGTGGTCGGCTCACAGCTCAAGCTTGCAGCTCCCGCCTTTCTCTCTACCCTGCCATTTGATGGAGAAAATCCTACAGCTGCGGCTGCCTCGCAATGGCAACGCATCCAGTGCCTTGGGAGTCATACAGTATAACCGTACAATCATCTGCATACGCATAACAGGTGGCGTAGGGGACTTGCTGATCTGGCAACATCTTGCAGATGTTGCATCACCGCCTCCTGTCTGCAGTCAATGGGAGACATGCTGTTTAGACATCGGCCGTTTTCTATTTAGATGCCAGACCAAGGCCAGCGAAAGAGGCAAACTCGTCATACCGCGATAGGGCTCCAACTGGCCCGCCGCGACGACATCCTTCAATTGCTGCAGTAACCGGCAGGTCGCGATGCCTCTAATTACGCGATACCTTCAATTGTCTGTGTAGCCCTGCAGCCCGCGATGCCCCCGATGGCTGCCGCAGCCTGCATCCCGCGATAGCTTCAATTGCCCGTACAGCCCACCAGCTCGCGATCCCTTCAATTGCTGCAGCAGCCGCGCAGCCCGTGATGGCCTTAATTGCCCGCCCGCTATAGTCTACGAGCCGCGACGCCTTTAATTTGCGCAATGCCTGTTGCCTACTCCCACGGCTTAATGGCCGCCGCCGCCTCAACGCATCATAGCCCGTGATGTCTAAATAGACAACAGGGGGTGTCCAAATAGCACGTCTCGTCAACGGTGCGGACGTAGCGCGGAGCGACTTCAAGTATATCTTGTAGTCGATACCCGTTCTGTTCTCTGGTACTCAACATGATCTCGCCAAGCTTCATAGCCAATGTACGAGCCCATCTGCATCGACTTGCCACTTCTTCAGACGACGTCAATACTTGCATGAGAAACGTTTCATTCCCAACAGCGCCGGATTCGGAAATTGGCCTCCAGACGAGACCTATCTTACGAAGTATATTTGCCGTGCTTTTTACAGTATTATTATTATTCGTATTGTTCTTATTGTTCCGGTGACTCTGAGATGGTCATAAAGATCGGCACGGCAATCATGGAATAAAAGACGTCCAAGGGCACCATTCAATAGTTCTCAACCTATTGTAGAAAAGACGGCAACATGGACCTACCTGCAGTTTATTGACAGGTCGTCTGTGTACTGATCTATACGCATACTCAATGTTGGGGGGCCGTGCACCGGAAACGTGTTCATTGGTAGTCATTGTCCTGCTTTCGGTCTTGCCCACCTTAGACGTAGATTCTAGAAGCCAGTCGCACCTTATGTACCGAGGCCGTGGTAGTCTGGCCCTGTATTTATCTTGCGCGAAGGAACGCTCTAGCCGAGGAGATTTGCCCATTCTGTTGGGAAAAGGGTGCAGCGTCTGACGATAGGCGCCCGAGGCGGAAAAACGCACTAGGCAAAGACATTATAAGCTAGATAGACGAGGCATGTATAAAGGGAACATCGTCTCCCTCGCGGATAAGATGGTTCGTCACGCTTCTACAGTCATAGCCGACAACACACTTGTTTTTGCCTCAATTTAGATGCCTTGGTCTGATACCATACGCTATGATAAAACCCTTCTCTTACTACCTTAATTGCCGTTTAGCTTGGCAATAAGCGCGAAAACGGAAGTTTCGATAGCACAGACCATTTGAATCACGCCGAGAGCTTTCCAATGAGGTAATTTATGTAGCAGCAAGTGCCTCCGTCGCAGTGATCTCATTGAGTGTTCTAATTTACCGCCTTTTCTGGCCCCTCTGAATTTGTCTTTAAGAGCCGGCACTGCGTTTTCTGAGCCTAGGCCAAAGGCGCGTCATATGATTCGAGCCTGCCTCGCTGTCTGGTGCTGTTCTTCCCCCAACAAACCATAAGCGCCCACACGTTTATAGCGAAGTCAAACTGTTGATACCCACCCAACATGGACGGTCTCACGACTTGGTTCGGTCTCAAGACTTGGTTCAGGAGATTATTATATCCGCACTGTCTCATCGGCGCTTGCGGTTCACTGGTTGGGCAGTCGATCAACAGCTTGGCCCCCAAGCCTAACCGGCCCAGAATCCCCACGATACCTGTGATCGGCGATAGCCCTGTCAACTTTAATCCCATCATTATCATTTTGATGGGGTATCTGGAGAAGGTCAGCCCGAATGGCTTGCAGACTGCCGTGGCAATGGCTCACAAGAAGCTGCCCGAGACTATGAACAGGCTCAGCATTACAGATGCTCGCTCGTTCCTCGAGTTCGCCAACGACCTCTTAACATGGATTCCCCAGGAGAATTACGAGGGGAAGGAAATCTACGAGAATTTTTGCATCTTCTACTTTATCCTGGGCCAAGAACCCCTAGCAGAACTACAGACCCCCATCCTCCCCAACCGGGTCGGCCAACCCTTGACTTGGCTCTCGTCATGGGCCGTTGTGTACGCCCAGCTCATCGGGCTCTTCCTGGACACGCCAGCCTCCATTACCGCAGAGTCCCTGCAGTCTTTCAAGGATTCCCCCCCGTATAACTACGAAGAGGCAATGGTTCCACCAGGAGGATTCCGAACCTTCAATCAGTTCTTCGCTCGTCATCTAAAGCCTGGATTGAGACCCATTGAGTCGCCACAGGATGACAAAATTATTGTCTACCCGGCCGATTGCGCCTATGACAACTCAGTCGTCAATCAGAGCATTGTCAGCATCGAGTCGGGGGGCATAGTGTACATCAAGGGTCTCCCGTGGACAATCGGATCGCTCTTGCAGGGCAGCGAGTTTGCACACGACTTTGACGGTGGCGTCTGGATGCATGCCTTCTTAAACACGTTCAACTACCATCGCCAGCACGCACCCGTCTCCGGCACCGTCATCGAGGCAAAGAACATTCAAGGCGCAGCATACCTGGAGGTCAATGCCAAGTGCCAGCCTATCCGCAACACGTGTGGTCCCGATGCCACCGACAGCCCTGGATACCAGTTCCTCCAAATGCGCGGGATGGTCGTTATCGACAACCCTGTCCTTGGGAAAGTCGCTGTGTTGCCCATTGGAATGGCCCAAGTCTCGTCGGTCAAGTTGTCTGTGCAGAAAGGCGACGTTCTGAAGAAGGGAGACGAGATTTCCTGCTTCCAATTTGGTGGATCAGACATCATTTGTGTCTTCCAGGCCAAGGCCGGCCTCAAGGTCGAGAGCTTTGTGCCGTCGCCAGGGGATTCGTACTCCAAGATGGGAACGGTTTTGGCCAGGGCGCCATGAGGCAAAATAGTTCGCCCAGTCGCGATCGCCTTCGCAATTTGACATTCTGGATCAACAAAAGGAAAGCGATAGTAAGAGTCCGTTACGAGTATAGAAAGGTTTACGTTAATAAGCACATGGAAATGTATTGATGAGACTTATTACAAAATTTCGCCCAGCCGCTTTATATATATGCAAGCCTGACCGTTGCGCCAACACACCTGACATGACTAGCTGACCACTATACATGCATCATTGATCGTCCTTCCTCTCGTCATCACGTACAAAGTGATAGGCGCCGACGCGGATGGTCATTTATGTTACAACGACACGTTCTCAGAGCAACCCGTGTCGTACACCGGGACCAGTCTACTTCAGGTCCTCAATGAACGCCAGAATATCTCTCTTGTCATCGACCACTCTGGCATACTCAAGCAACAGTCTCCAGACGTAGAGCTTCATGTCCTCACGTCTGTACACCTGCTCGACCCACTTCTTCCCCTCCGTGGCGATAATTTCCGCCGCCTTGTCTCGCCCGTCCAGGAAGTAATCCATGATGGCGTAGATGTCCCCATACGAGTTGTCAAAGGGCACGAAATGCACCCACGGAATGATCCTATCGTCGTGCCACTCGCTATAGATGGTGGCTTTGAGAGGCATACTCGTGGACTGCAGGAAAGCCCTCCAGCGTGCGCTAAAGGAGTTTCCATCGACGTCTGGCAAGTATTTGTATTCGTACTGCTCCTTCATTGGCTTTCCGGGCTGGATAGCCATGTATGGTGACGAGTACGGGCATGTCCTGCGCATTTCCATGTGCTTGTCCGCGCCAGTGCCGACTTCTTCCTCTGCGTAAGGGTGACATTCCAGGTTCACGAAAGCGACGTCGGAGAAAGAGGACAGCCACTCGCCGAGCTTGCCCTGCAGCTGTGACGGCAAGGAATACCTTTCCTTGGGGAGGAGGCGAAAGGTTGGCCCACGGGCCTCGTTGCCCGCCTCCATCGCGCCGACTGTAGTTCCATTCATCATTTGTACGAATCGATGGCGGTGGAAATGCCACCAGGTGTCCTCTTTGTTTCGTCCGCCGGATGCAGTGCCTCGCCAGATCAAGCCGTTCCTCTTGTAGGACCAATTGGGGCCGTGCGTCTCTCCGCCGTTGTAGAATTCTCGGTCGGACAGGTACATGGCACCTGGTATCAAGATCTCGTTGTTCTGGGGCAGTTTTGAACCGGCGAACATCGGGAGGAGGCTGCGCGTCGTCGACATGCTGACACTTTCGATGAAGGTCCCATGCATACCTCGTAGATGCGGCTGCAGACAGGGATCCTGCGCCTGGGTGAAGTTCTGTATAAATCCTTTGAACGTGAACGGCATTGGCTCGGTTGGGTACTCGATTGAAACGTTAAAGGAAGGAAGCGCAGCGACGTTTCGGCTCGGTGAGTCGGGAGGACAGGCAGCGCGCAGGTAATCCCAGAACTTGGGCGCGTCGCCTGATATCCAGCCCGGGTCGTACGGCGCTTTTTCGCCCTCCACATCTTTCAGGCCACTGTACGCGGTGGTAGCTGCCTTGGGATCAATCAGCTTCCTGTTCGCTTGCTCTGCCTTCATGTACTCGGCAATTTTCTCCCAAGGGACGAGAATTCGGGTTTCATCCATGAAGTTTATGACCATATCGAGATCGGGCAGGTGCGGCATCATGTCCTTGACCAGCTCCGTCCAATGTTGGATCCATGGTTGCCGGTTCGGGTCGTCTGTTACGAAGTCGGCTTTGCCGTTGCGCACCCGAATGACCTGGGGCTGAACGGTGGCTTGCGCACGCAAGTCCTTGGGATTGAGCCCCCAAAATGGATTGATGTCATGGTGTATCCTGTCGAAGAACTCTTCCACAATCACCGCTCCGTCCTTCTGGGCTTGTGCGAACCAGGCCTCGAAACCCGGAGGAGGATGGCGGCCCCGGCGCTCTCGGTAGCGCGAAGCCGCTTGGCTGACCGTGTACGATCGTTTGGACAGCAAGCCGCGAAAGCGACTGTTTGCCTCTTCGATCAGCTCGTCGATGGGGTGTTGTTGGCCGTGAGACGAGGCATTGCCGGCGGGTCGCTTGCGAGTCCAGCCTGGGGGGCGGAAAGTGACAGACGAGAAAGGAGCTGAGACATCGCCCAACAAGAAGAACGCAAGGGCAAAGAGTAGCGCGCTGGCCAAAATTATAAAGCGCAGTCTCCTCCGGCCAGCGGCGTAGGAGTACAGCGGCGGCATCGCACCGAGAGCGCGGGTGATCTGAAGCATCGCTGCATGTGCGCGGACGACACTGCAACGTGCGGCTGCCGCTGGTGAAGCTTTCAGCAGACGGCGCACCGCATCAAAACTCTCTCTCTGGCTGGGTGGCAAAATTTCCAGCCCTCAGTCTGGACCGGCAATCCACCTGGCTGGCGGCAAAGGGCGCACGCCACGGCTTCCCGCAAAGTGTCGTAATTCGTATCTCATCACCAATTGCCTCCTCGCAAGCAACGCGTGTGTGACTGTGCCTGTCGTGACACATTCGGAGTAGCGTGCAGATATCGAAGCCGGCTCGAGTGGAGCGTTTTGCGGCCCGCCATCAGGGGAATCCGCATCTATTGGACGTCTTGCGTGTCCGTGGCAGGGGCGTTGTTGGTTCGGTGCGCAGCACAACGTATCAAGAGGCTCGGCGCGGGCACGCCCCGAGTCGGCACGATTACGACTTCTCGTACGTGGCACGGAGGCCCTGCAGGGGCCCTGGCCGGCTGTCGCGCGATGGGCGGTCAAACCCGGGGAACTTTCGTTGACTCTACAGTTGGAACAAGATGAAGATGACGCCGGATGCCCGGGCGCGAACATGCTTGTTGGCGAGCTTCTCGCACCACCGGTAACACCTGGTGGGCTGACCGTGCTGCAGTGTCTTGGCTCAACTGTACGGATAAGATGTACGGAAACAAGGCTGCCCAGACGCCACACAGCCGCCACAGAACCGGAGCAGGCGATGATGTTGCCGACTGGACGCATGCACCGGCTGTTCAATTGCCCATCCCCAGGCCGGCCGTGGCTCCGGGTCTTCTGGTCGTGTTTGTCGGAAATGCCTCTTACCCGTTCTGCTCCTCCATCCTCGTTGAGGTCGACACGATGATGTGAGAGCCGGTCGTGCACCTCAACCTTGGAACCCTGCAGCTCCTTGGCACCTGCCAGCCGGCTCCATTATCCGCTGGGATTCTCCCTCATAAGTGCCCAATGACAGCGTACAGTGCCACCCATTTTGGCAAGAAAACGGGCCAGCCCGGCGCCGGCGCACTGGAGCACAGCGGTGGATTTTCCTGCTGCCTGTTTCGCGTTCTTGCTGCAGTTGATGGTTTTGCATGTCAATTGTCTCGAAATTGGCCAATTGCACAGCTTCTCAGCGGAATTTCATCGCTATTCAGTAATTTTGCTGGAAGTCGCTCGTCAACTATATACATGCCCTCGTCGCACCGCGACATTGCACCAGATGCGGCTCGCCTCCACGTCATGTTCAACACGACTAAAGGCAGCAGCTTGAGCCTCAATCAGCGCCTCTTGCATGCCCATCAGACCTTTGAGACCACGAAGTCGGCAGCAGAGTCAGCATCCAGCGCATATGTCAGATGCTGCAGCAGGATGATCGGCCCATTCTCGCAGATATTGTCTCCGTCGTGGCAGATGACGCGGACCTTGGATGCATCGATGTTGTCCACCGCCCGCTTCGAATATGGGTCACCAAAAATGACGACGGCGCTGACCCTTGACATGACGCTCGCGCCGAGGCTTGTTGCGGCATCGTGCACCACCATTCCGCCCTGCGAGTATCCACTGAGCACAATCTTGGTGCTGGGGCACTTGGCTGCCACGTCTTGGATTGCTTGTGCGCTGTTCATCCCTCGTTAGCCGTCGCAGTCCGGCCTTCTGTCATGCACAAGCAATTCTCACAATTTTTTGCCGTTTCCTGGCGAACCTGTTAGGTACCCGTCAACGCTCGCAGGATACGCGAAGCCCTTCACGCCAAGTGTGCGACCCGACTGCTGCAGCTTCTCCTCAAGAGCGTGAAAGAAGAAAGGGCCAGTCAGAACGCCCACATTGCCGGGGTCGCAGGTTCCGCGGGCGAACATGACCGTAACATCGCCGCAGGCGTCATTCTCGGTGGTCGGGATCCCGAACGTAGTCGCCAGACCAAGCTCCCCAGCTGTGAGGAGACCACAGACATCCTTGACTGCGGCATTGATGGGGAATATGGCGGCGACTTTGGACAGAAATTGTGTAACATCTGGCCAATCCCGCCGCTCCAAGTCGGAAGACGCTGCTGGGAGGGCCAGGCCTTGCCGTGCGGCGAGGAGCAGAGAGAGGAGTTGGGTAATTTTAACCATTGTCGCGTAGCTTGGAGAATGTGAATGTCGTGATGAGAATGCTGGTCGTTTCTATGCTCTCTGCCAAGAGGATCATCATTGCAACACCCGGGACTTCGTCCTTATTTATCCTCCGAGAAGGATCGATATGTCGGCGTGCCGACGAACTGTCGGAAGCACATGCTCAATCGCAAAGTCGCCAAGCTACGTACGGGGGCGCCTCGGCGAGGCTGTCCAGCCAAGCGCCTACATAGACTGCGAACCTCTACGCGCCAAGGTGCCGTGCTTCCATTCATCTTCGAACATATGGTGCTGTGCGCAGTTAGCCTTTTGGCCGGTTGGCCAAGTGGGACAAAATGGGCTTCATCGCTGCCCTGGCGTCCGGTTCGGACCCTCTCCTCCCCTGGGGTGGTGGCGTCGATCGTAGCTCCAAAACGGTAAGACGTCCGAGCTCGTACACCCATCGGGGTCAAAGAGTCGACGTCGCCAAGATCTGTGCGGCCTGATTGATGGCTGGCAGATTCAGCCCCCGGACCCCGGTTCATGATCACGCACGAGATCAGATTCCAACTTTTTAGCCACTCTGTCTGAACTCAAGGAAAGTTCGTTGGTGCGCAGCATAAGCTGCTTGTTATGATCCTAGCATTCATTCGAGTGTCTTGGAGGTCCACCGGGAGGCATGCCTTAGAGCCCCGAGGAATGCACCGACAAGACCTGAGCCAGACCGCCAACGATGGGAACGAAACGCCCCCCACGACTCACAACCCCGCTACCCCGCAAACCGAGCCCCGAAGGATCCTGCACTGCCGGCCCGCATTTCGCTTGCCACCTGGGTTGCGTTTGCACTCCTGCATCAGCCTCTTGCAAGCGGATGGCTGCGCCGATCACTTGGTCAGATGGCACGATTCTACCAAGGAGTCGGCCACACAAAATAGCCGCCCTTCCGCGTCGATGCGGCCCCTTGCCGAACCCTCCTCGCTTTCTTTTTCCCGACAATGCATGAGTGTGCCTCGAAAAGTCTCGATCCTGCCCTGGAAGAGCCACGATTTCCCCTGGCTTTGTTTTTGTAGTGGGTGGAAGCTCATATACATGACACGGCGAAAACCATGAGTCCGGCATCATCGCCAAGAGTTGTCGACCATATCGATCAGTAGTGCGTGCAGAAACACCCCGAAGGCACACGCACGTCGGGACATCACAACCGAGACTATCCTTGCCTGCATATGTCGTCTCAGTTTCGGACGAGAACCTGCTGTAGGGGACTCGAGAATATGGCCATTATTCGCCTGTCATCCTGTCACGGCGCCTGAGAAATACGAACGAGGCAATTCGTAATGAAGCCAATGGGCACACTGTCGATGTCGACTCTTGTCCGTTCCCCATGTCCCAGAGCCCTTCAAACCCGGTGGTCTAGACCTCCAGCGAGGACTGCCTCGTAAATATCCCGGCAGGTGCCTTCATGGCCTCGGCCAGACCTCCTCGCCGACATGTGCGCACCAAGCCTTGTCGCCCAGCTTACATGGAGTCACGCGCTCCACAGAGTCCGCACCTCGCCCACCCCACAGAACGTGCATGGGTTGCAGTCTTGTAGAAACGGCAAGTGCCGCTCCTAGGATGGAACCAAGGCCAAGCAGGCTTCCCGGGGTCCGCGAGGACCGAAAGTGCCGCTTCGGTCCTGGGATAAAACAATGGTGGGCTGCGGGAGTGTCAGCAAACTATCTGATGTGATCAAATTACAGGGTTAATGCTTGACAGCGTCCACCTCTACGCAAGAGTCTCAGATGTGCCTACGAAGTAAATACCACAGTCCAGTCGTCACTCGTCAGCCGGCCATCGCATGTCTGGTGAAACAGCGACTGACTCTTCTAAAACGAGACTCGCCGAAAGCGAAGCTTGCGCCCTGACAAATGCCGAAGACGAAGCTCTATGGTTCAATAGGTCTATTCTGAGAATTCGGATTGCGTCATGCCCAGCCCCAAATGTAGCGCCTGACGGATAGCCATGTTTCTCTGAGACATCTCAGCCTCACATTCGCTGAAAGAGAGCAAACGGCCTTCCCAGTAGTCTGAGAAGGCCTCCATTTGATCGGTAGCAACCTTCTCCCATTCAACCTGACCGTGTAGGGTCAACTTGTGCAAGGCACCATCCAGTCCCTTCGTCTTGTCCACATGCAATTGTCTCGACATGAGAAATTGCCTCTTGACCTCGGGTAAGTAGAAAGGGGGCGCTTAATTTGATGCAGGGGCTTTCAGTGGCCTGCCCTCATGTACAATTGCCGCACGTATGCAGTGCGGTTGACTCGACCTGCAAAGACAACATGATAACCCTACGTTGGCATTCACCAGTCCAGACCTTTCCTACCTAGCCTTGCTACAGTTTCACTCTGTCTGGCAAGTCGATTTCGAGCTCGGCGGAGTCCTTCGTGTAATGAAGCAATGGTGGTGAGCAGTGTAGCGAGACAGGGCATCGACTATTCCTCAAATGCACCAGGTCCTTACGCGTTACACGCCAGTGGATGTTTCGCCACCGGTATCCAAAAGCCAGTTTATTAAATGCATCTCGGTATTTCTTGACGAGAATGCAGGCCTTGACAGCAAACATGTGTATCTGAATATGCCCTCCCGGCGGAGTTGAACTTGGCCGCCGCCCCGGCTGACGAAGCACTTGACCAGGGAGGCATGGAACGTGACTGCGAACCCGGCTCGGGAACGAACCGTCAACATTTTCTCTGGAATCTTTAGCAGCCACCTAGCCTTGCTTGCTATTTTTGACAGCGGTACACTTTGTTGTACCTGATCGGCCACGGCTCTGCCCCTGACCGTACTAGGCCTGGCGTGGAGAGACATGCAGGAGTGTTACCGACCTACGGCGAGTCCGCGCACCAGACTTCGGGTGTAGTGTGTTAGCACATTGCCTCAGTACAGCAACTCAGCTGTCATGTGCTCGTCCTTGTGTCGCTCCGGGAATATCCCCGAGCATGTCTGTACTTCGAAGGTCTTGCCACCACAGGTCTTCACACTGCAGTCTGTTCAGCACATGCGCCGGATCGTCGGCATGAATCCATGCATTTTCGAGTCTCGCTAGGCACACGTCGGCGATACTTTAGTCGGCCGGGCGCTGTGAATATGTGCGTTGGATGCCGCATGCTGAGACACGAGCCCGAGCACGGGTAGCCATGTGGTCTGCGCAAGTCGCATAGCTCGGCGTCTTTGTCAGTCGCCGCCTATCACTGGCGAAGCCCCGTAGCCCGGCCGTGATAACCTGATCAGCGCAGGATTGGGGGATTCCCATTGAAGCATGTATCGGCCACAAACCCAGCTCAGGTCAATTGATGGTTGGTTCAATTCCTGCCATCTGACGAATTGCTTCCCCAGCAGCCTGCGCCAAATACGCTCGCATGTATTCAGCGTGGCATGGTGGCAATGATGGGGCCAAAGAAACTTTGATGTAGCCCAGCGCCTTTTTAATGCAGATGTGTCGCCGCGGGTGAGTTTTCATCAGTCTTTGAAGTGCGGATTGGCAGTCGATTCACTGTACTAATGTTTACATGATGCCAATATAGTCGGAAGATGTTCGGAGCGCGTGTTGTCCTTCAGCGACTCGTCATGTAGCGACACGCACGGTCTAAAAACACGATCGGACATGGCCACGTTAGGCATGTCCAGTTGGCGAGAACAGACCACATGGGAGAAGTACCGGGCGGAGAGAATGTGATATCTTTGGTGCCAGGTTGTGACCTGGTATTTGAGGGCGACGATCGCTACATGTATTGTCCCACCGAAAGTTCTGGAGTTCAATTAGCTTGCAGAGCCTTCACAGAAGGCATCGCTATCTCTGACGAAAGGGCACTGAAAGGGCACCTCAGTCATCTCCACGATGGTGTTCGCCAAACGATCTCGCAAGAAGAAGAGCCCCTACGGCGGTGCTGTGAGTAGTAGCTCTTCGCACAGCAACGATGTCGGCGGGAACGGCATCGTCCAACCGGAAAATGAGCAACTTCGAGAGCAACAGGCCGCCAGACGTCTTCGCCTCTTCCGCGAGGCTGCCGCGAACGACCCGAACATTGACCTCAATGATCTTGGTGACATAGACATTGCGGTTGATGCTCGAAACGCTGATAAGGAGCAGCGGCTGGTTGATGACCTCATCGAAAATTCCCCCTATCCCGAAGTACGTCCAACTCCCCGGGCGTAGGCGTCCGTTTGCTTTCATGCCATTGAGTGCGCGTTTCGCTAATTCACGGAGGAATAGGTGCGTGCTGCTGTACGGAACTATGACGAAGACTTGCCCGCAAACACTTTACGTGCTTGGATTATTGGGATGGTCATGACCACGGCATTCTCCGGCATGAACATTCTGTTCTCTCTTCGCCAACCTTCAATTGTTATCACGTCTTATGTGGCTCAGCTTATCGCCTATCCAATTGGTGTTGGCATGGCCAAGATCCTTCCAAACCGGCAATGGAATGTAGCCGGGCTGAAGTTCAATCTAAACCCCGGCCCATTCAACTTCAAGGAACATGCGCTTATCGTGCTGATGGCCAATGCCTCGTATGGCGGCGGAGCCAACTACTTTACGGACATTTTAGTAGCACAAAAGGCCTTCTACGGTTTCGATTTCGGCGTCGGGTACGCCATCTTGCTCGGTCTTACCAGTCAATGCATCGGATTCGGAATGGCCGGTCTCGTCCGTATGTGGCTCGTCGAGCCGGCTTCAATGATCTGGCCCGGAAACCTGGTTAATGTTGCGTTTATGTATACGCTTCATGATCACTCGGAAACGGATCCTGCGAAGACAAACGGATGGAAGATTAGTAGGTATAGGTGGTTTATCTACCTTTTAGTCGGGTCCTTTATCTGGTACTGGATTCCTGGTTTTCTGTTTCAGGCCCTGAGCGCGTTTGTCTTTCCAACCTTTATTGCGCCAAACGACGTCACTATCAATAAGGTGTTTGGTGGCTTGACGGGAATGGGCCTTATTCCACTTACCTTTGACTGGACACAGATTGCAGGATATACCGGATCGCCACTTATCCCGCCGTGGCACGCTATTGCCAATACCATTATCGGACTGATTACATTCATGTTTGTTGTGGCGGCCTCGCTACACTGGAACGGAGTTTGGTATGCCGACTGGCTGCCATTTAGCGACTCGAGATCCTGGGATAATACCCAACATCGGTATAACGTCACGAGGATTCTTACTCCGGATTTCCGTATCGATGAGCACAAGTATAAAGAATACTCTCCGATTTTCCTATCGACAACCTTTGCGCTATGCTATGGTCTCTCATTTGCCGGCATCATTTCGCTGCTCTTCCACACGGCATTCTTCCACTCAAAGGAAATTATCATGCGTTGGCGGGATAAAGAACATACCATGGACGATATACACGCTCGAATGATGCGCAAGTACCGACAAGTACCCCAATGGTGGTTTCTTTGTGTTTTCGTGCCTATGTTCGCCCTGTGTTTTGTTACATCTTATCTCTGGGATACCGGCCTGACCTGGTGGGCTATTGTCCTTGCTATGGTCATCGCCCTGGTCTGGTTAGTGCCGGTAGGCATCGTTCAGGCCGTCACAAATATCCAGCTCGGTCTCAATGTCTTCACCGAGTTCATTATTGGCTATGCCCTCCCTGGCAGACCGACCGCAATGATGATGTTCAAAACATATGGTTACATTACCATGTCACAGGCGCTGGCTTTTGTGTCCGATATGAAGCTCGGCCACTACCTCAAGCTCCCTCCTCGAACCGTTTTCTGGGCTCAAGTTGCAGCCGCAGCTTGGTGCGTTTTCGTTCAAACCGGTGTCTTCTACTGTAAGTGGTTACAACCTTCCACATCTTCGGAACGCAATCCTCCTCTCCTGGCCCTCTCAAATGGGCAATGTCTGAGCTGTCATGGTGCTGACCGATTTCAAGGGGCAATGAGTGGCGCGATTAAGGGCATCTGCACAGAAGACGCCGTGGCTCATTTCACCTGCCCTGGAGGCGGTGTTTTTTTCACAGCTTCCATTCTTTGGGGCCTTATTGGCCCTGCTCGAATCTTTTCCGGAACAGGCGTCTACAAGAACCTGCAATATTTCTGGGCTATTGGAGCCGCGCTGCCCACTATTCTCTGGCTCGTCCGCAAGAAGTGGCCGAACAGCTGGGTTCGGTATCTGAACGCGCCCGTCATCTTTTCTGGATACGGCCAAATTCCACCAGCCTCGCCGCTCAACTATCTTTCTTGGGGCATCATTGGGTTCATCTTCAATAAATGGATTCGTGACCGCTGGAGGGGTTGGTGGATGCGCTTCAACTACATCACCTCTGCTGCGCTGGATAGTGGTTTGGCCATCAGCACCATTGTCATTGTCCTCACTCTCAGTCTCACCGACACGGAGGCGCCTGCGTGGTGGGGCAACACCGTGGGCTCTAACACTCTGGATGCGAGGGACAAGGCTTTCCACAAGGTCCTGCAGCCCGGCCAGAAATTCGGGCCCAAGGAATGGTGAAGGCTGGGTGCGGGATGCAGTTACAGGTCAAATTGCGAAACCGCCTGCAGGCATACCCAAGCCGACCAGGGCGAGACTGCACTTAGACTGTATGAGGTATCTTTCAGGCAAGATCGCGCCGCATTTCTACTAGCAGCGTGATGGCCGGTGTTCAGGTCGCTCGACACTCGTGGTGAAGCGCCTATGCTATGTGGGCGGGGTTTCATATGTGTCAGTCAATACTAGGACGAGGTTCGCGTCAGACCACATGTCGTGAGGGCGAATTTCAGGCATTACAAATACACCAAATACACCAAAGACAGGCCGGAGACTTTCCCATGATTACGAAATATGCCTCGAGGCGACGGGCGTTGCACTGTCAAGCTTCCGCTCGTGAAGCCGCAAAGACCGGGCAAAGCGGATCAGCCGGGGCAGCCGGTGACAGGGCCTTTGAGGGGGTCGGCGTGATGCAGTGCCGACACACCCAGTCCAAACCCAGCACTTGTCGATTCGATGATCCCGCCATCTACGGTTCGATCCTAGCAGATGTCAAATAGAGCTCCCACTTGTGACAGCTATCAGGGAGGCTTTCACCCATGGCAGCCACACAGTACTTTGAGCTTGGTGCCATGGAGGGGCGCGGGCAAACAGGGCCGCCTTGAGCCAATCTCCAGTGAAGGTGTCACTGTATTACAGGGGACGAGCTAGCTGCTTCCGGAGACATTAACCGCCAAGGCCCAAGACACCGACACACGGGAAGAGCAGGTTGATCCACCGTCCGGCGCAGCTACTGAGCGAGTGCACTTGTCATCCATCACTAGAGGAGCATTTGTGTATAAGAGTGGTTCCAGCGCTCCCTCTCTTTAACGCAGCATGTACTACGCAACACCTTGCTACTGCATCTGAACTCCATTCCTGTTCATCATGGCGACATTCAAGAGCTCTCTCAAGATTACCTACATCGGCACGGCCACGGCGATCCTCGACATCGATGGTGTCAAGTTGATCACAGACCCTGTTTTTTCGCAGGCGGGATCCGAATGGGACAAAGGCATCGCCATCCTGAGAACATCAATTTCCCCCGCGCTTCAGCTACAAGATCTGCCTGCCCTCGATGCCGTGCTGTTGAGCCACGAGGATCACGAGGATAACCTCGACGAGTTGGGTCGGCAATTACTTGATGGTCGCAAGGTCCTTACAACCGTGGACGGTGCGAATAAACTAGCACCTCGGCCAGACGTGCGAGGCCTGAAGCCTTGGGAGACTGTGGATCTCAATGTCGGTGGCAAGAGCTTCCAGGTGACCGCCACGCCATGCGTGCACCTGCCGGGAGGCGAATGCACAGGTTTCGTTCTCACCAACGCCGAGTTCGGGGAAACAAACGGACTGCCGAACGCGATTTTTATTTCCGGTGACACTATCTACATTGACGATCTCGCTCGACTGAAGGAAAAGTTCAACATCAGTGTTGCGATCCTGAACCTCGGGGCGGCGTCGGTGCCCGTGTCCGACCCGCCCTTAGTCATAACCATGGACGGAAAGCAGGCAGCGCAGCTCATCCGCGAAATCGAACCCGATATCGTGGTGCCATTGCACTTTGAGGGTTGGGATCACTTTGCCCAAGGACGCGAGGAGGTTCTCGAGGTCTTTAAGCGGGAGGGGATCGAGAGCAAAGTTCAATGGCTGCCTCGCGGTGTCGCCACGAACATCGTGTAGGACACCGAACAGCGCAGAAGCCCTCTTGGAATTGCGGCGTCATAGCGCATAGCAATCGAGGTATATACATCTCTTTGCTTGCTCTGTTCCTGTTATCCGGTACACGTAGCCCTCAAAAAATGTCCAATGTAGTGGAAGCCTTTGCCTTCGATCGAGTCGATCGAGTTGTCGCAAGCCTCTATTAAGCTCTTCTCCGTAGGGTGGTGGGATCTCAAGTGCTGGAAAGCCGTCTGTAGCGGAAGGATCAAGGATGTCGCTCCGTAAAGCTTCATGTCGTCCTGCATCAGGTAGTTTACGCTTTCCAGTATCGAAATGGCGATTTCGCGGAGACACTTGGTGACGGTGGTACTCTCGGGCACGTCTCCTCCGATCAACATCGCTAAGGCGCCAAGGTCGGGATATGTGGCCCGGAGTAGGCGTATGTTGGTGACACATATTATCCACAGCGCCCAGTAGTGGGTTAGGCAATTGGCGACGGTGATGTCTAAGAACCAAAGGCAAGGCCCGTGGTCTTTCCGGTCGGCATGCCAATACGAGGGTTGCTCCAGCTGCTCGTAGTAGTTGTTGTGCCAGTTCTCGAGCACATGGAGCAGCTCCAGGTGTGATGACAGTACTTTTCGGGGCTGAGGCCCAACGCTCTTCCCATGTGGGTTGCCGACCATGGAGTGGTCGAACTCGCGCAGCAAACCGGGCAAATCGGCCGCAATGGTCATCAGCTGATGGAGAGGGGCTGGTTTTATGAGTTTGAAGGGCACTGTCTTCCAGGTAGGCTCCGCGAGGAAGGTCGGGTTGCGGGTGCAAATGGCTTGCACAATCTGCAGTCGTGGTCATCCGATGAGCAGGAAGTTTCCAAGGCGTAATGTTCGGCGGCCTTGAATTACTTACCATGGCTGGTCGAAGGCCGATGAATAGCCTATGTGCCTGGCCGGAGACATAAAATGCCGGGCCTTGAAGCTTCAAAAGGGCCTGCAGCCCCAAGACATGAGTTTGTGAGGTGCTTGCGTCCGATTGTGGTAGGATGAGCTGATGGGATGTGTTAGTCACCGTTCCATGTGATGAGAGTCTCACAACAGTACCTCTGAGATCATGAGGCACATGACTGCAGCCGTCAGAACATTTGTGCTTTCTTGGTTGGCATGGACAAGCGCGCGGTTCACCGAGCGCAGCGCCGTGCAATGGGTCGTCAAGGCGTCACCCATCGGCGCGATGCCGTGATAACCCCGCGCGAGAATCGACATGGCAAGCGTCCGAACCGGTGCTGCAATGGTGACCTCATGCTCGGGCGTGTCGGCAATGTCCGGCAGCAGTTCCACCCACGAACCGCATATCCGGGGCGGAGAGAATGCGGCGTCGAGGTCTATAACGTCTGGGTGCAGTGTCGGGGCAAAGTTCTGAATCAACAGAAGGATGATGTGCTGCAACGGCCAGTGCAGAGACGGGCTGATGGGGTACAGGGCGGAAGCGTGATGATCTTGGCGGGCTGGACTCTGTTGATGAGCCTCCGCTTTCAGGGCCGCCCGGCGCCGTGCCTCGGCGCGGGCATCGCCCTTGTTGTTTGGAGACTTCTTCGAGACGTCGCCATGGCGGACGCGGGACCCCGTTTTGGACATGGGTACAAAGATGAGATCGTAGTTATATCCCGCACATTTGCGCCGCGTCATGACGCATTGCGTGCAAGCCGGGCGCTTGCCATCACACTGCGACTCGTAGAGCCACCGGTCAGCGGGAGGCGCGGGAATCACAGCCCGGGGGTCTCACTCACGCCCAGCTTGCGCGCTCGGCAGGTATGGCACACGGTGACCTGTCTGACCTTCATCGCTACGGCGTTGAAACGATGAGTGCGCCGTGGCTTTGCCTCTCCGGTGATTGCCTAGGTTCGGCCTGGCGAGTTGTGTGGAATGCCGAGAGGTCGCCAGCTGGAAGAGGGTTTCGTCACTCATGCGATCCAAAAATGGGTCGCTGCCACTGCCGACCGCGGCACATCATGGTGGCTCAACTCAAAGTACTGGACTAACGCTGGGTGCGGAAACGACCTTCCTCGGATTTGATGGGACGCTTACTAGAATGTCATAATCGTACATCTACATGCAGCTCCGGTTCTCAGCATCAGCGTGCTACTCTCGCTTCCTTCCCACGCTTAAAGTCGACGGCACTAGTGCCAGAGATTACCCGGGGAAGCATGATAGTGACGGTACGGTAGTGGTGTCGCGGTTGAAGAAGCATCAACGATCGCCAATGGCCGTTGGGCATCCCCACACTCACGCTACGCTGCTTCGGGGCATTAAACCCGCCAAGACTCTCTCCAGCGCGTGCCGCACACAGATGAACATAGCGGGACATTGAGGCTGGTATGCCGCTGGGCACGATCGGGACTTCGAGAGATGCATTTGAGTGGTGTGCACAAATCGGTGAGTAAACGACTTTCATCGCTGACGGCAGAGCCAGCTTATTAAAGTACGTATCGGCCGCTATTATGCCAACACTTCATCTTCCCTCTAAGACAGCTGCCCAATCTTCTTGACCATGTCCACCTCGAGCACGTCGTGCTGCTGCCCGCTGCCGAGCTTGGTTTCGACCTGCCTGACGCGCTCGTCAAAGTCTTCGTGGGGCCCCTTGATCTTGCCAAACGCAAAGGTGTTGTTGTCGAATATGTCGTTCATCTCTTCCAGGCTCTTGCCCTTGGTCTCCTGGAAGAAGAGGAAGACGTGCACGAACGCCGCGACACAGAACGTGCCGAAGATCATGTAGAACCTCCATTGGATGTTTTGGAAGGCCGGCGGGGTCATGAAAGTCAGGGAGAAGTTGCACAGCCTGCCATCGTGGTCAGCCCGTTGACATTCCATGTGCACGTACGAAGTATGCACGACTCGCCGAGACGAATGTCGAGCGTGGGTGAGTGGGTATCTTACCAGTTGAACAACGTCGCCAGGGACACGGCCTTGGAGCGAATGTACAGAGGAACGATTTCTGAAGGGTATATCCAACCCATAGGTCTGTCGAGGAGTCAGTTGAGTCCACCGCCAAGCGCCCTGACAAGTTGACGGCCAGAAGCGACACCGATTGAGGATCAGGGGAACTTACCCCCAAGTGCAAGCAAAAGTAGCAATAAACAGGTAGCTGCACGCAATGATCGCCTTGCTAGCACTGCTGTCACTAACAACCCAGGTGATGGTCGGGCTATCCTTGAGGCCACCAGGGACGGCATGACCCTGCGTCGCCATGATGGCCCCCGTCGAGAACAGCCACACGGCCATGAGGGCGCTGCCGGCCATCATCACACGGCGGCGTGGCAGCTTGTCGACAAACAGCAGCGCCGGCACAGTCATGACGACATTGATGATGTACTGGATGCTGGCGATGGTCAAGTTGGTCGTCCCGGAGAGTCCTGCCATCTGGAAGATGTACACAATGTAGTACATGAGGGCGTTGGTGCCGCTGTACTGGGCCCAAATATGTGCAAAGATGGCGACGTGGACCCGAACAATGTTTCGCTTGGAAAACACCTCGGCCCAAGAAGTAGATCCGTACTGGATCTCTTGTCTGCCGCCAGCGTTGTTAGCCAACCGCAATGAAGGAACTGCTGAGCACATCGGCGCGACTTACTGCACACGCTCCCGGATCTCCTGAATCTCCGTTATCACCTCAGCATTTGTCGTGTCTCCGTTGGCGCGCAGCGACGCGAGAACGTTCAAGGCTTCGTCCCACCGGTCTTTGCTGGCCAGCCAGCGTGGGGAGCGCGGCATGAACGGCACGCAAATGAGGAGCACCACCGCAGGGATCATTTGCAAGCCCCACGGTACTCTGAACGAGGCGTTGGACTGGATAAAGGAGGTTCCGTACGAGACGTAGTACATGATGAGGATCTGGGGCATCAATATCAGCTGGGTTCTCCGCTGTGCAGAATGGGCGCCTGAAAGCTTACACCCCAGGTAATCATCCACTGCTGGAGCGAGATCAAACGTCCTCGACGCCTCGCGGGGCTGATTTCAGCGATATAGATCGGTCTGTGATTGATGCGTCAGCCCCTGCCAATCGAACGCGGAATCCAATCGTCTCGTACCCTTGACTGGTCAACATGCCAACAGCCCAGCCGTTGACGATGCGCGAGACGATGAGCATTGCCCGGTTCTGCACCGCGCTCATCAAGATTGAACCGCAGATAAAGATGATGCACGCGACAGCCATGGAGTCTCGTCTCCCGATCCTGTCGCCGGTCCACGAAGCAAAGAATGAGCCGAGCAGGGACCCGCCTGCCATGGAGGCTGTGATGCCGCCTTGTGTCACCGAGTTGGGCTTGGAAAAGTAGGTTTTGTACTATAAACGTGGGGATCATTTTAGTAAAAAGGGTTCTCCTGCGACTGGAGACACCAGCGTTCAATGTTGACTGACCTGTGGCGTGGCGAGCACAGCGGAGAGCGTGCTCACGTCGAAACCCTGCAACAAGCCGCCAATCGTCGCCAGCGTGGCGACGAGATACACGTTGGTGAGTCTGGGCGCCATCTTGAAGTTCCCCGAGGCTTTGATGGGCTCCAAGAGGGCCAAGAGGTCGAGTCTTCGTAGGGGCAGCAGGCAGGCGAACGAGGGTCTGGTGGTTCAAACGTCACGGACGCTCTTCGAAGCTGAGGCACCGGAGAGTCGCCTCGGTGGCAATGCTGACGACCATCGCGCCCGTATTTGTATCTGCCCGCGTCAAGCTCGCAAGAGGAAAATGCCGATTCACCAAAAGGGAGCATCAGATCTTTGTCGGCCAAGATGCTACCAAGCCACGTGCCCACGGGGCTCACCGGGGGCCTTGATTTCCCCAGAGTCTGGGGAAATGGCGTTTGTCGTTGGCGCCATCAACTCCAAATCTGTTTGGCTGGGAACCTCCACAATCCGGGCCCATCGGCTTCGCTAGTCACTATTAGGCGAGGGGCCGAGCATCTCCAGAGGGGAAGTCGTCGGCGCCGTCGCCTATTAGTATCGATGCCCCGTCGTCGCCTTTCGACCGTTCGGCTCGCCTGTGGCATTTTCAGCTCCAGCCAAGGACGACTCTTCCCGAGCGCAAAGGGGGGACCTCTGGGCCTAGGTTTGTGACCACTGCTTTGCCTGCCGTGCCGGTTGACGGCGGCTGACACTCACTCCAGGGTGTCTCGTCACTGCTGCCGCTCCCGTCGGTTTCCGCGCCTTGCTTGGGTGGCTTTTTTCGCCCCCCCCTGCGGGCTTTTCGAGCCGACAGCGCCGAAGCCGACGACACACACTATCGGCGGCCTACCACTTCAGCGCATTGGAGATACGGCCAGACGTGTAAGATGAATGGTGGCAAAGGGAAGCCGCAGTCCCCGGCGAGCCTGGAGGGGAGTTCGGAGAGAGGAAAGCGCTCCAGGACAGGTATGATGCCAGAGTGGACTCGGTTCGCGCAAACTGCGCTATACGCGCCGTCCGGCGATTACTGCTGACGACCCTGGTGCTCACTGCTCAGGATGCGGGACCTGTCGAGCGCGCAAGGTACGGGCAGCGATTGATTGAACTTTTTTTTTCTTCTTGCTGCATGAAGACCCCTTTGCTCACGTAGCGCCACAGGTGAAATGCGATGAGCGGCCCAACGGCTGCGCCAACTGCGAGCGCCTTCACATCCCCTGCCTCCGACCTGAAGGAAGCAGCTCCGCATCCCTGGCCGCTGCCGCGGGACACGCCATCGTCACAGCGGAAAAGCTTCGACGGCATCGCGCGTTCCGCTCATGTCGGCCGTGCCGAGTCGCCAAGGTGCGCTGCTCGGGCGAGCAGCCTGAATGCGAGCGGTGCCGCCAGCGCAGCCGCAAGTGCGAGTATGACGACAAGGCGGCGCCGCGATGGGTGAAGCGCGCGCGAAAGCTGCAGTCCGGCTCTGACGAGGACTTGCGCGGCGCAGAGGCACCGCTGGGAGACTCCCGTGTGGCGCTGGGGGCCCACAGAGGTCTCGGATCGAGCGCCTCTGAGAGTGACGATGTTGGTGATGAGCACACATGGAGCGGCAAAGGAGAATCGCAACGCAGGCGTAAATCCACCGCCAGATGTCAGACTCCGCCCGAAATGCAGCGGCAAGTCCGAGCCAACGGCGGTCGCCAAGTCAGCCCAGAGCTCGAATGGTGAGCCCGCTCCGAGTCCAGTCAGCGGTACGACCTGATCAATCTGACATGCTCTACGTCCAGGCTCTTTTCGCACAAGCTGCCCGCGTTCCCGTATGTCCTCCGGCTAGTGAAGCTATACTTCAAAATGGTCCATCCGCTTCGATCATTCGGCTTCATCCACCGCCCGTCATTTATGCAGTTCATTGAGGACCAGAGTGAGGCCGGTCGCAACAGCAACGTGGTCCTACTAGCCGTCTGCGCCCTCGGTGCCAAGTAAGTCAAGACCCTCAATGGAGGTACAGTAATGTTCCAGTGCCAATGGCTGCAGGTTCTTTGCAGCCTTGTCCGCGTCGGAGGAGGAGGCAGGCGAGGGGCTCGCCCTGCGCGCTGGGTGTCAATGGGCACGCAGAGCCCAACAACTGCTGTTCGCAAGCATCAACCGCCCGTCGACAGACACGGTCATGGTAAGGCTACACTGACAGTGACCGGCCCCAAAACGAGCGTCGCCACTGATCATCATGGCCTTATAGGCCGCTGTACTCTTGCACGAACACGAGCTCCGCATCGGCAACTACGCCGCCGCGTTCATGATCACCGGCCTGGCGGTGCGCTTCGCGCAGGGGCTCCAGCTCAACGTCGAGCAGCAAGTCGTCCGCGCGCGCGTCAGCCCGGCCAAGGTTATGCCCTCGCTCTACGAGTCGTGCCGGCGCGTCATGTGGAGCGTCTATGTGATGGACTCGTGGGTCGGAAGCGGCGTCGACGAGCTGACGATGCTCGACGACAAGAACATCAACATCCAGCTGCCCGCGCCCGAGAGCGACTTCGTCCTCGAGACACCCAGGGCGACGGTCCTTCCGCAGCTGCCGTCCGATGCTTGCTTCAGGACGACCAGCAGGTCCGACGATCTGGACTTGGAGGCACATTTCGTGCTGATGGTGGGCCTGCGCAAGAGAATTCTCAGGTACGTGTGGTGGCAACGCTGCGGTCGGCATCGGTGATGATGCGCAGCACTCGATAGACACACGCTGACTGCTTTTAGGGTGGTAAAACACTTGGACGAGTCGCAGCCGCCGTGGATGGAGCAGTCCGAGTACTCGACGCTGAGGGCCGAGTGCCAAGCTTGGTACAGCTCCCTGCCCGAGAGCCTCAAGTTTAGCCGGTCCGCGGTGCAGAAACGCAAGGTGTCAGGCCAACATGGGGCACTCATGCTCCTGCACATCACGTATCACCAGTCCATGTGCGACCTGACGAGAATCGGCATGGTCGAGCTGTTTCGGATCCGGGCACCCATCGTGTTCCCCGCCGAGCAGCACGAGTTCGTGCAGTCCGTGCAGGACGCCTGCTTCGACCACTGCATGGCCGTCTCTTCCGTCCTCCAAGAAGCTCTGCATCATGGTACCGAGGCCTTTGCAGACACATGGCTCTGTGTGGTGGCACACGATGTGTCGAGGGTACAGATACACTACGCGAAGAACCGGCTGGGGTCCAGCGCGCGACACGATCACTACGGCTTCGCTTCCGAGGTGAATGCCGCGCTCAGTGTCAACTTTGAGGCCCTCCACAGGATGATTCCGCTTCTTGCTTTGGCGAAGCCTCTGGTGAGCCTTTTTCTCGTCGCTCTGACCGCGCACAACTCGTCCGTACTGACCGGCTGTTCCCTGTGTATCAGCACACCGCGGCGCTCGCATTGGCCAAGTCGGCGGGCTTTGAACTGCCATCGGCCGACCCCGAAACTCGTCTCAATGCCTCTGGCAAAGCGTGAGTTGGCCCCAGGGAACAGATCCCAACCACGAGCCTTCTAACTGACGGTGTATCCCGCGCCAGACCATCACGCCCCGGCAGTCCTTGCCCACTGACTCCAGAATACGTGCTGAACCCACTTGCGATATACCGTATGGCACGCAAGGACATCCGAGAAAGCGGCCCCAGCGCAGCGGATCCCGCCGATGGAAGCTGTGCAGCCGACGATGCGTACACGGAGGAGCACCAGCCCATGCCCACGCCTGCGATGGAACCTACAGCCATCGCGGGGCCGGCGCCCGCCACAGACAACCCACAAGGCCCGGTCGATGTTATCCGGAACATCCCTTTGCCAGAGCCGTTCCAGCTTCCGATGAGCTTCGACGACCTGCAAGTGTATATGAGCCTACCGCCGCTGCTCGATGCGTATGAAGAGCCGGCGGCTCACAGGAACGGGACGGGGGCGTTCTTCGACTTCAACGGCGCGTCGGCAATGGCGCCATTCCAAGCTGCCCCTGTGCAGTTTGTGGGGTCAGCGGATCCCAGCGCTGGACTGGCCGAGTATCTGCCACAATTCGACCAACGCGGATCAATGTGGGCGACATAGGGTGACGCGGCGATCACGAGCTGGTAACATAAGCCACCGCTTTCTCGCAATTGTTGTCCTCCGTGGTCAGCGGCCTGTCACATGGGAGCAAGCCTGAGTCCGCATAGGTTCACACTATCTTGATGGTTGTGGCTGCTTGTGGGAACCCCAGGCGTTGCAGCCAGGCCTCAGCGCTGGCGCCAGACTGTATCGGCGGCCTCGACAGCTGTACGATCCCAATTCGCTTCAACGTGGTCGAGTCTCCTGTTCCAACAAAACTCGCGGTGGTAAGCACCAGCAAGTACATCGCACCAGAAACAGGCGACTCGCCCAGCGCCAAGCAAAAGACCTCGGAGCCAGAAGATATGATATCTTGCCCCGATCGAATGTCATAGTCTGCCCAGGTGGTGTTGACGGTGGATCTGAGGAACTCAAGCCGAAGAAGTTGCCATGGCTTAGCCGCGGTATCATCGCCGTCCTCATGCTGGACTGACGCCGCTGCTAGCCTCCCACGCAGCGTAAGATAGCCGTCTAGCAGCTCCCCAGTCGCATCGGTCCCTGCGCTCGAGCAATTGGCGTCCAACACCTCGCAAAGAGAGATTATGCCGGCAGCCGCATCGGGGTATTTGACGGGGCCCTTGACGGCCGCCCAAGACCATGATGGAGCTCGCCATCGAGCGGGGCGCTGTCTCTGGACACCATCGTCGCGGTCCGCATTGAAGCCGTCTACGTGCCACAGCAGGTCAGCAACGAGCGTCCTCTTCCAGAGGCCAGCCAAGTACTCTGAGTTGACGACACTCTGGAATTGCTTCGCCAATCCTGAAATGGCCGGAAGGATGTCCTTGTCCAAAGTAAGGTCCAGCTTGGTATACTCCTCGACCAGCCGATGCCAACATAGCTCCAGCTCCGAGTCGCTGAGCGTTGTCCAGTAGTGGCGACTGAAATAGGTCTTTGGCTGCGAGACATGATCTAGCGCGACGTTGTCGGGAGGAGCTGAAGTCCGGTCGGAAGGGCCTTGGCACGTGCACTGGCAGAGGCTGTCTTCGAGACACTCCCAGAAGAGTTCTTGTGGCCCGAAGTGCAGAACGCGTGGTGACAAGAAACGCTCTTGGAAGATCCACCCACGGGTGAGCGTTGGAAGATCGGGCGTCATCCCCAGTCTCTGGTCCATGTATCCTGAAATGTGGGCGAGGGATCGCCGGAAGCAGATCGTCTCAACATTACCGTCGGCAAGCGAATGTTCTAAATAGTGCGTTGCAAATGACGAGCCACACTCGGCGAAGAGGCCGTCGTCGACGTCGACGGAGCTGGAGGCGGAAACGACCAAAAGTGCCTGACTGAATATCGTGCCCATCTTGCTTGACTCCCGCCTCCAGTCTTCCGCGTCATCTTGAACGATGCAGAGGCTGTCAATCCACAGGTACCTGACTCCCAATCTCCTCACGAATAGTATGGTCTCGCGATATGTTCGAGGCAACGCCACCCAAGGGACCTCTTGGTGGTGCTGGCTCACATTGGACGACAAGGTCTGCAAGACGGGAGCGCGGCCCCAGCGGTGGCTGAGACAAACGTAGTTGGAGTGCTCGTCGTCACCTTCCTGTTCTACGAGGCGCACCGGGTCGCCATCCCGGGCGCCGATGTCGAGGATACGTTGCGCGCGGCCGCGTGGCGCCAGGAGGCGGGAGCGGCGGCACATCGTGTGGGACGCGTTGCACCGCGACAGACACTTCCGCGCCCACGCGAGGCTCGCGTCGGTGGCGGTGCCGGCGGGCACGTCAAATCCGATCGGCACATCAGGAAACGTGCTCGCGATCCAAGAAGACCCTACGAAACACAACGGAGTCGTTAGCGGGCGCGCGGTTCGGGCTTCCCGCCTTTGGCGCGTCGCTTCCGCAGCCAACTCAAGGCACGGCGCGCCAAAGTCCGGGCCCAACAACAAGGCCCGGTGCATGTGGCGGCCGGACAAGGGACGGGTGGCCAAGGGTTCTTATCTCACTTGTAGATGCGGGCGGGGCGAGAACGGAGATTGGCAGCCCGCGTGAGAAAACAAACATGCCCAGGCCCCGGCCAGAGGCCGCCGCGTTGAAGTCGAGTCGCAGCAGATCATGACCGACTTTCGGGGGCACCGCCGCCGGCGGATCAGCCCCATCATCAGCGAGGGCACGGACCAGTGCGCGGGAGAGGACGGAGCATGTGACGCATCCCGCGCGGCCCGCAGCGGTCATGCTGCCGAGGCTGGTGATGACGGAGGCCCGGCCGCCACTCGGGGGTCGGGGATGGTTGCAGGCCCGGCACGGTCCACACTGCTCAGGTTCGGGGCCGCGAAGGCTGGTGGCGGTGGTGGCCATCTTGGATCAGGCTTGGGGGGCTCCCGTGCACAGCGGCAACAGGAGGGTAGGGCAGTGTGCCGCAGCAGCGGTGCGGTAGGTGGTATTGTTGCGCGTCTTGCGTGGCGGGTGTGCAAGGAACGGGAAGCGGAAAGTTCAGACGGTGTGTGTGCGTGGAGCCCAGGCTGGAGGATGACGATCTGGCCGTGACGTGACAGTCGGCGCCAGGTCAATTCCCGACGCCGGCCGGGGGGGTTGCGGGTTGCAGGGATCCGCCGTCGTGAGTGGATTGGCGGCGGCGGTTTCTGTTGTTTTGTTTTTTGTTTGGATCTGCTGGGCGGCATTTCCTGTTCCCAAGGGCGCAGGGGTGCGACACCTCCCTACCCGGCAGCAAAACTTTGCGAACCCGCGAGCCCGTATTCGACACGGACCGTCAACGGGGTTCGGGCATGGCTTTTCTGTGAAGCGTTGGGCGTTGGGGACGGTCCAGTATGGATGTGGCCGTCTTGGACAAGATCAGTGGCCTCGGGGCGAGGCTGTGTGCGGTGCGCCCCCAAGTCGGGTGTTATAGAGTTTCGGCTAGAAATGTGCAGCAAGCCGAGCAACCGGTCGACGTTGCACGCGCCCGAGTCCGATACCGATGCGGCCTCTTTGGCGACTGCACGAGTCCATTGTCCATGTGTCCGTCTTCAATCTCGACTCGCTTGATATGCATCACCACCGCTCGCTAGGACCGCTTGATGCATCACGCACCAGACATTTATCAGTCACACCTTCGGAGCTCCCGCCCCCTCCGGGGGCGGTTCAGACGCACAAACTGCCGGCCCTTCGGCGCCTGCGTATTCTCCGGCTCGCCCGACTGCCGGCGTCCGCCAGGCGCCAGAAGGTTTCGCTAGCTCGGTCCTGGTTCCCGAGCGCGCCAAAAAGTGGGAGGGCGGGTCCTTGTCCCGCCCCAGCTTCACACCCTTGACACCTTGGCAAGTGAAATGCTTGGGTCGTTCGTAATTAGACATCACATGCCAGAAGCAGTCGAGCGTGGGACGCACGCCCTGGCCTTTGCTATCCATGCTATCCTCGTGGTGGGCCAGGGCGAGGGGCAGTGCATCGGCTTTTGCCCACTGCCGACAACGTCGACCATGCTGGGCTGAAGATTGGCAACCTGAGGGACGGGACTGCACAATGACGCTTCCGGAGCCACCGGGGGTGTAACAAGTCCGGTCTGTCAACTCCACCCCATCAGGGACGCCGTAGGGCTCGACGGGACTGGCCAATGCCGTCAAGATGGACAGACAAGGTTGGAGCTAGGCAGCATGTGGATTCATCGAACGCTTGTACCCCTCGCTCATATTAAGTCAGAGTCCCTGCTCCCACCGCATCGTGCTCGTGAGTCTCGCGCTGGGTGCATGTGTATTCCTGGAACGAGACGTGGCTACTAAACGAGAGATTCTCGTCTCTGAATGGCCGTCACAAACCACCATGTCGAGCCCTGAAAAGCAGCCGGCGGCCAGCAGCGGCGACGAAGCCGTTGCGCCGCTCGGCGACCACGACAACACCCACGGGGGTCAGCCCATCACAACCAGCACAGATACCCCCGCCGAGAAAGATGCGTCAACGGCCAACGAGCCCAACTCGTCGTCGTCGTCTTCGGAAGAGCCGACTTTCGAGCCGCTACAGCGGTTGGACAGCACGCGCATGATTGAGAACCAAGACAGGGATGAGCTCGTCCGAATCGCTACCGCCCTGTCTCGCAGACGGTCCAGCATCGGCGACCAACCTCGCATAAGCCAGGTGCTCACCGGGACGGAGGCATACGAAACGTCGCTGGACCCCGAGAGCAGCAACTTCGACCTCTCCAAGTGGTTGCGCCGCTTCGTCGACCAGCTGCAGGCGGAAGGCGTCGAAGCCAGGCGCACCGGCGTCGCCTTCCGGAACCTGGACGTCTTCGGATCTGGCGCGGCGCTGCAGCTCCAGCAGACGGTCGGGTCGTTCTTGCTGGCCCCCGCGCGGCTGGGTGAGCTCCTCAGTTTCGGCAAGAAGCAGCCCAAGCAGATCCTCCATGGCTTTGAGGGCCTGGTCAAGAGCGGTGAGCTCCTGGTTGTGCTGGGCCGTCCCGGATCTGGCTGCAGCACCCTGCTCAAGACCCTCTGCGGCGAGCTCGAGGGCCTGGAGCTCGGCTCCAACTCCGTCATCCACTACAACGGCATCCCGCTGAAGCAGATGCAGCGCGAGTTCAAGGGTGAGACCGTCTACAACCAAGAAGTCGACAAGCACTTCCCACACCTCACTGTCGGGCAGACGTTGGAGTTTGCCGCCTCTGTCCGAACCCCCTCGCACCGCATCCAAGGCATGTCTCGCGCCGAGTACTGCCGCTATATCGCGCAGGTCGTCATGGCGGCCATTGGTCTGAGCCATACCTATAACACCAAGGTTGGCAACGACTTCATTCGCGGCGTCTCTGGCGGCGAACGCAAGCGTGTCAGTCTCGCCGAGATGGTGCTGGCCGGCAGCCCGTTCGCTTGCTGGGATAACAGCACGCGTGGACTCGACTCGGCGACGGCCTTCAAGTTTGTCCAGTCCCTGCGCCTCATCTGCGACGTTGGAGACCAGACCAACTGCGTCGCCATCTACCAGGCCAGCCAGTCCATATACGAGCTCTTCGATAAGACCACAGTCCTCTACGAGGGCCGGCAAATTTACTTCGGGCCGGCAAACCAGGCGAAGCGCTACTTCGAGAAGCAGGGCTGGCACTGCCCGCAGCGGCAGACCACCGGCGACTTCCTCACCTCCGTCACGAACCCTCAGGAGAGACAGGCGCGCGAGGGCTGGGAGAATAAGGTCCCCCGCACGCCAGAGGAGTTTGAGCGGTGCTGGCGCCAGTCACCCGAATACGACGCGATGAAGGCGGAGATCGACGAGTACGACAAGACCTACCTGCATGAGCAGCAGCATGAGAGCGTCGCCCAGTTCCGCGAGCAAAAGAACTACCGCCAGGCCAAGCACGTCCGGTCCAAGTCCCCCTACATCATCAGCACCTGGATGCAGATGCGCCTTTTGAGCAAGCGCGCGTACCAGCGCATCTGGAACGACATATCTGCCACCCTCACGCAGATCCTCTCGTTGTTATTCATGTCCCTCGTCATCGGCTCCATCTTCGTCGGCACCCCCGACGCCACCGTCGGCTTCTACGCGAAAGGTTCAGTCCTGTTCATGGCCATTCTTCTCAACGCCTTGACGGCAATCTCGGAGATCAGTGGTCTCTACGAGCAGCGCCCGATTGTCGAGAAACAAGCTTCGTACGCCTTTTATCACCCCGCGTGGGAGGCAGCAGCCGGCATCCTGGCGGACATACCCGTCAAGTTCTGCACAGCTGTCGTCTTCAACGTTATACTGTACTTCATGTCGGGGCTTCGACGAGAAGCCGGCCCATTCTTCCTCTACTTCCTCGTTTCCTACATTACTGTCTTCGTCATGAGCGCCATCTTCAGGACAATGGCCGCTGCGACAAAGACAATTTCGCAGGCAATGGCGTTGTCAGGAGTCTTGGTTCTTGCTCTTGTCATCTATACAGGCTTCGTCATTCGAGTGCCAGACATGCACCCTTGGTGAGTTGACAGCGCGGCGCAGCCCCTCAATCGCGGGCCCCCAAGACAGCCTCAGCTAACAGCTCTCCGCGCACAGGTTCGCGTGGATTCGATGGATCAACCCGATCTTCTACGCCTTTGAGATTCTTGTCGCCAACGAATTCCACAACCAGGACTTTACCTGCTCGGCCATCATCCCGCCATTCTCGCCACCGATCGGAGACTACTGGGTGTGCAACGCAGTCGGCGCTGTTCCCGGGCAATACACGGTGAACGGAGATGCCTTTATCCAAACTAACTATGAGTACTACTACTCGCATGTTTGGCGCAATTTTGGTATTCTCTGTGGCTTCCTCGTCTTCTTCATGCTCCTGTACTTCTTGGTCGTCGAGATCAACTCCTCAACCACCAGCACGGCAGAGACACTCGTCTTTCAGCGAGGCCACGTTCCGCAGTACCTGCTCACGAACAAGGGGAAACTCGTGCAGGAGAGCGGAGGCCCCGCCCAGGAGGTCAAGAAGGCCGATGAAGGAGTCTCAGACGTCAGGGGTCTGGAGCCTCAGAAAGATATCTTCACATGGCGCAACGTAGTGTACGACATCGAGATCAAGGGCCAGCCTCGCAGGCTCCTCGATCATGTCTCTGGATGGGTCAAGCCCGGCACCCTCACGGCGTTGATGGGCGTGTCAGGCGCGGGCAAGACAACCCTGCTGGATGTGCTGGCTGAACGAACTACAATGGGTGTCATTACCGGCGACATGCTGGTCAATGGTGAGCCAAGAGATGCGTCCTTCCAGCGCAAGACCGGATATGTACAGCAGCAAGGTAAGTTGCGAGCGCCTCTTCGAACCTGACTACGCCGAGGAGTCAAGAAGCGTTTAGCTAACCTCCGCAGATTTGCACCTTGAGACAGCGACTGTGCGTGAAAGTCTCCGCTTTAGCGCTATGCTTCGACAGCCCAAGTCCGTGAGCAAGAAGGAGAAGTACGAATTTGTCGAGGATGTCATCAAGATGCTCAACATGGAAGACTTTGCCAACGCCATCGTCGGTGTCCCCGGCGAAGGCCTCAACGTCGAGCAGCGCAAGCTCCTCACCATCGGTGTCGAGCTGGCCGCGAAGCCCAAGCTGCTTCTGTTCCTCGATGAGCCGACCAGCGGTCTCGACTCGCAGAGTTCCTGGGCCATTTGCGCCTTCCTCCGCAAGCTCGCCAACTCGGGCCAGGCCATTCTCTGCACCGTCCACCAGCCGAGCGCGGTCCTCTTCCAGCAGTTCGATCGCTTGCTGTTCCTTGCCAAGGGTGGCAAGACCGTCTACTTTGGTGACATTGGCGACAACTCCCGGACGCTCCTCGACTACTTCTCGTCGAGAGGCGCGCGCAAGTGCGGCGACGAGGAGAACCCGGCCGAGTACATGCTCGAGATTGTCAATAACGGCACAAACAGCGATGGCGAGCCTTGGGACAAGGTTTGGAACTACAGCGACGAAGCGCAGGGCATTCATACCGAGCTTGACCGAATTCACAATGAGAAGCTGAGCAACCGAAACAGCGGTACCACGGGAGCCACGGGGGCTTCCGTCTCGCACGAGGACAGCCGCGAGCACGCCGAGTTTGCCATGCCGTTCATGACGCAGGTCTTTATCGTGACGCACCGTGTCTTCCAACAGTACTGGAGGATGCCCAGCTACATCTTCGCCAAGTTTGCCCTCGCCATTTTTGCGGGCCTGTTCATCGGCTTCACTTTCTTCAATGTCGACAACACTGAGGCGGGTACCCAGAACGTCATCTTCTCCGTGTTCATGGTCACCACCATTTTCACCACGCTGGTGCAACAGGTAAGTTTATCACGGAAGAACTACCAGCTGTGACTCGTCTGACACGTCCAACTAGATTCAACCCTTGTTCCTCACCCAGAGAGCGCTGTACGAGGTCCGCGAACGGCCGAGCAAGGCATATTCGTGGAAGGCCTTCCTCATTGCCAACATCGTCGTCGAGATCCCGTGGCAGCTCGTTGCCGGCGTCCTCATCTACGCCTGCTTCTACTACCCAGTCGTCGGCATCCAATCGTCCCAGCGTCAGGGTCTTGTTCTCCTGTACATCCTTCAGCTCCTGGTCTACGCCTCGGCCTTTGCCGATATGACGATTGTGGTGATGCCAGACGCCCACACCGCGTCGTCTGTGGTCACAGTTCTCACCATCATGTCCATCATCTTCTCCGGCGTCCTCCAGACCGCGGATGCGCTGCCGGGCTTCTGGAAGTTCATGTATCGCGTCAGCCCCTTTACATACTGGATCGGCGGCATCGTCGCGACCGAGCTTCACGGAAGGCAAATCAACTGCTCCGAGACGGAACTGAGCATCTTCAACCCCCCTCCGGGATATACCTGCGCCCGGTACCTGATGCCCTTGGAGGGGAAGGCTCCCGGACAGCTGCTCAACCCCATGGCTACAGAGCAGTGCATGTACTGCCCGGTCACGAACGCGGATCAGCTCCTGGCGGCCTCACGCATCTACTGGAGCGACCGCTGGCGTAACTGGGGCATTTTCATGGCGTACATTGTCTTCGACATCTTTGTCGCCGTTCTTCTTTATTACCTATTCCGCATCAAGAAGGCACATACGGGCTTCTCCGGCTTCAGCCTGCCATGGCTGAAGAAGTCAAAGAAGGGAGGGTCGTGAGGCTCGTCTTGATTTGTGTTTTTAATTTTGTTTGTTGCCTCCGGCTTGGGGGATGCCGGACTCCCCAAAACACGCCGTGACATGTAACTGGTGGAACAGTAAATGCTCTTTCCAGCGCGATATAGACTATGCTCTCTCCGTTTTTATTGTTTTATTTTTACCACGTACTATTTGGTTATAATCCTAACACCGTACCATTTTTTTTGGTCGTAACCTCACAAGCTTTCTTGATGATTTGGAACGACTCGCGCGGTCCTGAGCGCCTGATGCGAGACCAATGTTCGCGCACTGGGGTCAGCGGCGCCTAGGCCAGGGAATGTAGCACCCACAGGTTGTAACGTGAGACCAGTGGTACAAGACGCCTTGCGGGCGGGGTGGAAGGAGGCCCAACCGAAACCCAGGGCACTGTTGCTGAACAAACACACTTCTCAAGACCCAAACATCAGTCAATGAAGCTTCCATCTTAGCTGGCTTTCCCCAAATGACCCTTGCAGAGTAGGGAAGAGGTTCTTTCGTGGTGTAAGTCTTGGAGCTCCCATGAAATTTCCCTCACGCTCGGCGACTCTGCGGCTCCGATCGCAGTGCCACGACGTTTAGCGAAACGTGGTAATTTTGCCAAATGTGTCTGCCATGCCCCAGATTCCCGCCCGCAGGCAGCTCAGCTGCACGATCTGGGAGTGATCCACGAACAAATTCACGTCGACCCCAAACTCGCGAATGTACCAGTTGAAGACTGCCGGGTCCGCGGCCTCAAACATGACCTTTTCGGACGGGAGCTCCCGCAGGATGTACTCGATGACGTCGGTCCGCCACTTGGTAACGTTCTCGGTGATGCCCTCGCTCTCAATCATGATGCGCTCGACGCCCGCGTCGATGAATTGCTTGCCGGCCTTGACGATCTTGGACGGGTCAGACGTGCCGAGGGACTCGAGCTCCGCGGACGAGGTGTCGCCGCCGGCGCCGAACTGGATACCGATCTCGGGTTTGGCAATCATGCCCTCGTCATGCACCTTGTCAACGAGCCGGAGCCAGTCGTCCTGCGGCAAAGAAAGGAACCCAGACGATATCTCGATGACATCGAAGCCGACGTCCTTGCACTTCTTCACGTAGCGATCGACGGCCGTCTTTGGATCCGACTGTGTAAGGATGTGTTCCATCCAGCCGCCCTGTCAGTCGACCCGGCGTCAGTAAGCTGTCGCATCACGACTTGTCAATGCCGGGCGTCATGCGCACCGTCGATACGTATGCATTGTTCTCGTGGGCAAGCTGGATCAGCTCCCGCAGCTTGTCCTCGGGGAAGAGGGAAAACGACCCGCCGGCGAACTTAACGCCATCGACTTGGTATCCCATTCTGTCACGGTCAGATGGTATTCTAGCCAATGTCAATCGCAGGAAGCCAAACGAACGTATCAAAGACGTCTTGCAAGTAGCGCTTGCCGATGGCCGAGTAATACGGGCCGCGGATCTCGGTCACGCCAATCTTTCTAGGCTTCGGCGGCCTCGGGTTGTGGCGTGCGAAGCCGAACCCATCTTGCTGCTCAATCATAATTTTGGGATTATCTGCAGACCTGCTGCCCAAGCCCGTAGAGAATCGGTATGCTGCGACAAGCGGGAGGCGCCTCATCGCCAGAGTGTTTGGGCGCATCGCAGGCAACACGGCGTGTCCGCCTGTGCAAAGGCATCGTAGCGTCGGAGTGCTCATGACGAATGGAAAAGGCAAGCAAATGAGTCGAATTGGGCATACGCTTGCGTATAACAGAGAAAGCCCTGAAGCTGGGCGGAATGCCCGTGTTGTGATGTCTTTTAGCCGGGTTCTTGTAAATGATGGTGCTTGACGTCACCCGAACCTCACTGTCACACGATGCAATTACATCACGAGATATACTTGCTGTGCGATCAACCGAATCGCCGGAGAGAAGCTTTTTGACGCCGCGTCGGAACAGTTACGGACCGGCGACGTCGTAACAGCGTGATGGGCAGGGTCTTCTTGGTTCTTGGGTCGGTGGTTTTGGTGCACTCAGCCGGCGCCGTGATCGCTCGAGCTTCGGGAGTGGGATCGGGAAACCGCACTCAGCATCGTGGCTAAGGCTCTAAATGCGCGGATATAATTCGTACGTGACGTTCAATTGCTTCGCGAAAGCTTACATCGAAAAGAACCCTGATGTTGACAAAGATGACCTCCAAAAGTCGTGTCTGGTCATTGACGACTTATCTCGTAGCTGCCTGAGCAGAAGATGACGCGCTGCGACGTGCCTGTGGGCTGCCCCTGGCAGCTTCCTGAGTCGGTGCCTCGTGTGTGGAACTGAGCTTTCAGCAGGGCCCGCTTGTCGCTACCAGATCGATTCGTGAGTGGATCCCTCCATGTTGCTCGCAGGGATCATGAGCCTGCCTTTGCCCTTCCTGGTCCAAGCTCGTCCTCGCGAATGGCCCCTCGGCCGCAAGCGAGCCGCTCGTCCAGCGGCCAGACCCTGATCATCGCTCTCCAGAGCGGCCCAAGTTCCGTCGACCACGTTTCTCCGTACCGCTCATCGTATTTCTCCGTCTAAAAGCCGCTGACTATTACTCGACCGAGCTCGATTCCAGCATGACTTCGGCAACGAGGGTAGCCGTCCCGCGATGGCCTTCCCCCCCAGGCCGAGTCCGTACTGGTCACATGGCGGGAAGACGAGTGCCTGCGGCCCCTATCCTCAGCCGCAAACCCCCGTGGCGCATGCGGCATCTTTTCAGCTGCCAGGGGCCGTTCTCACGCCTCCCGAAGACCCATCGTGCCCTTCCGAGGCGCCCCAAGTTCTGCGCCAAGGCCGCCAGACCATTCGTCCCTGGCGAGCAAGTGCGCCTTTCTGTTGGACGAGTGTGGAAATGAGGCACAATGGCGTTGGAACAGCTCGCTTCGCGCCCGCTTGGCGCAGGTGGTGGTGCCGGCAGGCTGCTCCCGTGAGCCTTTTGGCAAGACTCGCTCGGGGGCATTCAGTTGCGCCCATCCAAACTTGACTTCTTTTTCATTGTTACTATCTTGCGAGACCTTGTGGATGACGGCGTAAACGGCGACATAAATCCCAGCCGACACGATGCGGCGCTCAAGTTGCCTATCGCTGGCATCAGCGGTCTGCCTTGCCGGCTCCGCCGCGGCTGTGGACGTCGTGTACGTGACCGACATCGCCATCTACTCCATCCTGGTACGTGCAACGCGACAGCCTATTACGACGCGATTAAGAAAGAACCGTCGCGGCATGATACTGATGCGCTGCGGCGTGATTCACAGGCACCGTGTGCTAAATCCGCCATCTCATACAACATCGCGTCCGAAACGTACAACTCGAAATGCGGCGACGGGGCGACCGACCTGCAATCATGCATCTGTTCCAACACCAAGGAGCTGCAGTCCGTCAACCAGCGCATGACGAGCGCGGTGACGTCGAGCTGCGGCACCACGGCGTCTGACGACGTCTGGAGCGCCTCCAAGATCATGGACAAATACTGCAACCCGGCCAAGGCCGTAGCCTTTCCGACGCCGACGACTAATGTTGTCAATGCCTTCATCACTGAGCTGGCCGAGATCTCCTACTTGCCCCAGTGTGCGCAGTCGGCGGTTTCGTACGCGGTAATGGGAGATGTATGCTACCCCGAGCGCAAACGCGTCGCAAGACCCATTTGGTCGAAACTTGAAGCTGACGGCCCCTAGAACCGAGAGTTCTGCCCTGAAGATGCGAGCCTCTTTGCCTCATGCGTGTGCAAGGATTCAAAGGTTCAGGTTGTCAGTCAGTCTCTGAGCAAATCGGTCCGGTCATCCTGTACGAACAACGACGACGTGACGGCTGCGGTTGGCTTCTTTGGCGAATACTGTGCCATGAACAACGGCACTACGTCCTTTGCGAAGCCGAAAAGTCCACCGGGAGACAGTACGCTTTGTTTTCCACATCCTCAGAAAAGATCTGTGGCTGACTTGTTCGCCAGTGACGTATCACATCACCGGCCTGCCGCAGTTCAAGTCTCTCAACAAATGCGCCCAGTCAGGCGTCTCATCCGCCGTTTTCGCCGTACGTTTCCCATCCACTGTATGTGAAAGCCTTGCGCCGATGTATACTAACACCGATGTCGCAGCAAATGTCCTGGAACTGCGCCACCGGCGCTCAAGCCCTGGCATCCTGCGTCTGCCTCAAGTCGGGGATGCGCGGCAGGGTCTCGAGCACTCTCACCTCGGACGTCAAAGCGTACTGCTCCAGCACAGCAACGGACGACGTCACTTCTGCGATGGCTGTTTTCGACTTTTACTGCAGCGCAGCAGACAAGAAAGTCGTCGCCACCGGCGCGGACTCGGTCTCGGAGACGCAGCCCACCGCCATGAGCCGCACTGGCGCGACATCGCCTAACGCGAGCAAGACAGCGGGGCCCTCGGGCACGGGAGGCGGCAGCGGAAGCTCCGACAGCAAGGACACGAACGGCGGTAGTGGGGGGTCAGGCGGCGGGAACAAGACGGCCATCATCGCGGCGAGCGTCCTGGGAGGCGTTGTCGCCATAGGCATTGTGGCAGCCATCGTCTTCTTCATCCGCCACAGGCGTCGGAAGCAAGCAAGAGGAGAGCAGATCCCCGGGCCGCCCGATGACAACCAAGGAAAGTCGGAGCTCGACGGCAAGTCTGACTGGACCGGCAGGATAGGATCGCCTGCAAGTACGAACCCGATGCCTGAGCTGCACACGCCGAGTCATTCCCCACGGCCAGAGCTGCACGGCGGCGGAGGCATCGTCTCCGAGCTGGGCCCCTATCAAGCTCCCCGGACCGAACTCCAAGGCGACCTTTCATCCAACCATTCCAACCATTCGCCGCATCAGCCAACCCCGTACGGCGTCAGTCCGAGCTACAGCCAGCACCCTCAGAGCCCCTACAGCGGTAGACCTGGGTACGAGGTGTCGCCTGCTTCGGCCCAGGGCACAGGGCATCCGGGGTATGCCCACGGCTGGCAGTCCGGCCCGGTCGAGTCATATGAACTCGACTCAAACATGGGGAGGCGGCATCAATGACACATGTACGAGACAGAGACAAATAATGAAAGCGCAATTTGACCTTTAACATTCCCCTGTCTTACTGGCCCGCTCCCTTTCGCACTGCTGGAACAATATGGGCAAAGCCGTGTTTAGGCGGAGGCGCACGACCAGCGACTCAGTGCAGGTCTCGCGGCTTCAATACATGAGAGCGCCGGCGCCATCAATTGGTCAAGATAGAAACAGCAAACGCCGGTTCAAAGCAGACACCTTCGCTGCGACCAGCTGATCCGGGCATCAGAGAGTTCGGCGCGGGAGCGCCTCACACATGCACCAACTTAGCACTAGCATGGTGGTCGTCTCCTTCGACTTGCGGCCAGCGCTACTTGTTGTTGCCGAATCGGCCAGAAGGCTTCAGTTTGGCAAGCAAATTCGCAGAGGAAGCCTCGGAGAGCACCCGTGACACACCACAACGTATATTAAATGCTGTGTGCCATTGGTTAGGCCAGTGCGGGGGTGGAACAACACCGGCGCCCCAAAAGGCATGCGCTGTCGTCGTGGGGGGTGGACTGCCGAATGCTGGATCAGTTATTCCCTGCTGTCAGGTCCGATCGACGAAAGATTGACATTTGTGGAAGCTGCAAACATGCATACCGCCTTAGCTTAACGTCGTCGGTTAACGTTACTCTGGGCACTATCTTTCCCCGGAAGCAGCTCGGACCAAGCTTTCGCCTCGTCGGATTATCTTGACGGGAACCATTCGAACGACCTGTCGCAATCATCCGTGTTTCCTCCACGATGCGGAGCAAGCATTGAGATAAGCCAGGAGATGTACATTGACACTATACACACTTCCGCCAGCAATGGAAGCGTCTTTTAATGTTCATGGTCCCTTCACTACGAGACTGAAAGGGGCCACAGCGCGCGATTCCCATTGTTCGAAGTAGTTGGGAAACATGCCGCGCAAGTGGGGGTTAGGGTGTGCTTGTGCCCGCGTCCGTCGGTGCCGCCAACTAACGACAGGGTTGCTCAACTACGGTTCATTGTCCAACGCCCGCGCCAACGTTCCGACTTATCCGTTGAACCGCGCGCCGACCACGGACAGGTGGAACTATTCGGGAAGGCGCGATGATCCGAAACTGTATCAACGGCTGTAATGCCGAAACTCGGCAGTCGCGAGGGCAAAGCCGCAGCGGCCGCCCAAACCGTTGGGTCCCGTCGATGCGCGGCCCAGCCGTTCCATATCGTCAGCCAACACGCCAACAGTGGCTGCAATCCTTGGACGGCACATATGAGCTCGAAAAAGGCACGGATTGTTCTGCTGATAGCCCTTGAACCGAATTTACCTACAAACTTGAACGGACTTACGCAGATGACTGGTGAAGCTCATTCGTCGACCTTGACGGCAACAACAGGGTAGACAACCGCGGGCGGAGGAGACTTCGAAGCAACTAGTCTTCTATGTCAGTTCGTATAGGAATAAACACCCAGAGACGTAGATAGAGAAGATAGTGTACCGCAGCCAACGCCATGCAGGTTCGGGAAAGTGGTATTGACTCGCAACCAACATTCAAAGGGGCCAAGCGCGGATGATGGACTTTGCAAGACGGCCGTCGAACCAAATACACTGGACAAAACCTCCTTACTGTGCACACCGAGCAATGACAGGCTGTGGGCAGAGTCGTCTTGAGAAACTATATAAGGCCCTCAACAAGCACAGACGCTGGTGGCTCTGGGTTGCTATTCGGTTGCAGGAACACCTCAAATTCTCTATTACTCAAATCACTTGTCACCATGAAGCTGATCTCTGGACTTGCCACCCTTGTCTCCATCGCGGCCGCCGCGCCATCCATGGTTGACCGGGCGTCCTCTCCCCTCAATGTGAAGCTGGAGAAGGCGGGCAACTCGGCCATCAAGGCTACTATTTCCAACGTTGGCCATGAGGACCTTCGGATCTTCCGCCCGGGATCCATCTTTGACAGCTCGTCTGTCGAGAAGGCCAAGGTCAAAGCCGGCGGTGAGTATTTTGTCGACACTCAAGGCCATGACAGGATACATGTCGCTGACGGGGCTGCTTAGACCGAGAGATCGGATTCGCTGGAATTAGGAAGCGAGTTTCCACATCCAAGATTGCGGATGCGTCATTCCAGCACATCTCCGCGGGCCAGTCGATCGTAGTCACCTTTGACATCGCCGCGACACACGACCTCTCAGCGGGTGGAGACTTCCACGTCGTATCCGCTGGGAAACTCATGATCGCCGGTAAATCTGGGGACAATAAAATTGTCAAGTCGCTGCCATACCAGTCCAACGTGCTCGAGACGAAGATCGACGGGGCACAGGCAGCGGCCGTGCGGGCAAAGGCCAATAAGCAGTGGAAGCGCACCAATGTCCAGAGCGACTGCACTGGAGAGCGGCTTTCCGTCACGGAACAGGCCCTCCAAAACTGCGAGTCCTTGTCGCGGACCGCGCAGCAGGCCGCTTCCTCGGGTCCCGCCGAGAAGATGGAGGAGTTCTTCAAGGCGTCTGACAGCAACACCCGCAACACCGTCGCTGGGGTCTTTAGCCGTGTTGCTGAAGAATGTGGCTCGACGAGCTCTGGCGCGTCCACCTACTACTGCACCGACGTCGGCAACTACTGCGAGAGCAACGTTTTGGCGTACACGGTGCCGAGCCAGAGCTACATGGTGTACTGCGACCTCTACTTCAACGACCTTCCGCCGCTGACCAGCACTTGCCATGCGCAGGATCAGGCGACGACTAACCTTCATGAGTGCACGCATTTGACGGAGATTCAGGGCACGGACGATCTCGGCTACGGCTACGATGCCATTCTGCAGCTCTCTGCTTCCGAGGAACTCAACAATGCCGACACGTACGCTGTGTTTGCCAACTCCCTGTATGCTGGCTGCTAGAACATGAACACTGCAGAGTGCAGGCAGCCGGCCAATGAGGCGCGGAGTGCTGAGGTGTGGTGGTTGCACGCTGCTATGAACGTTGGACGCGGAGTACATTGAAGGAACAGCAGCAGGATTTGATGCATGTGCCTGAGCTTCAATCATTTCTCTGTTGAATGCAACAAGTTTGCGGTGTGATGCACGTGGCCAGCCCTGTGAGGATCGAGTCAAGCCTCTCATGCGCGGGTGAGGCTGTGCTGCCACACCCCTCATCCCCGGTCAACCCCTCAACTTTTCTCGTCCCGTAAGCTCGGCACCGGCCCCGGGCGAACATTGCTTGGCGATGAAAGCCAAGTCACCACCATGATTCCTCACACCTGCCGCTCTCGCTTCTCAGCCGAGGCCAAGCCGGGCGCGAGTGGCTTCCTTGGCCGAGTCCTTGGCTCGCGGTCAAGGGTAAAAAACATGTCCAGGGTGAAAATACAGGGCGTTGAGCCCGATAACGTGCATGCAGCCTGCCTTAGCTTCTCCACAGCCCTGCCAACGCTGGCCTGCGAGACGCCCAATCGCCTGGACTGGTCCCTGCCGAGAAAGCTTGTTCTCAACCCCAGATTCTTCGTCGCACTTGGCAGACGTGCTAACTATTGTGCCTCTTCTTCCATATCCACGGCTAAAGATGTGCAGGAACCAACTCGGCCGTCTTTCTTCATAGAAACGCTCCCTTCGCTCTTCTTGCCGCCACAACGATGCAGTCCCCAGCGGCGCTGCCCGCCCGCGCCCGCCCGCCGCTCTGCGGCCACTGCACCTGCAGCAAAGCACAGTGATAACCCTAAATCTAAGTCTAATTTCAGCCTCGTTGCAACCAGGAACACGAAAAATACGACGGCTGAACGCGGACCCAGCTCGCGACTTCTCAAAGGCTCCCCTCCCCACCAATCAACAGGAGTGATCCCAGATCCCGATGCCTTCTTGAGCTAGCTCAGACACCAAGGTCGCCCGCACGTTGTCGTTGGGCTCTCTCGCGACGACGCCGGAGCCGCAGATCCCCTTGGTCACGCCCTTCCCCCATCCAGGCCATTCCACGATGGTGCCTGCGGCGAGACCCGTTTCCCTCAAGCCACACGGTCGAGCTCGCCCAGTATCAGAAATTTCTTCTGCGGCTTGGAAATGATCGTCCCCTCGCAGAATGGTCACTGCACACCTTTTGATTCGCGAAGGGTCAAGCGGCGCGGAGCAGGCTGAACCACGATGCCAAAAATGGCACCGGGCGGTCGGGACCACCCTGCGAGAGTCAGCCCTCGGCATGTGAGGGTTGGCATCGGTAGGGCTGCATCGCAAGACAAGGCGCTTTTTCCATTCTGTCTGCCTGCCAGGAGGCAGACACTTGCTGGACACCCCATCGAGAAATACGAAATAAGAAGTGGCTTGTCTTTCCCGTGAACCATCTCCTATTTTACCCCTTTCTCCCCCGTCCTTCTGTTGCAGTCTGTATCCTTCTTTTGGCATTCTGCTGTGACCATTGTCAAGTTCAGGAGTCGTTCATTACTCCTTGAATCACATCATATCGACAAGCGTTTGTGCTTCCCAGCCATCCTTTACCATGCGATCCTTCCTTGTTGTTGCCCTTGCCGGGCTTGCGGTCGCCGATGAATTCCTGATGATGAGCGCCCAAAAGGCAGGCTCTGTCCTGGCCGTCAGACAATCGACCTGCAGCAGCCTCGAGGAGAAGTGCGACTCGACATGCATTCCCCTGAGCGGCACTTGCTGCGGCCTCGGCGACGGCTCCTACTGCAAGGTCGGCTACACCTGCGTCAAGGGCGGGTGCTGCCAGATCGGCAAGGTGTGCACCGGCACCCCCTCCGGCTGCAGCGCCAGCCAGGAGTCTTGCGGCTCCCGGTGCATGCCCAAGGGCGCGGTCTGCTGCCCTGGCGGCAGCTCATACTGCGACGCCGGAGAGACATGCAGCGGTGGGCGATGCAACACCAGCGGCAGCGGCCTCACCCGAACCACCACCTCTTCCTCTCCTTTCGCCGAGACGACGGCAGGATCTGGTCCCAGCCCGACGACCACCAGCAGCGGAAACACTCTCTGCGCCCGAAAGAAGGGCGGCGGCAGCCACGGCGGAGGCAGCAGCAGTGGCGACGGCTGCGGCAGCGGCGCTGGCAATCTCGCGGCTCCTGGCCTTCTCGTCGGAGCCATGGCCGCCCTGCCTCTCGTCCTTTAAGGGGGCGACACACCATAACCATATAATTCACATCAACCTCAACCAGACTGGGCAACAACGAGAACTACGACTTACGGGGGGCGGGTTTTGCCAGGATTGTGTCTGAGCGAAACAGATACCAGACTGTCGACATGCACATATTGATGCAGATATTTCATGTTTCTAGACGATTTATATAATGAACGACCTCTTGGTCTTTTGCAGTCCTGCTGCACATCTTGAGTGGACCTTTAGAGCGAGCCGTCTTCCTGAGCCGTCACAGTGGCTGTCTTTCAAGCTCGGGACCACCCGTTGACACCAGACAGTCTGGTGTGTGGCTGCCACACCAAACGGTGAAGCGAATCAGAGTGCAGCCAACCATACCAGTATTCGTAGCCTATGAGTTGGATTGCACGTGAATCTTAGCAGGTATGTCTCTCCTGGCGTTGCATCCTATGGGGCACTGCAGCTAATTTCGCCATTGCGAGGATATTAGGCCCCTATCGCAGGTATCGATCGCAGAACTGTATCAGCTACGTCGTCGGACAGTATCACAAGTACGCAGAAGCGCGGCGACATGCCTTCAACGTCCGTTTTGGTGAGCCGGCATTTATGACAGCCGCATCTCGAAGCTACAAGCAGCAATAATGAAGCGCCAAGTCTGGATTAGCCTTAGATCTCAGGAACTCGCGCATCGAAGCTTGCAGATACAAAAGCGTTGTCCCTGGGACTGCTCCTGAAGCATTTCCCTTTGTCGCCGCATTCATGTGTGAAGCACAGCGTTTACGCTTTCTGGTACCTTTTGCTACTATTTTGCCCTGCTCGCGGCTTCAATCAAGCGCTAACACCAGATCTAAGATCGATGTCAATGACGTCTTCGATATCTCGCACTAGGCACGATCCCGGCGGACTGCAGGTCTTGAGACACACCTAAACTCAACTAAAGGTCGCACAAGCGCTGGCTAGAGACGCATTTCGCCTAGCCAGGCGCGACACAACAGCTTTAAGGTGATTCATTCTGTTCACCGTGCGCCCGTTTGCCTTGGCCGATCGCTGACCTGCATGGCTTTGCCATGGTCGTGTGATGGGCAAATGGCTGCACCCGGAGCGTTCCTCCCACGTGTCTGGTGTCGATATCGCTAGCATTGCCCCTTTATTGAGTCTCAGGTTCCACGTTGACAACGCTCGGAGGATTGCCTGTTCAGACATTGCAACCGCTGCTCGTTGGAACTCTACCCAGCTGCTGGATGACACGGACAATCCAGTTACAGCATCGATCTTCCCCGACCATGTCGCAGCCAAAGCGGGATGAGTCGCCGGGCGACATTCCCTCCCCGCCTCACATGGAGGAGTATGCCCAGCCAAATGTCGATGCCTCAGACCTGGACGGCCTGTCGCTCTACGAGAAGAAATGCGTCCTCATTAATAGAGAGATCGATGCCCAAGGCATGGGCAGGTACCAATGGTACATTTGGATCCTATGTGGCTTTGGCTATTTCCTTGACCTACTCTGGGCGCAGGCGTTTGGCCTCGTCTTGAGCCCGCTGCAGCAGGAGATGGGCTTCGGCGACGGCGAGTCTGGAAACATTTCGACTAGCTTCAATGCTGGCCTCACTGCCGGTGCCTTCTTCTGGGGCTTCATGTCGGACATTGTTGGTAAGTCTGACAAGCTTCCCTGGTCAGTAACGTGCTTTGGCAATCGAGCTCATGTGGAAATCAGGTCGTCGTTGGGCATTCAATCTCACTTGCCTCTTCTCCTGCGTCTTCGGTCTTTGTCTTGGCGCATCCAACAACTACACCACCTTCCTTGTCATTACAGCCTTTGTCGGCTTTGGTGTTGGCGGAAACATTCCGGTAGACAGCGCGATCTTCCTCGAGTTTGTTCCACATGTGCGTCGTCCCCTAAGCCGAAACGCTGGAGTGGGAGTGAGCTGATGGCCTGATAGAACCGCCGCTTCTTGTTGGCATGCCTGTCCGTGTTCCAACCACTCGGCGTCGTCATTTGCAGCGCCATCGCTTTCGGCTTCATCCCGACGTACTCGTGTTCGCCCAATTTCTCCGAAAAGAATCCGCTCCCGTCCTGTCGCACGGCAGAAACAGGGACGCCTTGCTGCTCTCGATCGAATAACATGGGATGGCGATACCTGCTTTACACGCTCGGAGGCTTGTCGCTCCTCGTATTCTTCCTGCGCTTCTTCGTCTTTACGTTTAGAGAAACGCCAAAATACTCCATATACAAGGGCCACGATGCGAAAGCGATCGAAACGATGCAGCATATGGCCAAAGTCAACAAGCAACAGTGTCGCTTGACCCTCGAGGACTTGGAGGCGCTGGCGAAGAATCACGAGGCTAACCATAGCGATACAAGCTCTGGGCTGTTGCTGTCTGGTTCAGAAGATGAGCGCTCGTCTAAACGCACGGGAGCGCTACGCAAGCACCTCAACAGATACAAGATGCTCTTCGACGGCTTTCAGATGACACGTCTCACGATTCTGGTTTGGCTTACATACATTTTCGACTTTTGGGGATTTACGGTGGCAGGTATGTGTCGCTGTCTGGCAGAAGGCTCAATTGAGGACAACCCACTAACACGCTGTTTCTCCCCCAGGCTTCTACCTCCCTCGCATTCTCGCGCTCAAGAACGGTGCTGCCTCGGCCAGTCTCAAGTTCACATACGCAGCGTACATATACACATACGCACCTGGAATCCTCGGTGTTCTACTCGGGGCCTACGTTTGCCGCATCCCAGCCATCGGGCGCAAGTGGACGATGGTCATTTCCTCAGGCCTCATGGGGGCGGCCATATTCCTGCTCTCGACCGTCGACACTGTCGCCAAAAACGAGGGCCTTTTCACACTGGAGTACTTCTTTCAGTCCATGTTCAACGCCGTGCTGTACGGGTGGACGCCGGAGGCGTTCCCGGCGCCGGTCCGTGGGACGGCTTGCGGCGTGGCCAGTTTCTGGGGTCGGCTCTTTGGGATTGTCAGCCCGCTTATTGCGCAGCATCTGTACGGTCAGACGGACGGGTCTGGCGGGAACGGCAACATCAACAGCGTGCTGTACCTCGCAGGCGGCGCGACGCTGGGATGCGTCCTTACCACGGCCCTACTCCCGAGTCATCTGATGGAGACACAGGACGAACGCTCCGAGGCGGCCAAGAGAAGTTGAAGGACTCCATGAGGTCAGACTCATTACACGCGGATTCTGGTCGACAAGCCACGGGAATCGTCTCAACTGTCGGGCCGGCAAGCCAGGAGCCTTGTCGGAAACTCAATTGAGCTACCTCGGTGCCTTTCATCAGGCATCAACCAGGGAAACAACGCAGTCAGCGGGGCTAGTAGCTATTGCAAGTGCAAGTGCGCCGGGGGTAACAGGCGATCTGATCTCCATATCCCCTCAAGACGTGTGATCCAGCCCACGTAATGACCGCCAACGCCCAAGCTCAAATCTGGTTCCTCGTGTGACTCAAGCCAAGCCAGGACCCCGAATCCTCCCACGGTCAAGAAAAAACCCGGATCGCCGAAAGACAGTTGCTCAGAGGGCTGAAAGGCTGCAGCGACACGTCGCAGGAGTCACTTTCAGCATGCTGAAGTAGCGCGCTGGCAAGGTGGAATCCTTTCTCGCAGTCTGGGCATTCGAAATTTGCGTTCTCGCCAGTGTACTCGGCGGAGCATGCTGCGTCGAGTGCTGCGCGGGTGACCGACCCTTGACTCGCCCCGCCGGCGCACGTTCCCGTCTCCAAGTGTAGAACCATGGCGGACTCGGTGACGAAGGTGCGATCGCAGCCGGGGCACTCGACATCGACAGCCAGATGCACGACGGAGTGCTGGAGCCAAGGTCAGAAAAAAAGATGGAGACGACGAGGGCGCGGGCGGCAACATACACTACGCAGATTCGACGACGTCTCAAAACGCCGCTTGCAGATGGAGCACGTGTTGTGGACGTTGATCGCGTGCTGGTCCAGCTTCTCAGCAGTGGTAAAGTCCTGCGCATCGTCACACTGGTGGCAAACATGGTGGTTCGGCGAGTCGCGGACATGCTGCTGTTGAGCCCGCAGAGACTTGAAATGTCGAAGGCAGCGGCGACAGTCGAACATGTGCGCTTTTGCTGTACCCCTGTGGTGATAGAAGCCGAGTTTGGTCTCGAAGTTTCTGTTACAGACAAAACAGGTGGCCATCGTGACCATCATGCGCCTAAAGCTGGCGCTGGCGGAAGGTGGCAGTACTGTGAGGATGCAGGCGGGATCACGATTGGAAGGTGGCAGAGTAATGGAGGGAATCAAGCAGAGAAGCCCCCCAGCGAGCCCTTACAAAGACCAGTGAATGCAATGCCAAACGGTCCGAACTGTCACATCCTTGAAGTCTGGTGGCAAGCCGTCTGGTGAAGGCCTCTTTCACAGGTCAACGGTGTTCGCGCTGCTGGGGCGAACGTGGGGCCCAGCCAACGCCGTATGCCCAGGCTTGCCGTGAAAGCAGTACCCAGGCATATCGGACGAAAGACGTGACAGCCAATTGGCTTATGCGGACTTCTCGATTCAATCTCAATTGTCTGCATATCCCCAAATTTCTGTCTCCTTCGGGCCATCGTCATCAGGTGGTGCATACTTCGAAGAAACACCGCCCCGCCTTTCACAGGGTGACGGTGTGGACAACAGAGTCCTGCACTTTGCCCTCCATCCTCACATAGTCGGTCGGGCTGGTGGGATCTCCCTTGAAGAGATATCCATACCACAGCCTACCGGTACCAAAGTTGTCCGCTGAAGTGGGAAGTTATTAGTCCATGCCCCAAGATCACCTGGCGCCGTTCAATGTTGGATCTACAAGACCACGTACCAGACAGCGAGATGCTGGACGTGCAAAGAGCGTTTGCATTGCACTTGTCCACCACCGACTGCGCCCAAGCGTCAGCGGTGGACTGATTGTACACCTCGGAGAAGCCGTCAATGATTCTGGCGGTGAGCAATGCGTTTGCAAACCAATTTGGCGGGTCCTCCAACGCAACGCGAAAAAATGTGCGGTCGACAGCGGGATCGCACGTCCCTACCGCAGCCAGAGACCAGAAAAGTCCAAGGGAAGAAGCTCGCATTTTGAAAGATAGACTTGCAGTGTTGAATACGTTCAAAGAAGATGGACCTGTTGCTGTTGTTGTCTTGTCATATCTTGAACTGGAGTACTGGGTCCTTGCGGTGCCTTTTATGGACAACGGTTTGCGTGACAGAGGGACAATTGGTCCTCGATGGCTTGGAGAGCAGTGCAGCCAGTTCTAAACGCTTACGAATAATCGAGTTACACCGACTCACGCGATTTTGCACCCGCGACGCGAAGCAATGAGACCGGGCAGGCCCTTCAGCACAGCGGCCGCTGAAGCAGTCACATACTGCAACTGGCACTTGTTTCAGAAAGTTGCTGTGATGAGACTCACATCAAGCTTCTTCCAGACGCAAACCTTGAAGCCGGGAGCAACGTTGACTCTTGACATCCTTGATCACATTCAGACCGCGAACCAAAGGTCGTGCTGTGAGTCGACCGCGTCTAGTCACAAACACCAGACGGCGAGACTATGGCCAAGCCACGATACCAAAAGGTCATGTATTACCGCACATGTTCGTCCGATTGAAAGCAAATGGAGGATGCACATAGCAGTGTTACTAATGTATGGCTCCCTTGTTGTACCCCAGCTGAAACCTTTCTAAGCCCAAATCCGTTCACAAGCCGAACCGTACCACATGTCTGGCCCGATGACCGTGACCTAGTACGGCCCAAGGCCCTGGCAGAGAATGCCCTGCTCCAGCTAAAGAGACTCGTTAGTGACAACCGTCGAATATGGGTCTCAGAATGCTACGTACAACCGGGAGGGCGCAGCAGCGCGCCGTCTTGCCGTTTGAGGCGCAAACCTCGCGGAAGTTGTCGGCTGATGTCGGGAGCGTATTCGCTGCGTAACACCAAATTCATCAGCTGATGCATCAAGAGTGACGAAGGAGGGGAGAGCATGAGGTTGGGTGCCACCTACGAACGGTGCAGTCAATGTCTACAACACCGAGGACGTCGGTGTCGCAGCAGAGGGCGTTGCCGTACAGCCCTCCAGGGCAAAGGGGCTGCTGCGAGAGCACGCCGAGAGCCAGTGGCAGCATGAGAGCAAGATATGACTTCATTTTCACAAGTAAACCTTTGATAGAAAAGATCGGAATGAATTGATCCTCTAAAGGTCCTTGTGCTTCGAACGCGGAACCACTGCCTTTTATATCCAATGCAGTCGTCGCTCTCTCAGCCTGGCCCGACTCACTCCAGCGCCGCCGCATCTCCAAGAGCTTGCCATCGATTTGGTCCATGTTGCCACCCAAGCTGCCCAAGATTCTCTCCATTGATGCGCGTCGGCGCTTTGCAGGACAAAGATGACGACGTCTGTGTGCTGCAATTGAGCAGGCACCGATATAAGGCTAATAAGAGCACCCTTGCTAATAGATGTCAAGATTTCCAAGGCATTGTTCGCCACGCCGTTGGCTCCAGCGCAGCCAACATCCAATGATGTCTGGATGCGCTAAGTCGGCGTACCTTGTAAGTGTGGAGGGAAAACCTGTTCCTGCATCGCCTTCTTCACAACCAAGGGTCTTCTTAAATACAACAAGATGCCATTGCCCAATCAGCTCCTCTGGACGGCCTGTCGGCGGGCTTGACTGCCATGATCGGAATCGGCGGGCAAGGCGGATAACATGTAAGTCCCGGGCTTCTTTCATAGCGCTGTCAATCACCTTGCATCACGCCGGTGGGCCAAGCTACGTATGGAATGACGATCGTCCAAGAATGGCGAGGGAATCAAGGCATGTGGCTGTCGCCTTGGATCGTGGCTGTCGTTCAGCTATCCCAGGATATCGAGCACCTGCAAGAAGCCTCGTATTTTTAGTCGCCTGGGTGTCGTCAACAGGGGGTTGCAACGACACTTTGGCAAGATTGCAACGTTTCTAACTGCCGATTCGGCAGGGAACAGATGTTGTCCCTTTGACAGGCATGCGAAGGATCATTCAAGGAAGCGATCAGCCTTTCAACATGAGAGAATACGTCAAGCACAGGAGCATCTGCTCCTAGATCGCAGCTATAGGCGCATGTCACATTTGCCGCCGTCTTAAGCTGCGCCTGGACATATCTTGCTGTTGCCACGGCCAAGGTCAGGCGCCGTTCGGTCCAGTTCAACACCTCTCAAGCTGGTGGTGATTGAGCCCCAGTCGTCAGTTCACGTACTTGTAGCCATTTCATGTAGCATCTGCCACACCCTGGGTACTTGACAAGCTTGAGAAGGCGTTATTTTAGTCATATACTGAGGACTGTAGAATGACGCGGCGACTCGATCTGGTCGCATGCCATGGACGCTGCGTTTGTCGGCGATATTGGCCTGAGCCAGCTGCGGGCCCGTCCGTGTAAGCTGGTGCTCCCGTATTCGTACACCTGCACCGTCAGCTGTCGCCTGTACAGATGTTGCCACTGATGGCAGTTTGAGCCTCATGTTCGTCCGCCATTGATGCCAGGCTAGCTCGCGACACCAGTGGCATCCGTTTGAAGATGCAACCGCATAGGTACCTTGGAGGCTTCAATGTTTGACGTGACGCTCGCAAAGCGACGATGTCAATCTGGCATGCAACAGCTTGTGTTTTCGCGGTGTCATTTCCCCTGCGCGACAGGCGATTTGTAATCTCTGGCATACTCTTCAATTGACGGTTGCTGTGGAGGAGAAAGCCGACGCGACGTCAAATTGCTTAAGTGGCCGCTCGACCATCGTGCTCGTGCCATTGCGAAGATGGGACAGCGCTGCTTGTATAAAGTGGCCCGTTAGGGGCCCGTCAGGATTCACCATGATTGTGGATGATGAATGAGCCGCCGCGTTGCGACCGACGCGCGTCGATGCATCTGATCATCAAATTGCGCTGCACTCAGGCCATCATCTTCACCAGAATATCAAATCATTCGACACACCAGTAAGAGACCAAAAAGACTCTATCCAAGGCAAACGCCCTCCGTACGGTCAACCATGAGGAATCATGGGGGCCTGCTTACGCCCGGCGCGGACTTAGCGGACGGCAGCTCCGGGTCTAACAGCCAGCCACCGCTACGCGCCCATCGGCTGTTAACAGCGAGCACTGCATGCACCGAGACTCCGCGGGCTCGGCCTGCGGCTCTCATGACGTACGAACGGAGAAACCGGAGCGAAGAAAATGTGAGTGCGATGCTCGAGGTTGACTTACATGTTATATATATCGAGTGATGCGCAACCATGGATGAAACGGGGCATTCAGTCACAACGCACTTGCTTGCAATACCGACCCGATAAGTTGGAGCTCAAGATCACAACCATGTCCCCTCAATTCAGCTTCTCGACGGAGGGCAGCGACGTTGTTCGCGCCCTGAAGACAGAGGTTAAAGGAAAGACGTGTAAGTCCGCACGATCCAACGGCATCCTGAGTCCGAACTCTAACATTCCCCAGTTCTCGTCACCGGCCCGACTCCAGGAAGCATTGGAGCTGAGACGGCAGCAACATTGGCCACAGGCGCTCCCGCATGCATTATCCTTGTCGGGCGATCACTGTCGAGCGCACAGGCTACCATTGATCGCATCAAGACCACGGACTCAAATGTCAACGTCAAATTCTTCGAGGCAGACCTGTCGTCGGTCGAGGCTGTTCGAAGCGCGGCAGACTCAATCCTCGCCTCCGCCGACATCCCAGTCATCCACGCCATGATCAACAACGCCGGTATCATGGTGCCGCCCTACTCCTTAACAACCGACGGCTTCGAGTCGCAATTCGCAATCAACCACCTCTCGCACTTCCTGCTCACCAACAAGCTCATGCCCAAGCTCCTCGCCGCCGGCAGCGCCAGGGTGGTCAACGTCTCCAGCATCGGCAACTGCTACAGTGGCATCAACTGGGACGACGTGCAATTCTCCAGCGGCTACACACCGCAGAAGGCTTACGGCCAGTCCAAGACGGCGCAGATCCTCTTCACGGTCGCGCTGAACAAGCGCTACGGCTCGCGCGGCATCAGGTCCTTTGCGCTGGACCCGGGCAGCGTGCAGACGGGCCTGGCTAAACACATCACGCCGGAGATTGCGGCCGACATGGCGCTCAAGATCACCGGCAAGAGCCTCGCCGAAGCTCGCGCGGCGCGGCGCAAGACGGTCCCGCAGGGATGCGCGACGTCGCTGGTTGCTGCTCTGGATCCGACTTTGGAGGGCGGCATCTTTTTGGTGGACTGTCGGATCAGCAGCGGGCCCAACATTGTGGCGCCATGGTCCCTCGATGAGGCCGCAGCCGACAGATGCTGGTCCTTGAGCGAAGGACTGGTGGGAGAAACATTTACTGCCTAGGATGGGGGCATGCGATCTGGAGCAAAGCTGGAATGGTGACATGGAATTGGACTTGTGCATTGAAAAGGCGTCTGGCACTTACTGCGATGTCGCTCTGGAGCCAGGGAAGGTGGCGGCGAAGGGGTCAATTGGCCGAGGAGTTCAAGAAAACCAAGATGAGCGACATGGAGTTGGCGAAATGGAATGGGATACATGGCCTGCATGTCCTCTAGCGAACAAAGCACATTGTCCAACTTGTAGCGCATTTTGTCCTTACGGCCTTTGGTTCGCTTGGATCCTCGTCGAATACAAAGGAGTTGGTAGCGACATAGAAGCTGAAAGTGCGTGTCGCGCATGCCCGGCCGGGTGTCTTTCACATGCAAGTTTACAGATAGCCCAGGGATTGAGCGGTGCCTGCTCAGTGCTCTGGCAAAAGCCCCGTGCGAATTGCGGATTGCCCGAACTGGGACTTGCCACTATGAGATGTCATGGGACGTTCAAGCTGCCAGCTGGCATCTCTCTTCCCGCCTCTCAAGATGCACAAATCGTTCTATTGTGAGAAGGGACGAAACCGACGACGCCCCTTTTCACGAGCCACGACTGTCACCCTTGTTGCTACCTGATTCATTCCTTCGACCGACTTATCAGCCGATGAGCCCACGATGCCGCATCTCAGACCACCCGCGTCGACGTGGCTGTCGCTCTGGGCGTGGTGTTCACATTGACAGGTCGGCGACTCAATGTCGCCTCAAGGGGCGCTGGGTCTGAGCGCCGCGATGGCGGTTCTAGAACAACGGGGGGCGGCTTCTGTGGCTCGGGCGGGCGTTGCAAATGCCAGGTTTTGACGGCCGCCACCAGCACGGGGGAATCGCACGATGGCAGACGGAGGCTTCCGCCCTGGCGCAGAGGCGGGGGAAGGCGTTCAAACTTTAGACTGAACATTGAAGAAATGGAGCCGGGCTCGTGCAAATGGCTCTGCGCTGGAGGCTGTCTGGGGTTCTGGCTCGCCAGTTCTGGCCCGCGCCGGCATTGACAAGCCGCACGTGGTGACATTCAGGACAGAAACCTAGTCCGACATCACGAGGGGTACATGTGCCTCCTGTGCCCCAGCGCATTCTACCGGGCGACGCAGGTTGGAGGTTTCAAAGTTCGTACGAGCGCACTCGGAGACAATTGCATCGTGCAGTTTCGCCCATTTCGGCAATGAATGAATGGGTCTCCCCATGCTGCCGTCAGCATCGGTCACCAACGCAGATCAAGCTGGGGAAGTGGGCTCGTGCTCGAAGATGCCGCGCCGCAGCTGCTGTCGAATGGGCAGCAGGCACTTCCATGTTCGGGCGCTCGGCCGAGTCGGCACCACCCTCCATCACCACCATGTTTTCTTCTTTCGGTCAACTTGCTCTGGCGCTGCTGATGCGCTGGTCCAAACTGCTGGGCCCAAACTGAGGCGCGGCATGGCGGCAGCTAGTCTTGCCAAGTGGAGAGGACGGCCGCCCTGACACCACCAACGGCTCACTTGCCCCTACGAGCACAGATGGGTGTCATGGTGTGCTGCTGGCTTTCGGGGAAGCTGGTCTCGCGACGGGATGGGAGGCGGGAAGAATGCACCTCGCTGATGCGGTCCGAGACATTGCCCTGAGCGTTACCTGGGGGGTCTTTCCGCGCTCTGTGGCGAGCTCAATGCAAGGGACCAGACACCTCTCGCAAGAATCGCCTGATGATGCCTCGATCACGTCCTCTCAGCATTTCACCTCAGACATGAATCACATCGACTGCCCGGCTGTCATCAACAACCGCCTCCAAACCCCCCATCGACTTTGCAGATTTTTCCCTTGTGAGAACGGGTCCGGCCCCTGTGATGGGCGCGCCACGCCTCGTGTTGCGCGCCTCCTTGGCTCCATCCTCATCCTCTTCCCCCCACGGAAGACAGAAAAACGGGCGGGACGAGCAGGCGACTTCCGCTGGAGAGTCATCAAAAGAGGAGGGAGACGATCCAACGGCAGCCAGGCACATGCCATGTGCCGTCCCTGAAGCCAAGCACACCAACATGAGGCTTCCCCTCCCCTCTCTGGCCTCGGGCCCGGGCGTCGACGGGGGTTTGCGGCAGAGAAAGGATCGCTAGCGTCCTCCGCCGCGACGGCTTTCGTGGCGGAAGTGCAACGCCTTGCCTGTCACTGTCTGTCCCCAACCTGCCATCTGCCCGCCCGCCCACACGCCCGGCGGTGGGCTACGGCACCCCAGACTCGTTCCCTCCCAGCGCCTCTGCCCCCCGCAGGCCAAGCCTGTTCCGCGACCGTCATGAGTCGCGGCAGGCGATACGGCCCAATGAGGTGCTGCGCCAGGCTGCACATCCCTGTCCGCCATGAGCGCCACGGGCCGGAAGAGCTGCCCCACGAGACGCGGGTGCGAAATTGCAAGCACAGGCTTGCCGTTTTTACCTGTCACTCTTCAGTTCGAGGGGGGACACCTGCATCTGCAGCGACGGCTCGAGGATCGCGTCGAAAAGCTGGGGAGGGGGACGGAGGGAATCAGATCATCAGAGGCTCGGCCGGCGTTTGGTGGGATTCCTGCCTGACCGATCTCACAGCATGCGGCTCCTGGCAGGGAGATCAAGGAGAGGTCTGTAACTGTGAAGCAGGCAGTCCAGGTCAGTCGAACCGTGCATCAGCGTGAGGTCACGCCCCAGCCACAGGCTCATCAGGCTCAACCTGTCAAGTCTCCGAGGGGGTTCATTCGGTGAACTCTGATGATGGCGGCTGCTAGCCCGCCCGCCCGCCACCAGACAGACAGCCAACGTGAAGGCAGTTGCTGCTGGGCCCCGGCGCCGAGGCTGGCTGGCAGAGTGGCGGCCAAAGGGCAGAGGAATGGCTTTGGGCGGCGCCGTTCGTTTTTGACAGGGGTGGCGATTCCCCGAGACAGCGCCAAACGCGTCGTCGACAGCCGATGAAGACGGCGGGGGGAGGGAGCGTGGTGGCGCCGCCGCCCCATGGTGAGCGCCCGCGTGTGTGTGTGTGTGTGGCCGATTCAGCCGGCACGACAGGGGACTGGACTGAAGGAAGGATGGGGAGGGGGTGCTGGGGGTCGGTCAGTCAGAAACTGGAGAATATATGTATCGACATTCGAACGAGGCCGTGGATCATCGCAGATACCTCGAGACGTCCATTGCCCATTTGCGGCCGATCCGTCCATCTTGATCCGCGCTCCCATCACGCCCTTGGGCGTCTCCATCGCCAGACGGGAGCATCTGCGCGCGCGTCTTCTCTGCCTTGCCCTTTCGCCGCCCTGCCTCGTTACTTTGTCCATCCGTTCGAGACCGACGGACAGAGACTGAGCCGGCCCTCACGAGTCCGGCTCGTCATGCAAGCAACAACCACCTGCTAGCCCTCCCGCTGGCGACATACGGTGTCACAGCCCGGCTGGCTGGCTGGCACCCGTCCATCGCCATTGACCCCGACCAGACAGACGGCTGCGGACGTCCACATGGGACCGCGGACGCGACGGTCGCATCGGCGGTAGCATCGCATCGACGACGCCTACGCCAACGGCAACCGCAACGGCCCCCCAGCAGCCGCCGACATGGGCTACTCGGGCAACCCCACGTCGGGAAGCTCTGACGGGACGGCCATCAGCGCGGCCATCGTCTCGTTCCTGGCGCTGTCGCTGTACAACGTCATCGAGCTCGACGTCATTATCTTCTCGTCCTTCAAGCGGCGGCGCGGGCTCTACTTCTGGAGCTTCCTCGCCGCGACCAACGGCATCGCGCCGCACTCGATCGGCTTCCTGCTCAAAAACGTGCTCAACTCGCACACGTATGGGCTCTACATCACGCTCGTGGCCATCGGCTGGGTGCCCATGGTCACGGGCCAGTCACTGGTGCTGTACTCGCGGCTGCATCTCATCTTCTGGAACACGTTTTGGCTGCGCATGGTGCTGGCCATGATCATCTTCAACGCCATCGTCCTGCACGTCCCCATCATCATCCTCATGTACGGCGCCAACAGCTCGCCGGACAACTCCTGGGTCCACCCTTACGACGTCTACGAAAAGGTCCAGGTCACCATGTTCTTCCTCCAGGAGCTCATCATCTCTGGTATCTACATCAAGACGTGCTTCTCCTTTTTCGACACCGAGGACAGCATGTACGGCGATGCCGTCCGCAAGATGCGCCGCCACCTGCTGCTCGTCAACATCTTTGTCATCCTCCTCGACATTCCCATCCTGTGCCTCGAGTACACCGACACGTACGATCTCCAGACGGCGTACAAGGCGTTTGTGTATAGCGTCAAGCTGAAGATGGAGTTCCGCATCTTGAACAGGCTCGTCGAGATGACGCGCGCGCGCGACGACGTGGACCCGTTCCAAAACAGCTCGAGCATGCGAATACATGACGCCGTTGCGCCGGCACCACAAAATAGTGCAAAGTAGTTAATATGAGCGACCAATTGCTTTTCTTCAACCACCCTTGTACGCAAGATGGACGTGATGCCGCCCGATCATCCATGTACTTTGTAATGGGGCAAACATCAAACGTCCCAGTAAGCCATGACTGTGCACTACTCGCCAAGCCCACGCATGCATTCATCGTTCTTATCGACGCCCTCTCAAGACTGGATGTGGATGTTCTCGCTAGGAACCATCTACACTCCGCCGCGGGGAACAGCGGACGTCGCCCGATCCACCGCACCGCGGGGTGAATGTGGGTGAAGCGGATAAGAGGAGCACGAGCCCCTCAATTCGTCTTCATCCCGCCGACATCATAATCGCCGTGTAAGACCCAAGGCCGTTCTCGACGCATCTTGTAAACTCTAAGCCCATCCCTCAGACTTGTACGCAACACAACGTCCTCTTGCTGCGCTTGACATCATCTGCTGCCCGCCATGGCTCAAGTCCAGCTCCCAGAGCCGTTTGCCAGCATCCCGCGGGAATCCTTCCTTTTCGGCGCCTCGCCGATCCAGCACCTCCCGCGCATGAGCGCCGCCCTGGGTGGCAAAGTGCAGGTGTACGCAAAGCGAGAAGACTGCAACTCCGGCCTCGCTTACGGCGGCAACAAGACGCGAAAGCTAGAGTAAGGAGCATATCACCCACCCTTTCCCAAGTCGTCAACGTCCAATGCTCGACGCCGCGCGCGCTGACACAGCCACCAGGTACCTCGCGTCCGAGGCGCTGGCGCAGGGCTGCGACACTCTCGTGTCCATAGGCGGCGTGCAGTCCAACCACACGCGGCAGGTATCTGCCGTGGCCGCCAAGCTGGGGCTCAAGGCCGCCACCGTCCAGGAGCACTGGGTCGAGTGGTCGGACCCGGGGTACGAAAAGGTCGGCAACATCCAGCTGTCGCGGCTGATGGGCGCAAACGTGAACCTCGACCCGTCCACGTTTGGCATTGAGCATAAGACGACGCTGGCGCGGCTCAATGCCGACATAAAAGCCAACGGTGGCAAGCCCTACTACATCCCCGCGGGGGCTTCAGACCATCCGCTCGGCGGCTTGGGCTTCGCGCGGTGGGCGTTTGAGGTCGAGGCGCAGGAGAAGGAGCTGGGCGTCTTCTTCGACACGGTCCTCGTATGCGCCGTCACGGGCTCGACCATGGCCGGCATGGTGGCCGGCTTCAAGCTCGCACAGAAGCTCGGCTCCCGCCCGCGCAAGGTCATCGGCATCGACGCCTCGGGCAAGCCCAAGGAGACGTTCGACCAGGTGCTGCGCATCGCCAAGTTCACCGGCGCAAAAATCGGGCTGTCCGAGGACGACATTACCGCCGAGGACATCATCCTGCGGGACGAATACAACGCCGGCGTTTACGGCATTCCTGACGAGACGACCATTGCTGCCATGAAGTTTGGCGCCCAGACGGAGGCCTTCATCACGGACCCGGTGTACGAGGGTAAGAGCCTCGCGGGGATGATGGACCTGATTAAGACGGGACAGGTCCCTGGAGGCAACATTCTGTATGCACACCTGGGCGGACAGCTTGCGTTGAATGCGTACTCGGCGATTGGGGAATGACCGCGCAAGAGGCGCGGCAACATGCATCCGCAGGGGGGAGATCTGGTCCATTGATTACGCATAAAGAGTTGTCGCGAGGGAGACAAGCAGCAACACTCGTACGCAGCATATGTAAATATTCGGTCTATTCAATTGATTACGTATAAATCTAAGTGTTGATTCCCTCTATAGCAGACTCCCCCTCACAGAGGAACCGGAAGGTTCCTGACCAGGTAGCCTCTCCACGTCGGGCGCGTCCTCTTGTACGGCGTGCCCGACGAATGCTGCAGGTCCTCGATGGCGCTCGCCCAGCGCACCAGCTCCGCCTCAGCCCACGCCGTCTGCATGATGCCGAGTCCGAAGCCCATGCCCGAGTCGGAGTGGATGCCGGCGGGGATCGTGACGAGCGGGTAGCCGGCCTGCGCGGCGATCTGGTAGCTCTGGCCCGGGTCGACGGGGACGAGCAGGCCGTTGAGCTTGCGGCCCTTGTGGCTGAGGGCGTCGTTGATGCCCTTGCGCGTGGAGCTCTGGCAGAACTCGAGGGCCTGGAAGTACGTCTCGTCCTGCACGCCCTTGGTCTCGAGCGACGCGAGGAAGCCGTCCTGGCCGGACCAGAAGGCAGGGTGCCCGTTGGGCATGGGGAAACCGCCCTCGCTGCCGGCGTTGTCCTTGTTGAACTGCACAATGTCCTCGAGGTCGCGGACGCGCGTGTTGTTGACCTCGGAGAGGTACTTCTTGATGTTGTTGTAAAAGTCCACCTTGACGTACGTGTACTCGGACTCGTTAGGGAACCCGCGCGCGGTGCCGTAGTCCCAGTTCCAGCCCTCGGGGCTGACGATGGTCTGGTAGTTGGTGATCTCAGTCTCGTTGATGACGGTCGCGCCGGCCGACTTGATGAGCTTCACGAGCTCGCCCAGCACGCGGCGCTGCTCCTCGTCGGCGTAGACCCAGAAGCTGTTCCAGGGGATACCAAAGGTGGCGTTGCGCAGAGCCTCCTTCTTGGAGAGGAAGTGGGCGTAGCCGCCGCAGCCGGGCTTGGGCGTGTGGCCCTGCTGCGCCGACGTGTAGTTGTCGTGCGAGTCGACGCCCCAAATGGCGTCGAAGGCGTAGACCGCGTCGCGGACGGTGCGGCCAAAAGTGCCAACCGAGTCCTGGTGCTCCGTCTCGGGGATGACGCCGCCGCGGCTGGTGAGGCCGACGGTGGGCTTGAAGCCGACGATGGAGTTGCGCATGGCGGGGTTGATGACTGGAGGCGCGAGTCAGCGACTGAGATACATACAGAGAAAGAACGGACAGGCAAGGCGACGTGAGATATGAGAAGGGACAGCATGGTGGACGAGAAGGGGCAAGGCATCGCGAGCTCATGGGACAAACTCGAGACGATCGAGACATACCGCTGCCATCAGTCTCCGTGCCGAGCGAAAAGGCAATTGCATTGGCGCCGACGCCCACTCCGCTGCCAGACGAGCTGCCGCCCGGGTTCACGGTAAGGTTATACGCGCTCCTGCAGTTGCCGCCGCGCGCCGAGTAGCCCTCGCTGTAGTTGTTGGAACGCATGTCGGCCCACTCGCTGAGCGTGGCCTTGCCGAAGAGCACGGCGCCGGCCTCGCGCAGCTTCTTGACAACATAGGCGTCGCGCGGCACGCGGTTGCCGAGCAGGGCCCAGCTGCCGGCCGTCGTCTCCATGTTGTCGTCTGTGCCGATATTGTCCTTGACGGTGAAGGGGATGCCGTGCAGCGGGCCGCGCACCTTGCCGGCCTTGCGCTCGGCGTCGAGCTTCGAGGCGATGGCGAGGGCGTCGGGGTTGATTTCCATCACGGAGCTGTCGCGAAGCGGGTCAACACAATGCTCAAGTCGTAGGGCATTGAGATGATATCCGAGCATATGAGAGAAACTCACTTGATGTACTGCTGCGTCTGAAAGGTGCGCACCATGTAGCAGTGCACCAGGTCGACGGACGTCAGGGTGCCCTTCTCCATGGCCTTGCGCATCTCGTCGATGGTCGCCTCCTCCAGCTTGAAGCCCTTGCAGAGCGGCATCGGGAACAGGTCCGGCGAGCCGGCATTCTCCTCGAGGGGCGTGAGCGACGGCGTGAGCTCAAACACGCCGTTGACGTTGCCCGCCGCGGCGGCGGCGACGGCCGCCGTGGTCAACACGACGAGGGAGCGCATCGCGATGATGGTGCGCACACGGGTGTTGAAAGGGGGGTAAAGGAGGGGGACGATGGGAGGATGAGCGAGGAGAGATCAGATACGCTGCCGCATCGCAACAGCACGACGAGAAGGAGTGGTAGTAGTGGAGGTTATTATGAGTTCCCCGGCGCGCCCAAGCCCTTGCGCCCGGCGTGGATTCCCCATTCACTTCCATCCTTCCTTCGGGGTTCCCACGCGGCTGTGGATCACTCGCTGGGGCGACCGGCATGTACAAGTGGCTGCTGTCTAGGCGGTGGTGGTGGTAGTCGTTCTTCGCGGCGGAAGTGAGCACCCCGAAAGGGTCCCCCCAATCCCCATTCATTGCACCGAACCGGCACGCATGGAAGCGACGGGCGGATCCTTCTCTGCTGTGTCTCTCCAGATTGCCCCTGCTAGCGCCACCAGGCGTCCAGTAGCTTCAGCGTCCCTCAACCCGTTCTGCCATTCTTTTTCCCATGCCCAGAGCTCCAGAGCCCCCTCCAGTGGCCAGTTTGCCGACCTCGTTAGCTGATGATGAGCAAATTAGTCTCGGCATCTTGGTTCTCTCGCTCCGGCAAGTCTGGCTCAACTGGGGCTTTCCTCGTCCATGGTGCGGCGAACCGGCCCATGACGACGTCCGGCGGGCGCGCGACAGAGCCGCCCCTCAAGTTTCTCCAACTCGTCGGCTCCGGCCCTCGTCGTCGTGGCGCAGCAGCAACTGCCCCGTCGTCCAGGGCGCAGAGCCGTGCACTGACGGGCTCGAGGCGGGCACGAACGCCGCTGCCGGTCGGTCTCCCGCCGTGGAGCAGCGTCGACGCCAATGACGGCGGCCCCGAGGCGATCCACGCGCCCGGTGGCAATGACTCGCCCTGCAGACGGCAACGCGGTCCGATCGGGGAGGCGTAATGAATGTAGGGAGTATGCTTGTAAGGATTTGCCCCTGTGGATGACAGGCACAGCACAGACGTTGTTGTCGAAGATTCGGCGGGGCAGTCGATGGTGATTGTGTTGATGCCATTGATCAATCGGCCAATTCATGTCGTTGAGGCGCCCGTGGCGGCAGTCGCGAGAGAGGTGGAAGGATTATGGGCGGTACGCATGTCAATGCCCTCCACAAAGCTGCCCATGACGGGGATCATGCTGGCACGTTATTGACACCAGGTTGTCGCCGGACATCTCGCCAGAATCTCACAACGGCGCAGATGGCAAACATGTCCAACATTGAATCGTGCGTTCGTTGCGCTCTTGTTCTTCAGTCGTGCAATATCCTGTGCTTCGCAACCACATTACCACCTCCCTCGCCAGACCATGGTGGTCTTCTTGATATCTTGTAAGCTTCTAACACACGCCTCTACTTTTCTTCTCATGCAGCCTGCCCAATGTCCCTCCTCCGGCCGGTGCCCGAGTTCCTCGACCCCTCCTTGACGTCAAAGTCGACCGTCACGTAGATGCCCTCGGTGCTGCTCCCCACGCTCGCCCCGTCGCCATGCCTCCCACCGCCGCCCGCGCTCACCTCAGCGCCGTATACGCCGCCGCCGCCCACGGACGCGTTCTCCCTGCTGGCCAGCATGCTGTGCTGCGACCGCAGCCGCAGCGTGCTCAGCGCGGTGCCCCGCGACCGCTTGCTCGAGCTGCCCTGCATCTGGTACTTGGACCCGCCCGAGTGCGAGTGCCCGCCGTCCTTGCGCAGCACGTATTTGTCGAACAGCGGCTTCACGCCAGGCACCGAAAGCGCGATCAGCGTCGCCCCAATCTCCGACGTCTCCACGCCCAGCATCGGGTTGTAACTCCAGCTCATGTCCGTCTGCCACTGCCCGAGAATGACGAGGACGAGGCGCGTGATGGAGATGGCGATGACACTGCGACGCGATGTTGTTAGCGACACATTCAACAGTACAAATGCAGCGCTGCGGCACGGAGATGCGCCTGCATGCAAGGGGCAAAGGGGAGGGAACCACTCACGCAATACCCGGCAGCAAGATGCAGCCCAGCTGGACCTTGCGCTTCTTAGGCATCTCCAAAATCCTCAGCATCGCCAGCGGAATACCAAAGAGCAGCAGGTCACATAGCAGCGACACGGAGCTGTTGACGCTATACACCAGCCCCCACTGCAGACACACGTAGCCCTCCGTGCCAGGCTCCCACCCGTACGGCCACAGGCCCGTGACGGGCCTGCAGTGGAAGACGATCAGGAACAGCTGTGGCAGGTAGCCCGCGATGAGGACGCCGAAAACGACCTTGATGGCCAGCAGGAAGCCCTTGTGCATGCCGCAGACGCGATAGTAGAACGCCAGACCGGAGACGCGGCAGAAGAGCAGCGCCGTCGTGTAGATGATGTGGGCGACGAAGTCGAGCACCTGCGTGCGCTGCACCGTCGGCACGTCGAGCACGTACTGGATGTATTCGAAGTGGCGGCCGGAGCCGAGCTTGATGAGCTCGATGCTCAAGCCGACAAAGGCGATGAGGCAGAGCTATGATTACCGTCGCCGTCAGCAATCGTATTTTCCTCGTAGCCGGAGCTTACACGCAGTTGGTAAATCTCCTCTAGCTCGTCCTCGGAGCAGAATAGAATGTCAACAGCAAAACGTACCAGTGACACCAGTGCCAGCCCATCGTCAAAGCCAAAGCGTCGGACGATAAACGCTCTCGATAGTAACCTCCCGACGACGACGATGAACGTCAAGACCGTGACGAAAATGATGCCCGCAATGGCCGGCTGGTCCTTGCTCTCCTTGAGATACGCGGCCGTGATGCCGGCGGGGACGCGGCCTGCGGCAATGGCCTCGTCCACGTCCGACATGGCGGCGGCCGTCGAGCTCCGTTCCTTTCGTCTGTGCGCTTCGGGGGGTTTGTAGGGTCCAGTGGATCACCAGGAGCACGACGCAATCATCATCGGCAAGTCAAGGCGGGAAAGGGAGAGCAATGAGCGGATGGTACTTTAAAAAAGAGCGACTTCGATTCGATGTGCCGTCCAAGTTGTCGTGCTCGTCGACAACGGCAAGACTGGCTTTCTGGGTCAACCCTCCATCCATCCATATTTGCTCCCTGAACCCAGTCCGTCCTCCTCGACGTAGCACCTTACCTCCTACTCGTACGCCACTGACCAAAAACCCTCCCACCCCATCCCCTCGTACGTAGCACTGGCAGCATGATCGGAGCTTCTGCACGAGGGATAGCCCATGGTCCAGTCGTTTCGGATGGCCCCGTAGTTTTTTTTCTCCCTCTCCTTCACCAGAAAAAGAGCGCCGTCCAGCAAAAACCGCACCGAGACCGTGGAAGCCGTCAGTGGGTGCCCATTACTCGCGGCATTGGCATCGACAGGCTCGCGCTAGCACCAGACCAAGACCCATGTGGGTTCTTTCGCGCCCAGCATGCCAACCTAGTGCCTCCGACTTTGCTGCTTGGGCGCTAGCCCGACGAGAATCCTCGGAACTGGGACGGCGTGGCTGCCGGCAGTCAAGGCGAGTGGTGATGCGCCCGCTTCATGTCGTTCGCTCGCTTCGCCCGCGCGGCGCTCTGCTCAAACCGGGCTGAGGCCAGGGGTTCGCTTCCTTGGCGTCGAACAGCTATTGGATACCAGGCTTCACTTCCGCGGTCCCTCTTCTCTTTTTATTGTATTATTATTTCTTATTCCGCCGCGTTGGTTAACGGTTGCTACGACTGCTGATTTCAACTCGGCCGGATCTTTCGCCGAACTTTCTGTTGACCGGACCGGCGCCCTCTGGCGTCTCCACAACGCTGGGCAAGTTTGCGGTTCGGCAGAAAGCTTCTCGAACTACTGCTGCTACGTTGGGGCTGCAGGCGAGCTTGCTGAGTGCCGGGCGTCAGTCTGACGATCTACGGACCGGCTGAAAAGGCACTGCCGGGCGGTAGTAGTAGTCAAGTGAATTTGACGGAAGCACGGCCGCTGCCAGCAAGCCCGCTGCCATCAAGCCAATAGTCTGGACTTGAAGCACACGAGTCGCCGTTTCTGACGGGTGCATCCGTCCGCCCAGCTCTTCCCGGCGCCGAGCTGGCACCCCCCTCCTTGATCCATCCCGCCTCGACGTCTTGACTGACAAGCCCGACGCCTGCCTCGCCTCCACCATCCCCCTCTCGCTCGGCGCGTCGCCGTCAACCTCCGACCCTCGAGGGCTCCTCCTCGCGCCCTGGTCCCTGCACTTGGCTGGCTCCAGGCATCCACACCACGCCCACTGTCCCCTATTTTTGCTCGCCCATATTTCGTCGACGACGGCGAGTCGGGGAGAAAGAAGAGGGGCAGCGGACGCCACCACTACCACCAACACCTTCACCTCGCCGGCCAGGGCCCATTTCCGGCACTCTGTGGCGCCCCGTCAAGCTGGCTCTTCCCGCAGACCACCCCGTTGTCGACAGCCGGGTGGATTGACAGAGGCAAGCCACTCTTTCGTTTTTCCGCCGGCGACGTTGGGGCGCACGACCTTGTTCCCCCCGGTTCGTCCATACGAGGCCAGTTGATGGACGCACGTTGCATCGCCCCCAAGCCTCTGCCCTCTCTTGGAACAGCGTCGTCCTTTGAATCCGATATTGCGCCGTGTGTTCTAGAATCCGCCGCCGAGCTCCCAAGCGTTTTACCCAAAAGAGGCAATCAATCAAGCTGTGAGGAGATTGCGTCCTCCATCGTCAAGAAACGGAAGCACACGAGGCTCTCCTCAGGCTCAGCTGCCCTCGTCACGCAAACATGTATACCTGAAACCGCATCGAAACTATAGACAAATGATGGTCATGCAGCACTGTACACTGCGATATGTGCAATCATGCCAGATGCATCACCTCTCGCCCGCTCACTCAGCGCTCGTTTGAGCCATCGTCTCTCCCGCACTCCCTAGCCGCAGATCAGGCACCACGATCCGCTCGCCCTCCCCTCGTCGGCCCTGATGAGCATCCATCCATGCTCTGGGGCCCCTGGAGGGTGCGCCTCTCCACACATCGCTTAAAAGGTGGCTTGCCAGCCATCGTCCCGCCGGCGCATTCACGGGTCGGTCGGGCGGTCATTCGACTGCTGGCCAGACGCGCACATTTTACATGCGTACCAACGTACCTTGTTATGTATCACCCGTCGGTCCAGCCCGGTCCCGCGGAAGCCGGCTTCCGCTGTCGATTCAATTCCGACGTGGAGCCAGCAAGCCACAGATGCAGGTACGTGCGTGCACGTACGAATTTGGTTCCCGTTATTACTGGTTCTACATACAAATGGCCGCCCGTTACCATCAGGCGCTGCCAGCAACTACTCGTTCATCTATCGAGTCCGTAGATGGGTACTAAGTGTGCTTGGACTTTGCCCATCTGCGACTGAACTGCCTCGTGGCTAACAGAGATCACACAGTGGATTGTGACAACATGATGGCGGGGGACCTTGCTGCGCAAATCCATAACAGGTCCGTTATAGAGACCATCTACCCAATGCCGCAGAATATGCCGAATGGCACATCAAGCAGATCAACTCTACGTGTCACGGCCTCTCCTCACGCCTTTCCTTTCCTCGTCACCTCATCCCAAGCGAGCCACTCCTCCCTCCCGGCCGCATACTCAACCTCCCCTTCCTCCGTCCCCGGAATCGCCTCATCTCCATCAAAGCGCAGGTGAAACGTCCTGCGATACCCCAGGCCGCACGCCGCCATCGTCGCCCTCGACGCCGCGTTCACCGCCATCGTCTCACCGTACACTTCTTCCACCGCCAGGTCCGTGAACCCGTGCCGCACCAGCGCCCGACCGCCCTCCTTGGCCAGTCCTTGCCGCCAGTATCGTGGCAGCAGACGGTATCCCAGCTCCGCGCGGAGTCCTCCTCCTCCTCTTGCTGCTCCTGCTGCTGCCACTGCCGACGCTGATGCCGGCACCGCTGCCGATACTGCTGCCGGTACTGATGCCGACACGGATGCCGACTCTGATGCCGTTGCATCTGCCGCTGCCGTTGTCCGCTCCCCCAACTCTCCCTCCCCATTCACCATCACGCGATCCTCATCCCCCAAAGTTGACACCGACGGACCAGACGGCCCCGGCGTCAACGCCCACCACCCAACCGCCTCACCCCCCTCCCGATCATAGCCCATCCAGTATCCCAGCCCGGGCACCTCCTCCGCCTTCGCCAGGCGCTCTGCGTGGTCCGCCAGCGCCTCCTGGCGGGTGAGTGGCCGCCCGCTGTGCACGTACCGCGTGACCGCCGGGTCGGCGTTGAGCTCGACGAGGATCTCTGCGTGCGCGGCGGTCAGCGGGCGGAGCTCGAGCCGCGGCGTGGTGATGGTGGCCTGGGCCATCTCTGCGCGCGTCGTCGGGGTGCACTTCGTGCGGAAAGCTGCGGTGGTAGGCGCGGAGTCGGGGATGCTTCGGCGTTGATGCAATCAGCGATACGGCCGGGAATTGGTTCCAAGTATTGTGTGATGTGCTTTGGATGAGCATGCGTCGGCAACGACTTCCACACCTGCAGCGCTTCATCGCCCAAGTCAGGCCCCAGCCGATGTGGCTGTAAGTGCCGCAAAGGAGCCAATGAGTCACACCGACTCACCCAAACACGACACAAACGATGCCACCTCCAATTCGCAGTTCCTTCGCGGAATCTCGCAATTGTACTTCTATGGTGTGCAATAACGCTGCTGATGTGTCGTCAGAGTTGGGTATCGCTCCAAGCCTGACGCCGTGTGAGATTAAATCCATTTCCAACGCCATCATCATCATCCCAATTGCAGCTACACGATAAACGCATACGGACGGTCGAAACACTCGTCCCAGGTTCTCTTTCCCGACTTCCAGAACCGGGCGAGTGCCTCTCGGGCGGCAACGGCCGTTGCACCCACGCCGCGGCAGAGGTCCGTAAGTCCGTTTTCCACGAGGCGACGCTCCTCTGCCGTGCCCTTCGCCGCCTCGAACCCAGCCACAATGACGGGCCAGATGATGCCAAACTTTGTGACTTGGCCCGACATCCCTTCGGCGGCCAGTTTAAACAACAGAGCACGATGGTGCGCTCGCGTAGATCGGTATTTAGATCGGCCATCGTCGCCGGTGTCAGGGCCTGCCAGACGCCGCGGGTTGAGCAAGGTCGCGTCAGCGAAGAGAAGCACAGCAGACTGGTAACAGCGGGCTGTCAAGAGCCACGAAGCCGTAGGCGATGTTGTGGCTTGCGCTGCGGCCCAGCTCTCCGGCGAAAAGTCCATGACACGTCGTAACAGTTCCCGTACAGCTGTAGATGTCCCGCATGTCACTGGATCAAGCTGCCCAGTCGCCACTCGCCAGCGAATGTCGTTGATGCGGACAATCTCCACAAACAGCGGCTGTGGACAGGGAAGGCGAGGATACATGCCGATAGAATAGAGGTCTTCCACGGTGTCCATCATGTTCACATGGTTTTCAGCATCGACCTGATCATACGAGGGGCTCGTCGTGTTGGCCATGACAATCATGCTGCATCGATCAGCCTCCACCAAATATTGAGCAAAATGCATGCGAAAAACATACATGATGTAGGTTAATAAGCTCGGCCGGATAATGATTCCGTCTTCAGGGTCCTGCATGAGGCCTTCCAGGCCGCCGCGAAGCGCCACCAATGCTGTGAAGCCGAGGCAATGGGATCTCCATTGCGGCGTGGCAGTTTGGAAGAGCTGTCCAAGCTGTCAGCGGTGAGATCCTGATACTCGCGGGTTAGCTTCTTACCTCTGTTATGAGGAGTACAAAGACACTAATTATCGTGGCGGTCGTCGCTCTCGAGGGTTCATGAGTGATATCGTGTTTGAGAAGGCGAATTGCCGCGCCGACGTGATCGTGAGCGCGCCACCACAGCTTGCCGGCAACTCCTGTGACGGGCCCTGGCGAAGAGTCGAGTACAGAGCCAGCAAACGGAAGGACGCCGGCTGGATGTCCATCGACGCGCTGTTCGGGAGGGAGTTGCAGTATCCTGTAGCCAAGAGAGAGGGAGATGAGAGCGTGACGCATGGAGGCTGGAACAAGCTGCAGGCCCTCGATTGGGGCGACGAATAGATTGGGAGCGAGCTGATGAGTGGCCAGTAACGGGTATATTTGCGAGTTGTCTGGATTGTCAGCCATACCCGCAACGAACGTGGCCATCCAGGGGCGGAACGCTGATAACAACAAGGACTCACAGTACTGTGTCGCTTCAAAGACATCGTCCATGTGGTCCCGAAGTGTAGCAGGCACGCTCATGCTTGTTTCCATGCTTCGCAGCCCCTGGCTGCGCTTTTCAGTGTTCCGGGGCCGGACGGCGAGGGCGCGTACCTCGGCCGGACACTTGACAGTTTCGTCATTGCTGCTGTCCGTGGACGGACAGCCTGACGTCTTGGTAGAAGTGGAAGCTGCCGTGCTGTCACAGCCAACATCATCACATGGAATAGACTGATGCTCGTCCCCTGGACATGACGGGGGCTCGACAGATTCCGTCTTGATGCGCACGGCGGCGGGCCTCGACGGCTTCGAGGGGGGCTTGCCGGGACGGGAACGCCTCGGACGTGCCGAGACCCGGCCGGGAGCCAGCCATGTGAGTGGCTTACGGTCACTGTACCCCGGGCACACAATGCCGGCCTCGCGGCAGCGGGTGCAGACGGGCCGGGTGCCGTCACAGACCCAGTGGCGGCGCTGGCACTCCCAGCACGGGGCGGCGGCGGCGGGATCGGGCGTGGGCGTACTGCTTGGCGAGGTGGACGTGGTCGACGACATGGCTGGACCGGTCGAGATGCGATCTGCCCGTCGTCAATACCTCAGCCGATACTCCACCCGCCGTGGTGCGCTGATGTGCCGTGTGTTGTGCTCAGCGTCGGAGCATGGAGCCAACCGGCGTTGTTGTCCCGCGTGCAGGTTGCAGTTGCACAAGCCGAGTAGTGGTCAAGGCTGGGCTGGCCAAGGCTCGAGCTGTGCGTCGTCGGTTTACCTGCTTACCATAGGAAGCAGTAGCAGACGATCACGGGTCGCACAAGCAAGCATCGAGGTGGGGGAGAGAGTCGTGGCCGGTCCGTGGTCCGTTTTAAGTCAATCGAGGTCCCAAGCGGAGGCAGCACAAGACGAAGCGGCATCTCAGGCGCGTGGTGGCAAGTATTCGCCTTCGGAGCCCTCCGGAGTGCGTGGAGGCACAAAAGACGACGACGACAGGCGGCAGAACCGTGCTGGGCCGGGCCGGGGGCCCAACAAGCTTTGCGAGGGCCGTTGGCCGGCGTCGTCGTCCTGCACAGTCTCACCAGCGAGAGCGACGACCAACACCTGGCGGGGCGGACCAATGCGCGACGACTTCGGCCCCGGAACCGGGGGCCTGCAAACTCAATGGCGCCCTGGCCTGAGGCCGGGATCGTTGGAAGCGACGAGGCGGCTCCAGGCTGCGTCCTTGATGGGAGTGTGTCGTCGATCCGCGATGCCAACTGGCATGTCGTCGGCGGCGCCAATGCCCGCTGCGCCGGGAGATGAGAGGAGGGCGACCGCGTGCGGAAAGGATGCAAAACGAGACGAGGCGAGACGAGACGAGACAATCCCCGTGCGCGAGGAGTGACAGGCGATGCTGTTCTTGATGGTTGGAGAGCGGGCGAGATGGACGCAGTGCGATCCATCAACCAAGCAAATCAATGCTGCCCGCGCGGTCATGTGGGTGACACGACCTGCAGGTCGCCCGTTTACACTTTCCGTCCGTCCCTAGGCTGTAGTGGACCCGGAGCCCGGCAGGACCCTGAAGACCCTGGAATCAGGCCGCCCACGGCGCCTACGGGCCACTGCAGGGCCGCCGGGCGCTGGCGCCTCCCCGGCCCGCCACTCCCCGGGCGCCGTTCGGGTGCGTTACCGGCGTCTCTAAGGCTGGCCTGGGATCCATGGATAGGTAGGTAGGCGCCTGGGCGTGCCCGGGCGGCTTCCATCCGGGTCGTCGAGCACAGGCGCCTGTGATACAGCAGGGCTGTGATGCCTGTCTTGCAGATTGCATCTCATCTCCTCCACGGAAGACTTCCATCCCAAGCGATGCATCACGACATCTCCTCCCCTGCACGCATCACTGCCGTCTCCTCTCCCGAGCTGCCCAGCCCGTGTAGTAGCAGGCAGCAGCCATGCTCCAACTCAAAGTTCTGGCACAAGATCAGCAGCCCGTCGCCCATCTTCGCATATTACCCAGGGGCTGTGGAGCATGTCAGGTCCATCGTCCGCATAAAACCCCTCGTGGCAGATCACCCGCGAGGCATCCATCCACCGCCGCTTCAACTGGGAAGCTCGCAAGGCGGAGTTCTCGTAGCTGCGGCAGGTGGATATCCCCGGTTCTTCCTCACGATGCAACGCCTCCGTCGCTTCATCGCCCGCGGTGATTCGCCCTGCAAGTTCGGGCCATCCTCACGTTGTCCGCCTTTTCTGCTTCACCAACATCCAAACCCTAATCCGATAAGGTTCTCTCCCGCAGGGCGCTTGGATGCGCGGTGATATGTTTTCTGACACGCAGCGCGCGTCGTCGTCCTCGTCCCCGTCCTCGCCGACCACCTGTCGCCTCGCCGTTGGGCGCTCGCACCTCGTTCACCCGTTGCCAGGTCCATCCATGAAGGGCCGCGATTCGTTCGTCCAACCAGGTCTCGCTCGCCTTGCGTATTCCCCTACGTAACCCACCCGGGCCATGAGGCGCGCGCGCGCGTGCGACGCACAACTGGCGGCGGCATGGAGTACAGTAGTGTTGTTGGCCGCAATCTCCTCACGTGGGAAACTCGGCCATCCCATTCACACCTTCCCCAGGCAAACGTCAAGAACTTGACGGGGGCAGCTCCTGAGTGGTCCGCCGTCTCGGCCGATGTCCGAGTTGATGGTCTGGCAGACTCGTTGACTCGACTCTGGAGGGGGTCGATCGTGGGTTTCAGGAAGCGAACCTCGCATGGCAAACAGGCACGTCTGCTCGAGACCGGCCGGCCAGATGGCCGCTCAAGATTGCGTCTCTGCTGCTTCTCTTTATGGAGAACCTTGTCATTAACACGAAGTATATAGAGGTGCAACGGCCGAGAGCCGGCACCGCCAGTTGACATACATCATGGTGAAAACGTCTTCCCGCCACCTACGGGCGACGACGACGTCGACCTGGTCACGGCTGCTTTGGCAAGTGCTGCTCGGCAGGAGTCCGTGATGTTTTATGCGTGTCCCGATGGTGCGGTAAATTGCAAGAATTACACGAAGCCCGCGATCTTGATATTTTTGCCTACTCCTGCCCCTTCTCTTGGTAATCTCAAGACCCGGTATCGCGCAGAAATACTAGATACCATGTCATCAATCTATATCCCTAGATTGCCCGCGTCAAGGCGCCGTTGTTATCTTTGCTTCGGTCATGGAGCCGGTACGCTCTTCTGTGTCGTTGAGCATCGCGTCTCGATATACTACTTCTCTAGATGGATTGGGCTGAAGTGAATATCCATGCTCCGAGCATTCTAGGACTCAACTCTACAGCCAAATTTACGTAGACTTTAGTCACCATTCCATCGATCATTATCCCAGTTTCTGCAGAGCGACCATCCGAATATGAAGCTCTCTAAGCATTCACGTTGCTAACCTGCACTATTGACCTCAATCCGCCCACAAGCTAGCTTAGTCACAGTTGCATCGCCTCACACGGCATCGCATCGTACTCACGCACTCACTCACCTTGATCTCGTCACAACTGACAAGCCAAAGATCGCGGTCGTCGTCCTCCTGCAGCGTATATTCCCACAGCCAAATCTGCCGTCTTCCCTCACACCTGTACACCTCCAATTCTCCTCCGACTCACCACAACGCCGAGCATCCCCTTCCCTTCCCCCTCCCATCGGCAGCACCATGCCCCGCATCGCCCACGTCGCCCTCGTCGTCCGCGACTACGACGAAGCCCTCGCCTTCTACGTCACCAAGCTCGGCTTCACCCTCGTCGAAGACACGCCCATCCCCGAGCAGAACAAGCGCTGGGTCACGATCCGGCCGCCCACCGGCCCCGACTCCGACGCCAACTCCGGCACCACGCTGCTCCTCGCCCAGGCGTCCGCCCCGGAGCAGCACGCCGCCATCGGCAACCAGACGGGCGGCCGCGTCTTCCTCTTCCTCGAGACGGACGACTTTGCGCGTGACCACGCGCGCTACACGTCCGCGGGTGTCGAGTGGGTGAGGGAGCCGGTCGTGCAGAGTTATGGCACGGTGGCGGTGTTCAAGGACTTGTATGGGAACCAGTGGGATCTGATTGAGAGGAAGAAGTAAGCGTGAAGAGGTTCGGAAAGCCGTCAAAAGGCTCGATTTTCTACTTTAACCCCCTTCTCATTGAAAGAGTGCTTTGTGAAATAGTTCTTGAGAGCGCTATTGCATTACCAGACCATACACTCGTCCGCAATACGTGGCCTCATATGAATTGGCCAACCACCCATGACCAGCTCGTAATGACATAACCACAAAAAGGCAGCAAGGTAAACAATATACCCAAAATAAGTCACTTTTAATTTACATACGCTGTGATGCATCAAGCAGATATGTACACCCCAAACAAGCCGCTTTGTCCAGCCATTACACCCCTACCCTACAGCTTCGCAAACAGCCCCTTGCAGGCGCCCTTGCCCAACTGCACCAGCGTGCTCTTGGTGCGCATGTACGCCTGGATGCCCTCGTGGCCGTTCTCAAGCCCGATGCCGCTCATCTTCCACCCACCGACAGGCATCTCCGCGGGCGACTCACCCCACGTGTTGATCCAGGTGATGCCCGCGTCCAGCCTGCGCACGACGTCCTGCGCGGCGCCCACGTCGGACGAGACGACGCCAGCGGCCAGCCCCATGGCCGTGTTGTTTGCCCGTCGGATCAGCTCGTTCATCCAGTCGTCGCCCTTGGTCTTGTACGGCAGGACGCACATGACGGGTCCAAAGATCTCCTCGGTAGCGACGCGCATGTCATCGGTGCAGTCGGAGAAGATGACGGGCGGGACCCAGTAGCCGTCAGCCGTGGGCCGCTTGCTCTGCGCCTCCTTGGCGCCGTCGTACAGGACGCGCGCGCGGTCGACCTCGCGGCCGTGCTTGATGTACATGTTGACCTTGTCGCGCTGGGCGGCGCTGACGACAGGGCCAAAGTTGGTCTTTTCGTCGCGCGGGAGGCCCATGCGGATGCCCTCGCGGCAGCGCTTGACGAGAGCCTCCTCGACGCGCGACAGCATCGTGTCCGGGACGAAGACGCGGGTGCCGTTGGTGCAGACTTGGCCGGTGGAGAAGAAGTTGGCCGCCATGGCCACGTCGGCGGCCTCGTCGACGTCGGCGTCGGGCAGGATGACAACGGGGCTCTTACCGCCGAGCTCCATGGTGACGGCCTTCATGTCGTTGGCGGCTTGGCTGGCAACCTTGCTGCCAGTGCTGACCTGGCCGGTGAAGCTGACCTTTGCGATGCCCGGGTGGGCGACAAGAGGTGCGCCGACCGCAGGGCCGTCGCCGTAGACGACGTTGAAGACACCTGGGGGCACGCCAGCCTCGATATAGATCTGGGCGAGCGTGTTGGCGTGCAGGGGTGTCACTTCACTGGGCTTGTAGACCATGCAGTTGCCGGCCGCGAGGCAGGGAGCCGATTTCCAGAGGGCGATCTGGATGGGATAGTTCCATGCGCCGATGCCGGCGCAGACGCCGAGGGGCTCATGGGTGGTGAGGACGAAGGCGTCATCGCGCAGGCGCGTGTGCTGGCCAGGGTTGCTCCCAGCGGCGAAGTGGGCGTAGTACTCCAGAACGTCGGCGCCGGTGACCACGTCGACGGTGGTGGTCTCGGAGAGGGCCTTGCCCGTGTCGAGCGTCTCGGTGAGGGCGAGCTCGTCGTTGCGCTCGCGCAGGATGGCGGCCGCGCGGAGGAGGATGGCGGCGCGGCGCGGGGCCGGGGTGCCGGCCCAGGTCGGGAACGCGGCGGCGGCGGAGGAGACGGCATCGTCGAGCTGGGAGCGGGTGGTTGTGTAAATGGTGGCGAGAGGCTTCGCGGTGCTGGGATCAACCGAGGTGAAGGTTGAGGATCCCGACGACGAGGGCTGGGGCTTGCCCGAGTGGAAGGTGTGGATTTCGGTGGAAAAGGTCATGGTGATGATCGATGCGTGGACGAGGCCACAGGAGACGAGTATCGGGCGATGGGATTGACGCGGCGGTTGGAGAGTGGCGACGATGCCTTGTGGTGTTGAAGGTGCAGGCTCGTGTGACGTTATGGAGGTGAGGTCGATGGATGGACCCTGGACGACTTTACAGCGGGGAGGATATCACAGTGAGGTCACCGAGGTGCATTCCATGGCGGTTGGTGGCTGCCCGGGGGCAACCTGACCAGTGCCCGGGGGTGCGCCGGGGTGTCAGTGGCCTACCTAAGGTAGGTGCAAACCCGCCCGCTTCGCGCTGCTCCAGGGCTGGTTTCTTCGCTCTAGCCTTGCAGGCCCAGCGCCCAAGCCCGGCCACCCCGCGGCGTCGGGGTCCCAGGCCGAGGGTGCAGATTTTCGTCTTGGGTCTGGTCCAACTGACGCACGGATCGACCGCTTCTCCAGCTGTCACTGCCGTGTTTAGCGCTGTCTTGCCTCAGCACCTAAAAGTCAGGGCCTCTGAGACATTGACCGTCCGCATGCTTCGCACAGCGTGCAGTGCAGCAAGCCTCGGGTGCCCAGGCTGCAGGTGCCTTGCACCGACTTGGCATACTACTACATACCTTGCCAACCTCCTTGGTGCGGCTGGTCGGCCATCTGACATCCACTCCTGGCAAGTCGCTTCGCTGCTTGGATGGCTGGGGGGAGGACTCCCGGCGCATTCTCGGGAGTTGGGAGCTGCGGGCGGTTGACTCGCGCAAAGCCGCAGATGTAGTGGAGGCATCCACGGACCCATGCCCATACCGAGACGCTCAAGACGCTGACGCCTGCCCGCCAACCCGCCTCGCCCGGGGTGGGGTTCCATAGGCATGGGCAAGACAGGCGGGGGTCGCCTGAGACGGGCCACTAGCCAGCCTAACGGGCTCTCCAGCCAGTGCCAGCCAAAGTTAGCCGCGCTCCGTGTTGTCGACGGGGGCGTCGGGGGCCGCAGCGGGGCGCACGACGTCACCGGCGCGGGCCTGGCAAAGCATGATGGAAGAGTTTTAGTGACCGCACGGAGACGACGGGATCGAGGCGAGGCAAGCGATTTTTGACGGCCGAGGTGGCGGTCGGTGGGTCACTGAGGTTGATGGAAACCTCCATGAGAGCCGCTGCTGCCTTACCTTTGGTACAGTATGCAATGCGGTTGCAGCGGCAGTCGGCGACAGGTTGGCCGCGTGCGCCCACAGCAGCACGCCCTCGTCTCTTCCCATCTGCGCGTTGCTGATGTGAGTGGCTGCAAGTGCTACAGTACGAGCGAGGACGTCTAGAAGGTTGCTTCGACGGGCACGTGGCCCATCTGATCTGGGGTTGTCAGCCTCGCTGATGCTCAGCATCTGCATAGCGTGTCCCCAACGTATGCAACAGGCCAGGAAGCATTGAGCTTCTTCGCAAGCGATACTGCACAGTGCAGTATGGTACCGAATCGTTACGGACTTTGTAGGAAGTGCAGGAACGGGGACAGAGCAAAAATCTGACGATCGACGCGGGGGCAAGAAATCGGAGGGCGGCATCGCGTCCTCCATCCTCACGGATGGCCTCAGCCGACGGCACCATCGAACGACTTCTCCCAGCCAGAGCAAGGGAAAAAACATGCTGCATGGCACATCATGCGAGAATTGCGCGGAAATCGATGAAGCGGGCTTGGCTCGGAAACCAGATCCCTGTCTCGTGTGCACCGTCGATCGGCGGTGGGCTGGCACCACGCACGAGGCGCGGCTGCTCGAGCTGCAACGAGTTGAGCGAGCACCGCATTAGCTTGGGTTGATTGCAGGAGGACGAAGATGAGGGGTCCCCCCGTTTCAATCACAACCCATTACGAGAAGCGAGGCGCGGGCTTGGCCCCTTCCATGCAGCGGCGGGGGTTGCGTCCAAAGGCGTCAAACACGTTCACGTCGTGCATCTTGGCCAATCCGAACGGCGGCGGCCGGGGTGGATGGGCGGGGCGGAGGGCAGGCAGATTCCGCCGCGACGGCCATTTGATGGACGTCTGCGGTGTCCATTCGGCTCGCAGACGACGGCGAAAGGCGACGACGATGGATGGTGCCCAGAGGAGGCTGCGCTGGCGTGGGAAGTGATTGCGAGCGGGTGCGGAGGAGAGAAAGACAAGGACAAGGGCAGACAAGATGCCCAGCTTCATTGGTGAACATGGTGTCTTGGGCGCTTCGCCTTATCTCGTCCGCACGGCGGTACCTACCTGGTACTGAAGACCACAGTGCTGCTATCATGCCGGCTGCTGTTTGTGGATGCGGGAAGGCGCTGCCCTGTCCGGCGTCCCCCGCCTGCCTCTCTGCGAGATTCAGGGCCACGTCTGTCATCCGCGCCTGCCTTCAAGATTTGGTGCTGGATAAGGTAAGGAAGGCAGGCGCGAATTCGTAGTTGTCTGCCTGAGGTGACATTCCATGGAAGCCTCGGGCTCTGCTTTCGCCCGAATCGCCTGTCTGCCGTCGGCCTCATGAATCGTCGTCGTCTTCAACGTCCGCCTCGCCAAGTCATGTCCACCGTGCCCGCCTCCAGCACGCGACCTGCCCTGCCACCCCGGACACGGAGGTTGGAGGCGTCCTCGTCAGCAAACCGCCGCCCAACCGCATGGCATCCTGGCCGGTCCTGCATTTGTTGGCTCCCGAACCACCTGCTGCTCAGACCAGTGCCGTAACATCCAGCTGAGCCAGCCTCCCCCGCGATGGCGGCGGCGCACGACCCGTCTCACTGGCCGGGAGCTCCAAAGGTCGGTCAGAGGCGTTGCCGCCATCCTCCTGGCTCCAGCATCATCCTCCATCCATGTCGTGCCATGCCGTACCCTGCCGTGCCCTGCTGACGCCATGTAAGGCCCAGCCCCGCTGCGGCACCCGCACAAGGCCATGGACGCACGACGCCGAGTGATCATCGCGACTGAATGGACGCGGGCCTCGACAACGACTTCAATTACCGACACGTAGGATGTACGAGCCCTGCAGCAGCACGGGGGCACCATACCCATGCCTCGCAGACCCGGGGGACCAACCGCCCACCACGACACTCACCTCTTGCACCCAACCGCCGCGCCGCGCCCACCGCGCGCCCACCCCGAGACGCCGCCGCCGTCGCCGCTCTTCCGGGCCAAGAGCCCTGCGTCCCCACCGGTTGCACCGACCCGGCGCCCCATCAGCTCGCCATCACAGCAATTGGACAGCATGGGTCCCCAAGGTCCCATAGTGCCCATCCAAGCCATGCGTTTGATCCATCACTCCGTCCAGCTCCACCACCCCCGGGCCATCTGACGTCGCCTGCCGCGCGCACTCTGCTCAGTGCCACCCGCAGCTAGCAGAAAACTTATTACCTGCTGCATTGGATTGGATTGGATTGGAAAAGTGCTTTCGCCGACTCGAACGGCCATCCCCTGTCTGCCTGCCGAGTTGCGGTGTTGTACTTATTGCCCGTCCATCCATCTTTTCTGCCCCCCCTCCCCCCGGTGTTCTATCCTCCCACCCTCTTGCTACAATCATCCATCTTGCTGCCGCTGCTGTGGTCTTCAACCCCGTAGCCGTGACACATTTGTAGCTCACTTCCCGGACGACATCCCACGTGTGGTGACGAGCTTCTCGCCTGTCCGTTGCGAATTCATCATCCGCCCGGACCGATCCCGCAGTGACGACGCTCCCTCATCTCGCCGGTGATACGCTCATCCCAGCAACAGCATCGTCCTACCGCAAACATGACGACCAAGACGCTCCCCGCCAACTCCAGCGACGCCTACGACTATGTCATCGTGGGCGGCGGCACCGCTGGCTGCGTCCTCGCCTCGCGTCTCTCCAGCTACCTGCCCGAGCGCAAGGTTCTGCTGATCGAGGCCGGCCCCTCCGACTTTGACCTCAGCAACGTCCTCGACCTGCGCCAGTGGCTCACGCTCCTCGGCGGCGAGCTCGACTACGACTACGGCACCACGGAGCAGCCCATGGGCAACTCCCACATCCGCCACTCGCGCGCCAAGGTCCTCGGCGGCTGCTCTTCGCACAACACCCTCATCTCCTTCCGTCCCTTCCGTCACGACCTGGAGCGCTGGGTCGCCAAGGGCTGCAAGGGCTGGGACTTTGACACCCTCGTCCGCCTCGTCGATAACCTGCGCAACACCTTCCAGCCGGTCCACGCCCGCCATCGCAACCAGCTCTGCAAGGACTGGGTCGAGTCCTGCTCCACCGCCCTCGACATCCCCGTCATCCAGAACTTCAACGACGAGATCCGCTCCACTGGCCAACTGACGCAGGGCGCCGGCTTCTTCAACATCTCTTACAACCCGGACAACGGCTACCGCAGCAGCGCCTCGGTTGCCTACATCCACCCCATCCTGCGCGGCGAGGAGCGCCGCCCCAACCTGACGGTCCTCACCGAGGCGCACGTCTCCAAGCTGTTTGTCGAGAACGACGAGGCCAAGGGCGTCGCCGTCACGCTCGCGTCGGGCCAGAAGGTCACCATTCGCGCCCGCAAGGAGACCATCCTCTCCGCCGGCGCCGTCGACACCCCGCGCCTCATGCTGCACTCTGGCCTGGGCCCCCGCGGCCAGCTCGAGGGCCTGGGCATCAAGGTCGTCAAGGACATTCCCGGCGTGGGCGAGAACCTCATCGACCACCCCGAGACCATCATCATGTGGGAGCTCAACCAGCCGGTGCCCCCGAACCAGACGACCATGGACTCGGACGCGGGTGTCTTCTTCCGCCGCGAGCCCACCAACGCGGCGGGCAACGACGGCGACGCGGCCGACGTGATGATGCACTGCTACCAGATCCCGTTCTGCCTCAACACTGAGCGCCTGGGCTACCCGGTGATTCGGGACGGATATGCTTTCTGCATGACGCCCAACATCCCCCGCGCGCGCTCCCGCGGCCGCATCTACCTGACGTCGGCCGACCCGGCGGTGAAGCCGGCGCTGGACTTCCGGTACTTCACGGACCCGGAGGGCTATGACGCGGCGACGCTGGTGGCGGGCATCCGGGCGGCGCGCAAGATTGCGGAGCAGGAGCCGTTCAAGGGCTGGCTGAAGCAGGAGGTGGCGCCGGGCCCCAAGGTGCAGACGGACGAGGAGATCAGCGAGTACGCGCGCCGGGTCGCGCACACGGTGTACCACCCTGCGGGCACGACCAAGATGGGCGACGTGACGCGGGACGAGTACGCGGTGGTGGACCCGGAGCTCAAGGTGCGGGGCATCAAGAAGCTGCGCATCGCCGACGCGGGCATCTTCCCGGAGATGGTGTCCATCAACCCGATGCTGACGGTGCTGGCGATTGGCGAGCGGGCGGCTGAGCTCATCGCCATGGAGGACGGCTGGAAGGTCGGCAACAAGCCCGCCAGGCTGTAAGCGCGAGGCGGCGCTGCTATGTACTCATGTTGGATGGCTCGTCCGCTGGGGACGGGCGACTGTATGATGGTCTAACGTGCTGAACGATTCATGTTTTCTGGTCGTGAGCCGTCGTCGAACGGCGGACCATGCTCGCGGGGAGAGATGTTGGCGTTGCCAAAATGGCGTTGCCAGAATAGCTCGAAAACAGAAATGAATGAAACAAGCTTGTTCCCGTGCAGTTGCAGGAGCCGCGTTCGAGGTGTATGTCGCGATGCGTGAGGGAGTGAAGTCGGGGGATGGGGGGCGGGGGGGCGTTTTGGGGGTTGTTTCCAGAGTAATCACGGGAGGGTAGGTACCCAGGTATATGCAGGGCGTTGACGCTGCTGATGATGACGGAATGACGACGGACGGGAATTGTGCCCCCTGTGCATCGGCCGGTTGGGGTCGCTGAGCCGCAAGACAACGACCCATTCATTCGACGCCCTCGACGGAGGACGGGACGGAGAATTAGAGTCTCGTGCGCCCGCCGTTTTAGCTCCGGAGTGTCGGGCCTGCAGCAGCGGTGCGGGGGTCGAGACGGCGCCGACGGGGGCCGCGCGGAACGCAGGGCCGAAGATGCCAGGCCTTGGGAACGCACACACACACACGGCCCGGTGGCTGCACAGGAGGTACCTTTTTTGCCTAAAGCCAGGCAAAATGTACCAATCGCCCACCCGCCGTCGCCAGGTTCAACGGGGGGTGACAGATATTATTACACGGACGGAATCACCGCGAGGGTTTGGACCGGGCCAGGCTGGGGCATCCATGGGATATGAGCGGCGGCGGCCGCAATGGCTAAATCCGCTGGCTGGCGGGCTGGCTGGCGGGCTGGCTGTGCGAAGCAGCCGGGCCCTGGCTATATTACTGCTTTGGCTCCCTAGCGGCATGGCATGGCATGGCATGGTTTGGCCCATTTGTCCCGGATCCGCTGCGCTCCGGAGCCTGCCCTTATCGCAGGCATTCACTCCTTCACTCACACACGCACGCACACAGGCACTTTCGCGGGCGGCCTGATCAAGCGCGGGCGGGCGGACTGTCTCGGCTCGGCTACTGCAACGTGCTGTAATACTCCGTACGTATAAGAAAGCGGCGTGACCGCCGGGGTGCCGCGGCGCTGTGCATTGCCGTGCTGTACTGGACCGCAGTCTGTGACAAGCAGGCCACCTCCATCACCACCGCCCCTCGAGAGACTGGTTCCAACGGGTATGCTTGGAGACGACGTTACGGGCATCGCGTTTTTCATCTCACCTCCGCCACGTCAGGACCAGAATCAACACCAGTACCAGGTGCAAGACCGGGAGCGACATCAGAATGGACGCAGGCTGCACGTTATAGCAACCAAGAGACGAAGAACTGCCGCCAGGAATGGACACCCTCGGGGCCGCCGCTGCCATGCACGCCGCTGCGTCAGCGGGGCGCGACACGACGACAATGACAGCAGCAGCGGCAGCGAGCTCGCTCATGGACCATCCTCATCACCATCAGCCGCACCAGAATAACCCCCACCACTATCCGCATCAGCAGCAGCCGCAGGGCACTCCCTTGGAAAACGAGGCAGCACCGTTGGCAGCAGCAACTCCACCGCCCTACAGGAAATCTCATGGTCATGCCAGAGCGCCGTCGTCGTCGTCCTCTGGGTTAGGGGTCGCTGTCTCGGGAGAATTGATGGCCGAGTTTGGCCGAGACCAGCAACGGCCGCAGTCGCCCGCCGCCACCATGGGAGCCACGAATCGGAGCACGAGCAATAATAGCCTGCTCCCTGGGCTTGGGCTCGCTGGATTTGGAGGAGGAGGCGGAGGAGCAGGACTTGGAGGAGGTGCCGCGACGACGGGGTTTCCGGGAGGAGGCGGCATCAGCGCTGAGGAGCTGCTCGACCTGCAGCGCGTCCTGACAGGAGGCGCTGGAGGAGGAGCTGGAGCAGCTGGAGCAGCTGGAGCAGCTGGAGGAGGCGCCGCAGCCAGCGGGCCGCCGCTCCGGTCGGGCCACCAGCAGTGGCAACAGCAGGAGCAGCGGCAGCGGCAGGAGCAGCTGGAGCTGGAGCTACACAGACTGCGTCAGCACCCGCAACAGCAACCTCCGCGTCTTCACCACCGGCATCACCACCACCACCACCACCACCAGCATCAGCGCTCGCGGGATCGCGACTTTGGCGGCATCGTCAAGCAGGCGCACCGGCCGACGCCGCAGCAGCAGCCGCGCTCCCGCCGCCCCTCGCCTGCACGCGTTGCCGCCGTGTCTGCGTCTGCGGCTGCGCCAGCCGTCGCCCCTGTCAGCGTGCCCCTTATTAGCAGCGCAAGCAGCAGCGGGATCCGCAGAGCGGCCTCATCGCCGCCCACCTCATCGTCGCCGCCGCCCGCGGCCACGAGGAAGCTGGAGAACGGCAGCGCCAGCAGCGCCAGCACAACCACGACCACCGGCAGAAGCAGCAGGAGCGGCAGCGGCGCCAGCACCGGCAGCGCCAACACCAGCAGCAGCATGGCGACGGACACCAGCAACAGCCCCCTCTCCCTCTGGGGGCCTGACCCCGTGCCCCTGCCGCCGCGCTTCGCTCGCATCAAGCGCGCCCTCATCGCCGGCCATGAGACCGCCATCGAGGCCTCGTGGGCCCGCCTGCTCGCTGCCCTGCGCCACGACGTCGAGCACATCGAGATGCTCGGCGCCCACCTCGTGCCCTCGGTCGAGTTCGCCGACCTGGCCGACCCAGCCCAGACGCAGCGCTTCGGCCGCGACTTGCGCCGCTACGGCGTCGGCGTCGTCCGCAAGGTCCTGCCACGCGATGTCGCCGATGACGCCGTCCGCGACACGGTCCGCTACCTGGACGCCCGCCGCCCGCAGCCGCGGCAGCAGCAGGAGGGAGGTGCCCCGATGACCGACACCAACGCGCCGGCAGATGCTGCAGCTGCCGCCGCCACGGCGCACACCAGCTTCCGCGCCCCCAGGCAAGACCCGACATGCTTCGACTGCTTCTGGACACCCGCTCAGGTCCGCGCCAGGGCGCACCCCAACGTCCGTCGCGCTCAGCGCTTCATGATGGGCCTGTGGGAGCCCGACGCCCGGGATCGGATTGCGCCCCATCTGCCCATCACCTACGCCGACCGCATACGCGTCCACGGCGGCGGCTTCGACACGGACGCCGGAGGCACGAGCACGCCACCTCCGGCCCCGTCGGACTCGGCCGCCGGAGCAGCAGGTCCCGAGGGGCAGTCGCAGTTCCTCGCGCCCCAGTCCGCCGACGACTGGATCAATGCCCTCCAGTCCTCGGCCGGCATCATCGCCCAGGTCGACAACGGCTCCCTCGAGCGCTGGGAGCCCGACGGCTACGGCCGCGGTGGCGCCTACGACCACGTCTTCGCCGGCCGCTGGGAGGACCACGACCCCTGGGCCGGCGCTGCCCAACGAGCGAGCTCCACCACAGACCTTTACAACGGCTATGGCGCCTGCACCGTCTTCCGCATGTTCCAGGGCCTGCTGGCCCTCTCTACCATCGAGCCCGGCACCCTGCGTCTCATGCCCTCGCCGCGCCTCGCCACCGCCTACTACCTCCTGCGGCCCTTCTTCGCTCCGCGCACTCCTCCGCCCGAGGAGCGGCACGGGCCGGCCTGGGAGGCATATCTCGCGCCGAACAACTGGGAGCTGCAGCGCGAGCCCGACACCACCATCCACGGCGCCGTCCCGGGACATGCACAGCGCGTCACGGAGCGCTGGCACCCGCACCTGTGCCTGCGTAGCAGCCTCGTTACTCTGCCCACCCTGCAGCCCGGCGATTACATCTTTTGGCACCCGGACCTACCGTACCACATCTCGAGCAACGGCATCGGTAGCAGGCCTCCAGGAACGGTGGCAGCAGCAGGAGGAGGCGCAGGAGGAAGTGCTGGTAGTGCTGCCGACGGCAGCGACGACGTGCGCATGCTCGTCTACATCCCCGCCGCGCCGCTCACCCAGACGGGCGCCTTGTACCTGGCCCGTCAGCGGAGGGCGTTTCAGCGTGGCCACCCGGGGCCGGACTTTGACTCGTCGGGTAAGGGTGTGGTCGCCGAGGACTCGGAGCAGCGCCCGCGCGAGGACGAGGTGGAGCGCGTGGGCGGCAAGGAGGCGCTGCGGGCCATGGGGTTGCTCCCTTGGGAGGAGGAAGAGGAGGGAGAGCGGGGAGAGAGCGGACAGAAGCCCGACAATGAGCTCGTGAGGCTGGCCAACCTGATTCTGTTTCCGGAGTGAGTCATCGGCTGCCTTGGTGCGGTAGTATATCCAGAGAGAGGAACTAGACGGCGCCATATACGGGGGACCCAATATCAAGCCATCCGTAGAACAAGTATACCATGTCAATAAATGTGCAAACTTGCTAAAAATGTATGCAAACCATGCTATGCCGTCGTATGCCAAGCTCTCTCGTGTTCGCTATGCCAAAAGAACCAGAACTAAGCCAAAACGAAATGGAAATGAAAACACATAGCACAACAATAATATCAGCGAGACAAAATAGGAATCAACTTTTCACCCATCACTGCGCCTCCGCCGCCGCTCCACGAAGCAGCGTCGCCACGCTCCCCGCCATGGCCCTGGCCCTGTCTTCAGACAGGATCTCGCGGGGCCCAAACACGCCGATGGCAAGCCCGCCGTTGGCCTGCAGCGCGGCTTCCACGTCGATGGGTATCTGCGCGAAGTAAAAGAGTCAGCAAGCTAAGTCTTCGTCGTCTTGTACTGCCTGGCCGTGGTGGAAGAGAGGCGAGTTGGGGGCCTGGGAAGTGCGCAGTGTGGTAGGTAGACAAGGCCAAGGGACGAACAGGCAGCGGAAAGGGGAAAGGGAGGTAGGGCAATACGTACGGGGTATGCATCCGCGACGGCGTTTCTCTGCAGCCACGGCTCGCCGAGGAGGGCAGACGAGTCAGAACTACCTCCTGTGACATGTCCGTCCTTGACCGGCGTCACCGTGATGTTCTTCGTGGAGGAACTCGGCCCCTCATCCGGCAAGCTAAGGAAATTAATAAACGCATCCAGCGTCACGCCCGTCCACTCGTAAATCTCCCAAAGACCGACATCCGCACGCCCATGGCTGCTCACGGCGTGGATATCCTGCTGAATGGTCTTTGCGACGGCCACCAAGTCCACATCAGGAGACAGGCCGACGACCTTAAGGGGCACGAGGTTGAGCGTAGGGAAGAGCGTCGAAGGGGCGTCGGCCTCGCCGCTGCGGTTGGCGAGGTATACGCCAAAGAGGATGGATGAGGTAGACGGGCCGGCTATGGAGCGGGCGTACGCGGCGAGGAAGAGGGCCTGGAGGCCGATGCCGTGCTGCGCTGCTAGGAGCTGCAATTCTGACGAGTCTGCGATGGCCGCGCCGTCGAAGAATGCCGTGCGATCGCTTATGCTTGACACGACCGGGCGGGGAGCAACATCCGGCGAACCACCGCGCAGGTATTCGGTCCAAAACTCTCTCCTCGCATCGCGGGAGCTTGCAGTCATGGGTCGGACGGCAAAACTGGCCCACGGAGCATTATCGGCCTCCGCAGCAGTAGCCTCGCCCTCGTTGAGTAGACCGGCCAGCTGTGCGACAAGCGCGGGAAGGCTGACACCATCGTATAATGCGTGGTGAATGGTGAGTCTAAATGTGATCGCCCCGTCACTCTGGTCCTTCGCCACACAGATGCGAACCAACGGCTGCGTTACACGCTTCGATTGCACGGCGTCCGCAGACGCAACGACTTGCACAAACGGCAGATCCTTGGACCCAGTGGCAATAAGCCTCGTGCGCAGGATAGGTGTCGTGGCGACGAGTCTGTCCCACGCGCGGTAGACGTCGGCTTCTTCCACGACTCCCTCGATTCGATAACAGAACTCTGGATAAAATATTGAACCACCGCTTTTGCTCCACGCCGTAAGCATGTACACCTGCAGCGGAGTAGCGGGAAGAATGATCTCGACATCGGATGCCGAGATGCCACATTCGACGATCAGTCCGTCCACATCCACTTCACTGGGCGGTACCCAGGTTCCGGACGGTTGAGCCGCTTCAGCGACAACCCCTTCCGCCGTCGTTGCCATATTAGCCAGCTCTCGAATGCTCGAGGCAGTAACGAGGTCTCGGGGGCGCAGTGTGACACCCTTTTTGCGCAGCAAAACCGACACCTTGATCGCGCTTATGGAATCAAGACCAAGATGGTAGATCGTAGAAGAAGGCTTGATGGCATCCTCTGGGACACCCGAAACGTGGCTCAAGGTTTCTCGTATCAACAAAGCCGTCACGCCACATTGCTTCTCCTCGTCGAGTTCACCGCCGTCCTGGGAAGGCATAGCAGATGCACCCTCGTTCATCGTCTCCGGAGCTGCCCCGCATATCGAAACACCGGAACCGTGAAACTCCAAAAGCTCTGAGGTCGGGGAGCCACAGAAGAACTCCAGGACACTGTCCAGGTTCTCAATCAGGTTCTCTGAATCTTGTTGCGAGAAGAACTTGCTTTGACAGGCGATGCGCCAGACGAGCCGTTCACGAGTCTGCTCTGCTTCGACGCACACCGGATAATCCACTGCAGAAACGCCGTCAACAGACTGAAGTAGCCTTCCGGCTGCTGAATCTTCTTCTGGAGCTTTCTGTAGGAGAAACAAGGAGTTGAACATCTCCGTGGTGGCAACCTTGGCAGCGGCTTGGGCCTTTCGCAGAGGAAAGGATTGGTACTCGCGGATGTCTGCCATCGTCTCCTCGAGGTACTTGAGAAAGCCCGTGACCGACCCGTGAAGCAGGCAACGCATGGCAACCGTGTTCATGGTCGGGAACATCAGGTCTTCGGCACCGTCAAAATCTCGTCCAGACAGGACCAGTCCAAAGATGACGTCGAGCGACCGGGTTCTCTGGGCAAGAACGATTGCCCAACAGGCCAAGCAGACGACCTGTAGGCTAACCGAATTGTCCTTGCAAAATGCCGCAATCTCAGATGGTGTCGTGCGGGAGGCAGTCTCCGCCCGATGCAGGCTTGGTTGTGTAATTGCAGTCCCTTGGACCTGGCCTGCGAGAACCGTAGGTACAACACCGTCGAGATATGTCGACCAAAACGCGCGCGCCTGTGAACTTTGAGAGGCAAGAGCCTTCGAGATGAACAAGTTTGGATTCGGGCGGGACATGGCTCGGCCTTCGTACGCAGCCTGAAGATCTTGGTAGAGCAGACCCAACGACCATCCGTCATACAGCGCATGTGCAAGAGACAGCACGACGAAACGCCGCTCGCCGAATGTTGCAAAGGCAATCTGCACTATATTCGACAGCGCGCGGCTTTTGGCGGCTCGCCGTGTTGCCGCTTTCGTTAGCGTGTCAGTCTCGGAGAACTCAGAGAGATCTTCGGACGCCATGTGCGCAGCTCCCCGTTTAAACACGACCTGGCAAAACGACATGTCCAGAGACGTATCGTCGATTTCAACGAAGCCTGTTCGCAGGATAGGTGACTGCGCTATGACTTGCTCCCAGGCCGCTCGGAGCTTGTCCATGTCGACGCTGTCAGCAACCTCCAGGACATCGTGGTTGAAGTACCATTCGAAATCTGATTCGAGCATGCCCGCAACCATGGACTCTTGAAGCGCAGTCGGTGGCAAGATGGACTCGACATTTCCCATGTCAATATTGGCTCGTTGCACCTGCTCGCGTAGCTTTGGCCCAAGGTCATCGAGAATGTCGCCCACCGCCGGGCTAGAGACGACATTGTCGGACGAAAGATCCGAAAGAACCCGCGTAATGGTCTGACCCTTCAGGAGGCGCGACGCCGAAATTTGTACGCCATGGCGCTTGAGTCTGGTGGACAGCTTAATCACGTCGATGCTGTCCAGCCCAAGCTCAAGCATTGTCGTGAACGGGCTAATTTGCTCGGGCGGAACGTCTGCAAGGCTCGCCATTTCATTCTGTACGAGTCGGGCCTGATCCGTCCACCGGAATTCTTCGCTGAGATCAAGCGCTCCAGACATAGCCGGGACTTCTGATTGAATGGCGTCACAGCTCGTGATATCGACTGAACCTGGAACAACAAACCCGCCCTCTTGGGCACTCGTTGCTGCAGCCTCCATGCGGTCGAGTAGTTCCTCAAGGACTGCAATGTCCGCAACATGGCTTTGCGCCACCAACGCAAGTCGCAGCGCGCCGTTGCGAGTCCGCGTCACTTCCATTGCCAGCGGGTAGTCTGGCTGACTTGGGCTGTCTGCGATCGTCCAGGGTGCCGCCGCGTCGTCCAGGGCTTGCTGCTCGATTTGGAACGCGAGAAGGTTATCAAAAAGTGCCTGGCCGCCAGAGCACCACTTTTGTACATCTTTGAGTGGGACGTGTTGGAAAGCGAGGACGGCCGTGTTGAAGCTATGGACGCGTCGAATCAGCGCTGGCCAGGTCTGGCCATTCAAGGTCTTGCTGAAGAACGGAACGGTGTTGAATAAAGGCCCAATAGTTCGGTCAACGCCTTGCAGGTCAGTTGTACGACCAGAGACAATGATGCCAACTGTCAGCTTGCCTCCGAGGTGAGCTTGCAGCACGGATGTCCAAAGCGCCAAAATGACGGTCTGCAGTGTGACGTTGTGGCTCGCCCGAAGTTGCTCGAACTGAGTGAGAGGCACAGATCGCGTTGCGATAACGGGAGGCCCTACTTCCAGAGGTGGCGCAACCGCAGAGATGGGCACCCGGGACCAGCCGTCAAGATGCTCGACCCAAAATGGCCGAGAGTGATCGTACTTGCCCAAGGGGCCGTGAGACAGTGCGTCGAGAAACTCTGGAGCAGACTGGCTCTCTTGATAATGGTAAAAGGCCGAGGCGTAGTCGTTCATGAGGTCAAAGCTGTTGCCATCATACAGGGCATGGAAGATATGGAGGATGACCATGTCTGAGCCCGCGGCTGTGAGGTGGGTTAGATGCATCGGATGGAGGATTTGTTCGCGGTTGCGCGAGATCCAGTCCTGGCGTGTCGTTCGAATGATCTCGTCAATCTCCTCACCCAACTCCGTAGTACGCCTTTCCCATGTAATGCCAGACTTCTTCAGCGCAGCTTGAACATGGCCATTCGGCGTCTCCAGAAACACAGTTCGCAGGATGGCATTGGCATCAATCAGTCGATCCCAGGCCTCTCTCACGCGCTCAATCGATGCGGTTCGATCGACTGTCAGCACAAAGGAGTTGAAGTATGCGCCGCGGATCTCGTTCGTCAACGCTTTGGAGATGATTCCTTGCTGAAGTGGCGAGCAAGGCGCGATATACTCAATGTCGTCTGGCCTTACGCCCAGTTCGCGGCATACGAGGGGCCGATACCGATGGTTGCACGCCTGGATCGCTTGTTTGGCGGCCCTGACGGCGCCCAATCCCCGCGCGCCCTCGCTTGCGGGTTCTTTACTTAACAAGGCCACAACAAGGTCGGCAACGACGGGGCTTCGAAGCAGGACGACGGGCGAAGCGGCAGGAAAGCCTTGAGATTTTAGCCGAGTCGACAATTGAAGCGCAGAAATCGAGTCGACTCCAAGGTCAAAGATGCTCGTCGACGCAGAGATGCTATCCCTGGAGACCTGACTGAAATCTGCAAGGATCTGTGATATCTTGTCAAGGGCCGCCTGGTCCACTTGACCGTTGCTGGAGGTCATCGCTGCAGCTGAGAATTGGATGAGATCTTCGTAGGACAAGCTCCCAAACAGGAGCTTCAACTCCTTTGCTTCAACTTTGTTGTTTGGCGATAGCGGGATGTGCGGTAGCCGCAGGAAGTAGGTCGGAACCATGTAACCCGGGAGTCGCTCAAGGCAGGCCACACGAGCCTTGGCGGCAAGCCCATCTGTATCGGGGAGCACCGTGAGGTTTGCGGCGCCGTCGGTATCTCCCACCAGAAACGAAACCAGCACATCTTTACCGCTTGACTCCTGCCGCACAACAATTGTCGCTGCGTCTTTCACATCTGGCGCTCCGGTGCGGATGGCGTGATTGATCTCTCCAATTTCGAGGCGCTGGCCGCGCAGTTTGACTTGATCATCTGCCCGACCAAGGAAATCGAAGCACCCATCGTAAAGGATACGAACCAAGTCGCCGGTTCGGTAGATACGGTCGCCAAAATCAGACAGTGTCGGGAAGCGCTCCGCCGTCAGGTCTGGCCGATGCAAGTAGCCTTTCCCGACCAGCTTGCCCGAAACGCACAGCTCGCCAACGCCGCCTCGGAGGACGGGGATCTCAGTGCCCGGCTGAAAGACGTACGACCCCACGTTGAGGAACTGCCTCCCTATGTTGCTTGGACGGCCGTTGACGGGCACTCGTGGATATGTCGTCACGCCGATTGTAGCCTCGGTTGGACCGTACGCATTGTATATGACGGCTTTGGAACCCCACGCGTCCAAGATCTCCTGCTTGAGGGACTCGCCTCCGGTGATGAAGACTCCTTTGCACAAACTCGGTACCTCGTCGGGGTGCGTTAGTCTTGCCAAGGATGGAGTAAGATCGATGTGAGTGATGCCGAGCTTGTTGATCGATCCTGTGAGATCATCAAGTATAAGATCTCGAGGTGCAGCGACGACCGTGATGCCAGTGGACCAGCTCCAGTATTGCTCCAGCACAGAGACGTCAAAATGGAGCGCCGCAAACTGCAGCCAGCGCGAGTCTTCCTGCCAGTGCCCCTCGAAGAGGTGTTGGAACGCCATCATTGCCTGGACCGCGTTGTCGTGCGTGATTTCGCAACCCTTTGGCGTGCCAGTGGTCCCCGACGTGTACAAACAGTAGCACGTATTCTCAGGCGTGAACTCGTCACCAAGCTGAGGCGCTTTGTCTCCGTATTTTTGCAGAGACCCTTCGTCAATTCGCAGCAACCTCGTGGAGACTTCGAAATCCACCGTAGTGCTTTTGTCAGTTAATAAGCAAGTGGCCTGCGAGTCTCGCAAGATGAACTCTTTCCGTGCCCTGGGGGCATTTGGATCCAGTGCAACAAAGGAACAGCCCGCCTTGAGAATACCGAGGATTGAGAAATAAGCCTCGGGACATTTCTGGAAGTGAATGGCGATGATATCGCCAGTTCGGCTGCCCTCACGGAGCAGATTCGCCACACGATTGCCAAGGAGGTCAAATTCCAGGTAACTCCATAGCTGGCGAACAACAGAACTGCTCTCAAAGCCACTCACAAACTCGAGGGCTACGCGGTCTGGATGGAGCGAAGCTCCTCGTTCCACAAAATCGTGGAGGAACGACACCGGTGCTGGAATGTACGGCACGGGGGCGGGCGTGATGGCGAAGAGTTCAGGGCGCTTCTTATACAGGCCATCCTCGCTCCCGTCAGGATCGCGCAGCAGATGCTCCAATGTGGCGTCGAACTGCTGTAGAAGAATGCTGGCCTGTTCATTTGGCAAGATGTCGGGTGCAAATGTCAGGCATAGCTGGACTGAACCGTCCCCAGCTGGCTCAACTTCGAGCGACACAGCGTAATCCACCATGGCATCGTCGTTAACCAAGGTCCATGGCTGATTCGATGCTTCAAGGACCTCCCTCCTCTGATACACCAGCAGCGTGTCAAAGACTGGCGAGGCAGGATGCCCAAGCCACTTTTGGACGAGACTCAACGGCGCATACTGGTGCTTGTGAAGCTCCACATTGAACTGCATCATGCTGCTCAGCAGATCGATATTCGACTTGGCGTTCAAGGCAATGACCGGCATCGTCGTAATGCAAGGGATCGGAGCGTTTTGCATGGCGTCAGTTGTCCGCCCAGACATTGTAACTCCGAAAGTGACGGAGCTCTCTCCGAGATAGGATGCCAGCACCCGCACCCATGACGCTTGAATGGCAGCCTGAACAGAGGTTCCCAAAGATTTCGTGGCCTCACGGAGAGACACAAAGTCCATAGACGACTTCATTCGATGCGCGACAAGGCCGGTCGCCGTCTCCCTCAGCGGAGTCATAAGAGGGAATTTGTTCACGACCACGCCCCCGGCTTGTGATTCCCAGAACTTCTGAGCGGCGGCCTGGTCTTTGACACCCCGAAAGAGAACCTCGGCCAATGCCGGCTCAACTTGTGGGAAAACGCACGCCCGTCCGATGAGGTGGTCGGCGACTGCTGACAGAATGCCGTCGAGGGAGGAAGCGTCGTAGAGGGCATGGTGTACAAGCACATGCATCGTTATTCCCTCCTCGGCCTCTACCAAGGCAACTCTCCATGGTGGCAGATGATAGCTTTGCAAGATCTTAGACCTCGACAAAGTCTTCCACCGTTGGGTGTCAAAATTTCCACCCACGGATTCGACCATCGACTCGGTCGATCCGGGGGCATATCTGATCATGGCGAAGCTACTGTCGCTATGGCTTACGGACAGGAACCCCGTTCGCAACATCGGATGGTTGCACTCCACGGCCATCCAAGCTGCCTTCAGGCTCTCTACTCCAACATCTTTGTTGAGCTTGTATGACACCATGTTGAGGTAGTTGTGTGCGCCTGTCTGAACGAACGATACAAGCATGGCAGATTGAACGGGAGTGCAGGGGAGGACCGCCTCCACCGGACCCAAATCCGGGAGCCTCTCCTTGATCTGCGGCGTTACATCCGCCGAGAACTTCTGCAGTTCGAAGGAAGACGTCGTCGCTTCGTTCTTCTGGTTGGGTGCATGCGTGATTCTCCTCGCCAGCTTCTCGCAGGTCGAGCACTCGATGACATCCGACGCAGACACCTTCAATCCCTCTTGGCGCAGCATTGAGGCTATCTGCACGGCGTTGATGCTGTCAAGTCCGAGTCGGAAAATGCTGGTGCTTCGTGCCACGTTCGCCAGAGGTACTTTAGAGAGTTCAGAGACGATGTTCTGGATTTGCCTCTCTGTATGTGTCCAGTCCCCTGGATCGGCCTGTTGTTGGATGCGTTCTTGCGACTTCTCTCTCTTCGGAACCAAGTCTCTCAGACCCAGCGTCAAGTGCGGCGGGAGCGATTCCTTGTCCAACGGACTGGCGTTTGGAAATTCCAGTATTTGGCGGAAGATGTGCTTGAAAATGTCGGCCATCGCCGTTGCTGCATCGCCAGGTACTATACCCATGTCGTAGTGCACGTTCACGACAACAGAGTTGAGATTCGGGCACGGAACCACTTCGCAGACAAGCGGGACATCCATGTCACCCGAGTCTTCCTCCAATGTCCAGACTCGTTCATCCATTTCTCGCAGAGGTTGCTGAAGCAATAAGAGCGTGTCGAACAAGCCTCGACGTTGACAATTCGCGAGCTTCTGCACATGCCGGAGAGACGTGAATTGGTAGCGGATCATCTCCGTGTTCAGGTTCTGAAAGTACCTGATGAGCTCGACGTTCTGGGCGCTGCGAGACATGTCCTTGCGCATTGGAACGGTGTTGAAGCAGGGAGCGACGAGTCGCTCGAGGCCCTCAATGTCTATCGTTCGACCACTCACGACATTACCGAAGGCGATATCCGGACACTCACACGCAGTTGACAGTACATTCGACCATGCAGCCTGGCAAGCGGAGAGCAAGGATGCGCCGATCGTCTGGAGCCGCCCCTGGACTTCAGCAAACGGCATGTCTAGGGAGGTACTGTGGGTGCATTGATTGATGTCTGCGCTTGAGCGACGCTGAAATAGTATCGAAGACCTGAAACCGCGGAAGTGGCCGGCCCAAAAGTCCTCCACATCGTCAGGTAGGCTCAAAGCGTGTTGGATGAATGGCTTGTAAGGCACCGGCGGTGGCAGCGTCCAGCCGTGTGCTAGGCTCTCTACCTCTTTCCAGAGGTTTTCCATCGCGACTCCGTCATACAGCGCATGGTGGCATATGATCGAGAGAAACGTCGAGCCCTTGTACCGAATGAAAGCAAACGAAACAGGTGGCACACCAGAGTCCAAAGGATCTGGGAGAACCTTGAGATGCTCGTGGGCTGCTCCCGCAAGTGACGGCTCGTGGACGTCATATGTTTTCCAGTCAACTTTCCAACGTCGCAGCACCACCTGCGCTATGGGAAATGCGGCGTTCTTCGTCGTAACAAAGCAGGTTCTGAGTATGCCATGCCTTCCCGTCATATTTTCCCAGTAGCTTCTCATGTCATCCGCCGGGATGCCTAGTCGGAGAAGTATCTTGTTGCAATAGCTCCTCTGCCCCTGGGAAAGCATGGCTTCTTGAAGCGGAGTACAAGGCAAAGTTGCCTCAATGTTGTCTGTGCGTTGGATGACAGAACTGTGAATATCAGTGGCAATCTGGGTACAGATATCGTCAAACTTTGACCGGCCAGGACCGCTCGAGGATTTTGTTCCATCTCCATCCAGGGCCTTGGCAAGTTGAGCCACACTGGGATTTTGAAGGATTGTTGATATGGGGACCCGGCGGTCGAGTGTCAATCCCAGAGCTCGAGCGAGATCAATTGCTGTGATCGAGTCAACGCCCAAGGCAGGGAACGGCGTCCACCGTCGAATGTCATCCCGGGAGACGGCTCTCACACGCGCTATCACAGTTGCGATGGAAGTCTCCATATCGTTCCAGTCAGAATCATGTGCCAGTTCTTGCAGGCTGGATGAGGCGCTTTCCAGATAATCCTGCGATAGAGCTTCAAAGCTTGCCTGCAGTCGCCTTCTGTCGACTTTGCCACTTGAGGTGAGCGGCACTTGACTGACAGGGATCAAGTACGAAGGCACCATATATGCCGGGACCTTGGACCGGAGAGTACCAAACAGGAGGTGGTTTGTCTCGAAGCCGACATCAAGCGCATTGAACTCTGGGTTTGACCTTCCCGGAACGTAGAAGCACGCAAGCTGCTCAGGCGAACCCGCCCTTCGTCGAACAGACATCGTAACCGCAGACTCTGCTAGGTCACTGTTCGTGACAATGCTGTTCACCTCGCCGGCTTCGATGCGTTGTCCGCGCAGCTTCAGTTGGTCATCGAGTCTGCCCAGTATGACCAAGGACCCGTCGGGGAGCATCCGCCCTAGATCTCCAGACCGATAGATCCTCCCACATTCTGGATGAGTGATGAACCTTGCACCCGTGAGGTGCGGGTCGTTCAAGTAGCCTTGAGCGACTTGGTCGCCACCGAAACAGAATTCGCCCAACCAACCGATAGGGATGGGTCGAAGTCCGGACGGCGGCATGACAAACACGGACGTGTTTGGGAACACCCATCCCAGGTGCTCAATATGCTCACCGCGGTCCATTCTTTTAACACTGCAAATGTTGGTCGTCTCGGACGGACCGTAGCCTTGCCACAACTTGTCGCCCCATCGGTTCAAGACAAATTGGGTCAAGGGCTCACCAGCCGTGACGAGGAACTCTACTCCCGGGACATTGGAGGGATCTATGAGAGACGATACAGTTGGCGTGAGGCTCAGGTGGGTGATTCCCAGTTGCCGGATTGAGCTCTCAAGGTCTTCAAAAAGCACGTCGTTGGTGGCAGAGCATAAGCACATGCCAGCGTGCCACGCGAAGAATATCTCGAACACCGACACATCAAATGCCTGCGAACATGCCTGAAGGAAGCGCGGCTGATTTGCCGACGAGGCCGGATATGTTGAGCGGAGATGAGCGATATTGCTGACGATGTTTCCTTGTGTGACGGCAACACCCTTCGGCGAGCCAGTCGTACCAGAAGTATAAATGACATACGCTAGGCGAGACGCGTCGGCAGGAATTTGCAGGTTCTCCCGAGAGAAAGACTCCAACCGAATGTCATTTACATTCAGAAGCTTGACGTCATGCATCGGGTCCAAGGCTCGCAAAGCAGAGTCGTCGGCAAGGCAGAGAGTTGTCCTGGCCTGACGGAAGATCTCACTGACTCGTGCCAGTGGCGTAGTTGGCAGTATGGGAAGGTACGCGCACCCAGCCTTGACAATGGCGAGTATGGAGCGGTAGAGCGCTGGTGACTTGTCCATGACGATCGCGATAACTTGTCCGATTTGTGCCCCCGAACTCATCAGGAAGCGTGCCGTTTGGTTGGCAGTTGCATTGAGATCTCGATAGCTCAGTGTTTGCTGCGCCGAGTCGTCCCATGAGGTGCTGAAGCGCAGCGCATCGGCCGACGAGACTCTTGTAGCAATTCTCTCAAATTCCGCTGCAAGATCTGGGACAGCCTCGAGCGATTGTGGTTCCGGATTGTAAATAGAAAGGGCGCCATCAAGACCATCAGTTGCTCTGTCGATGTTGTCGTGGATGTTGTTGAAGATATTAGTCACAACGTTCTGGAGCTGTTGCAGAAGATGTTCAACAAAATCTGGTGACATGTGCGAGGAGTGAAAGGTAGCCTGCAAAAGGAACGTGTCCTCTCTCGGCTCAACTTCAATTAGCAGGTTGGTCTCGAGGCGGTCGAGGTGGGCGGCCTGTCTAATGAGCAGGGTGTCGGAATCCTTCGTCGCTGGTGACTCTTGATACACGAACAGAACATCGTAGAGACTTTCCACGGAACTCAGCCCAGCAATCTTCTTGATATCAGAGAGGGGCAGAGTGCAATGCTCCATGATGGCCCGATTCGTGGCGTGGATGCTCCTCAAGAGGCCCAAATTGGTTGCTATGCCGCTCAGATTTACCCTCAATGGTAGAGATGCTAAGCAAGGACCAATGATCTCTTCAATACCGTCAATGGGCATTGTTCGCCCAGACGTGACGAACCCCAACATGACATCCTGCTCGCCCACAATGCCACTCCATGCCAGCGCCAGTGCTGCTTGGAAGAAGACTTGAGGGCTCAACCCTAATTGTCGACTGACGCTTTGTACAGCGTCGTGGGACAGACTGTTGCTCGCTTGGGTCGTCTCGATTGTATTCTGTGAGCGTCGGGCGACCAGCTTAGGAAACGGCGTCCTGTTCCATCCAAGGAATTGCTCGCTCCAGAATGACCTCGCCGAATCATTGGCAGTCGTTATGTGGTCACCCACATGGTATCGTGCAACCTCTCTAAATTGGGGCCGAGGAGGCATCGCAGCTCCTTGTAGCAGAGCCGTAATGTCGGCGAGCATCATGTCCGCAGACCAGCCGTCGTATGTCGCATGGTGGGCATGTATTAGCGCGCTTTGTGCTGCTCCATCCGCTGAGGACTTGACCTGAACTCTGAACGGTCTGAGAAATTCACTCGGTGCCGTGAAGTCAAGATCTTCTGTAAATGTAGAGACGAGGTGAATCGTGTCAGGGAATCGTTTGAAGAGGACAGCCATATGCCGGCCGTCCCACAAGGTGAAGCCTGTCCGCAGAATCTCGTTTGCGTTGACGACCTGCATCACGGCCGCTTCGACATCCGCAGCTGCAAAGCCAGGAGCGATCCGTAGCTCAATTTCGTTGCAATACGCGTGCTGGTTCTTGGCCGTCTCAGCAAGCATGGCAGACTGCAGCGGGGTGCACGGGAAGATGTCCTCGACCTGCGCTTCACACGCTTGAAGAGCTGCATTGTCGGCCCCAATCTCTTCAATCCTGTCTAGAAGGCTCAAGCGAGGACCGTCTTGTCTGCCTGGCACGTTATCTTTCCGCTGATGAACATTGGCACAGACGTCAGCAACGGTCCTTTGTCTCAGCAGTTTCGTTGCCGTGGTCTCCAAGCCTGCGTTGCGCAAGGATGAGGCCAACCTGATGGCCCTCAGAGAGTCCAATCCTGCGAAGGAGAGATCTGTCTGCGTCGTCACCTTGAGCCCGAGGGTTTCGGAGACTGCTCGAACAATGGCCTGGTCATGAGCTGACAGCTCCTCCGCGAGTTCGTTGTTCATTCGTTCCGACTTTTGCAGGCTATAATCGGATTTGAGCTTCCTCGTGTCCACCTTGCCACTAGGTAGACGCGGAAACTCGCTCATCAATGCGATCTCGCCGGGAACCATGAAGCGGGGAAGCCACTTTTCGCAGTTTGTCACAACCGCGTTCTCGGCGACATCCTCGTCGACCGCGCAAAAGACCACGAGGTTAGAGTCCACAACAGCTGCTACCGCGCCGTGGCATCCAGGTGTCTTGAGTATCACTTGCTCAATCTCGCCAAGCTCGATGCGCTGGCCGCGGAGCTTGACCTGCCCACTAGACAAGCGGCCAAGACACTCGAGTGTTCCCTTGGCGGTAATACGCGCTCTATCTCCAGTTCGGTATACACGACCGTATTGAGTGGGAATGAAAGCAGATGTCGTCTGTTCCGGTCGGTTCAGATAACCTTTCGCAAGCTGGTGGCCACCAACGGCCAGCTCTCCAGCCTCGCCCACCGGCAGAATCTTGAAGTTGTGACCCTCGGCTGTGGTCCCCGGTTCGATTATGAAGCAGGAGACCGTGTCCAGCGGCGAGCCAATGTTTCCAGTGGACGAACTCGAAAGCAGTGCCGGCTGCAGGGTGCTGGTCGACCAGTCAGAACAGTGCTCGGGAGACAGTCGGCATACAAACTTACCAGTGGATCGTGGCTTCTGTTGGTCCGTACATGGCCCAAAGCATGCTCTCGCGGCCTGGCCCGCCTCCAAACTCATCCACGATTGGTGCGTTGAGCATCTCACCAATTGTCAATAACAATTTTAGTCTAGGGGCGTTGTCTCGCTTTCTTAACAGACTGCCCGCCACACTGGGTGTCAGTTCGCAGGCGTCCACATCCATCTGACGGAGAACTTGAGGCAAGTCGTCAAGCATTTCCTCTCGGCGCACGGAGATGAGGGTGCGGCCTCTGAAAAGCGGGAAGAATATCTCAAACACGGAGACGTCGAAAGTTGGGGCCGCGAACTGGAGAAACCTGAAAAATTGGGGGATATGCCGGTCGTGCGCGAGCAATGCCTGCGCCGCCGCGGAGTGCGAGATGCCAACTCCCTTTGGCGTGCCAGTAGACCCGGACGTATACATGACATAGGCCAGATCGTCTGGCCCAGGCTTTCGGTGCTCGGTGACTCCATTGCTTGGAGTCGTGTCAATGTTGTCGACTTGAATGACGGTTACGCCAGCATCCACGGGTATCTTGGGTGCAAGATCGGCAGTTGTAAGGACGATGCTAGCAGACACATCCTTGAGGATGAATCTGATTCTCTCTGGCGGGGCATCAAGGTTGAGGGGGCAGAATGCGCCGCCAGCTTTGAGGATGGCGAGTTGGGAAATATACAGGAGCGGGCTCTGGGGAAGGAGCAGAGGAACGACCAGCTCCTCTTGTGGACTTTTGCAAGGTCTCAGCTCGTTTGTGATGTGCTTGGCGATACATTCTGCGGAATCGTGGAGGCGGCGGTACGTGAATGATGTTTTCTGGCCGTGGGCGAGGTACTCGAGAGCCTGCGAGTCGCCTGGAGGCGCAATGAGATGGTGTAGCAGCTGCGGTCCTGGAAGCTTCTTGGGCTTGGCGTTGAGGATGGACAGCCCACTCGTGTCCGTCATGATGCTCTCAGATGGGAGAGTACGGCACGGGGCGATGGATTGCCAAGTACACTTTGCCTGGCAGCGTGTTCGGAGCTCTGGCGTTGGGGTGAAGCATTCAGTGAATATTATCTCGACGGCGATGCACGAATGTTTCGTTTCACTCGACAACAACACCAACGAGGTTGGACTGGGCGGCAGGCGGCGGCGTTGACCGTCCTAGGCGGTTTACGGCCTCGCGCGTCAGTGCAAGCGGTCCTCGTCAAGCTCGTCTTCCCCACCAGATGGATATCCCAAGTCATGAACCCCGGGAGTCAATGTGAGCCAAGCGCCGAAAGGACCGAAGCGACGGGAGCAACTCAGGCAGGCGTCGAGCCAATGGGGACATTGATGATTACTCCCTCGTGCGAGGCATGACCCGCGAGCTGCGAAGGTGACGCAGGAGCAAATCTGCAGCTCGGGCGTTGTGACCTCGTGCACCTGCAGGAGCTCACAGCCGCAACGAGCCTGTCAGAGACGAGGCATTAATCAGCCGTGGGTCTCGAGGGCGCGCAATTCGCCCGATGCAATGCAACGCGGGTGATATTCTCGTCCACTGTTCGAAATAGCTGCAGGCCGGGAGGGTGTCGAAGGGACGGCGCGGGATGCGGCCAACGTTAGGCCTGCAACGACGCACACCACCCAGAAGCCACCTGACGAGCGACGGGCAACCCTTGTAGACAGAGTCCGTGCGGGTAAGGTGATGGGGGCGTGTGAGGCCGAGCGCGTATGAATTCCAGATGCGTCGGCCAGCATGAACCTTGGGGGCAGGGAGGGGCGCGCGTGGGATGATCTCGCTGCCGCGACACCTCGAGAGTTGAAGCTCGAGGCTTGGGAGGCTTGGGGGGGGCAGACAGCTGCCGGGTATGCGGAACAGTGGCGGTGAATCGTATGGTGACGAGTCGAGCGCGCCGGGCCGTGTCCGCAGCGGAGACGAAGCGCGAGAAGCTGCTGGGTGATTTCCTTGGGGAGTAAGTGGATGCGATTCGACGTTTGCATGTGGTCGAAGACGAGAAGTCGATGATGACTTGATGATGTGTAACCCACTGAGGAGTGCTAAGGGCTGCCCCTGCGTTGCGGCCGGCTACTGCCGCTAAGTAAGGTAGACCGCCCCGAGGCAGCTCGGCCACTGGAACCTAGACGCCCAGCCCGCCCGGTCGCGGGACACGCTCGCAGCGCCATGCACGAGGAGCCCCGCCGGATGTTGCGAGGGCGACAGTTGCAGTGTGACTGGACCAGCCTGCGTTCGAAGTGGTCTTTGCGGGTGCCTCTTTGCGCATGTGCGTGATACGATGTAGGAGTGATGCGAGGTGTGTAAGTGCGTCACTGTGCGTGGTGTGCCTGTCCAGGGCGTTGCCGCGCATTGGAACCTATCTCTGCACTGGACTTTGCCTGATCAGTGCTCCTGATCGCTGCTTCTCCCGCACCTTCCAGTTCTTTTTTCCCGCCTGGTCTGGCAAGGCACAGCGGGATGCGGCGAGAGCGTGGAGGTTCACCAGCACTTGCGGTCGTGCTTTCCAACTTGGGTATCACCGTACTGTGGCCTGTAGTACCCCCGTACCTGCCCCTCCAGCTCCCGTCCAGCTCGTCGTGCCTGCCTCAGCGTCCTCCATGCACAGAAGTTGGCAGGAACAACCTGGAAGTACCTAGCTGCCTTGCGAGGCGAGTCTGTACTTCCAGGCAGGTACTTGGTGACATTCAGTCTTGCTTCGTCCCTCGACGTTGTTGCAACTGGCCAGCCTCTGCCCACGCATCCAACTCTTCATCCACTCGTCTGGCCACATGATTCCCCCATCCTCGCCAACGCGCAATCCGCCCAACCTGCTACTCCGAAATAGCCGAGCTGACTGCGGCGACCGAGACGGCGGACGCCATGGCCCATGAGCCACCCTCACATCGGCGACGCCAGCCGTCGACCACACCGCATACCTCGCGCCTCGTTCCCGCAGCCAGGCCAACGACGAGCGCCTGCCAATGGCCGCCCGACGGGCCAACATCATGTCCAGCGCCGTGGTAGTTGCTGTGCAGGTGTGACAAGATTCTGTAAGTCATGGCTTTTGCGGGTCTGCGCCGCTATATGGGCTCCAGCCTTGACCGGTGACTGGGCTGGCCTGGTGCACTCATGTGCGTGCGTGGAGCTCGTTACATGCCTCGGATAGGGGCATGAGTCGCTTGACATCGAAGCTCGGAGCAGCACGCTTCCATGCCTCAGTACGTATCTTCTTGGGAGTACCCTTCCTGCGTCGGCGCTGTCGAATAATTAACAGGCCGCGAGTGGAACGTTGCCAACCGTGCGAAAGCCTCGGTCAGCAAGGAACTGTGCCGAGCAACCCAAAGCTACGGTCAAGCCAGCCGCTGCTTGCCATGAGAAAGTCAGACTCTCCTTTCAGACTCGATCCCTGGCAGCAACGAAGTTGAGGTTTACAGCTATCGTATCATGGGCGCTTGTTCGAGAACTGACACTTCTTCCCTGCTGGTAGCTGCATCGTCCCCGCCAGACGCTGGCCCCCATCATCGACCGCAACAGGCTGGCCCGACCCGCCACGTAGACCGTCACGCAGATTAAACTACAAGAGGTTGGCTGCTCCGGCAGCAGCCCAGTCGAAGGTCTCCCAGACCCCGCGGTTGGCAGAATCGCAGCGATCACACGGCGCAACGTGCCGCGCAACATAGCACTCCGCCAACGGGGGGGGGGCATCTCTCGCGAGGCTCCGCCCGCTTCGGCTCTCCACGCTACCACAGGACGTCTTCCGTGCAGTATACCTTATGGGAAGACATTCGGGGTCCTTTGCCGTTGACACCAGTGCCAAGACGTGCTTGAAAGCGAGACAACCACCCGTGCCGTGGCAACCCGACAACTCGCAGGTACGAGGGCCGATCATCTCCGAGACCCTCCACGCCGTCCGGGTAATACGACGCCCGTTTGCCTGCCGCGCCCTCCCGATCCACAGAATGTGGGCATTCACGCGCTGGGTATTGCGTTAGATCTGCCCGCCCTGATTAGGTATGTATAACCCAATCCAGGCGGCGCTGTGCGGGCGCCAGACTGGCTCGGCAGCCTGAAATCTGATGACGTGAAGAGTTTCTTCGGCATTCGGGGAGGCAAGACACGTGCAACTTCCCCCAGACGTGTTCCAGGCAATTTGTTCCAGAAGTGAAAGCCCCCCACTGCTGGTGCAACTCCCGTAAGTGGGGGCTCCGGGTTGAACGTCTCGCGGGGAACGGAGCCAGCAACACACATGCGGCAGACCACAGTGTATAGAGCTCGGCAAAAGCTCCGTCTGCTATTCCATGACGGTGCGACGCCTGAGAAGCCCCGTCTTGGTACGGACCAAGCAGCAAGTGACATGTCGTCTGGCTCATGTGGTCGCAGCTTGAGAGCGCCCACTCTGCCCAACCTGCCCGGATGCCGCAGGCGACCGATATCAGGTCGCAGGGGCGCGGGGGAGAAAGACTCACGAAAAAATTTTCACGGTGACAGTCCCAGCTTTCTTAGGACGATCCAGGGGTCCCCATTTCTATGTGTAAGAAACGGGCGTGGCCGGCTCCAGCGCCGAGGCCAGGACGCTAGGGCCAAAAAATCTTATCAGATGGTTGAGATCCGGTTTTTATCTGATCATCAGATAATCCCTCATCTCCACCAGAACAGCAAGCCACGACGGGCCGACGACCCAATCACCCGCGTGTTCTGGACACCGCCTAGGTGATTTCGCCCCTGGGGCTTTGCTCCGTCGATAAAGATTTGGCCACGGAGCACCGGGTGGCTCGTTTGCCCAAGGACCCTTGCCGCGCTCGTGCATGGCTAGTGTTTGCAATGCGAAAAATGAAGCTCCGTCATCAGCCCACAAGCTTACGAGACCGGGCCGCTTCTAGGTGCCGCCAGCGTACCTGCCCGCCAGCAGAGCCAATTCGCCGTGCATCGAGGTCCATCGTGCCATTGATCCCGGGCTCCGGCAGGGTTGGGCCGTGAAAGTCCAGAACACCTCGGGGCTTGTGTCATCTTATCAGATCAAGATGACGCCTCCGAGCGTCGCACCAAGGCACACGCTATTTCGCCGCCAGGCGGTGGAACCCATGTGGTCCCCACCGAGTCACTCAGCCGACAGGGACCAGAGCCTACTTGTACGCCCCCTTGGAGGGGATGCTCCTACATGTACGCCCTCTCAAACAAGTCTTCGAGGGCAGGCTATTTTCCCCCTTCTGTTCTTGGAAAAACATGTGCCGCCGCGGGACTTGTTCGTGGTGAGGGGCAGATGGCCCCCAAAGCTCCGAAAACCCCGAGTCGGGGACTCGTGGACGGGCGGCGGACGCCGTTGACGCAACACAGCGCGAGCGCGCCATGTGCTCGCTCTGCAGGGCAGGAGGATACACGCGCTTCCATGGAGGTGGCGACGCATCAGACGAGAGATCAGCAACCATTTGCACAAGTGGGCGGGCGCAGATGGAAGAAGAATCGACGAAGGCGTACCCATCCATCCATCCACGCATGCCACGGTGCAGCTGCAAGCAAGACGGCGTTCTCCCCACAGGGTGACGCCGATCCCGCACTCTTGTCCGACGCAATGCAACGCAATTGGCAAAAGTGGCCTTGCTTTTGATCACGCCCAGACTCCCTTGCCATCGAGCTCACATTAACACCGAACTACTCGGCGAAAGCCAGCGAGGAAGACGATGGCTCAACACTTACAGTAGTCTCATGGCTCAACGGGTCCCGCGATGTGACGTCGAACGCATTAGCCGGAAGGGCGCCGGCCTTTGAAGCCCGCTCGCCGTCTTCCTGGGCAGCAAACGAGTTAGTGTAGCCGAAGTGCACGGGATAGATGGCGTTTCCAGTGTGGACCTCACTTTCGGCATTCATGCCCTGTCTGTGCGTCTCGTCGGTCCCTTTCAGCATCTGAAGTTGTCGTCGCCGCCACCTCCCGGCTGGACTCGGGTCGCAGCTCCAGCTGGGAAGGTGGAGGTACCTGGGCTCCCACGCTCGAGGGGCGCGCTACGCAGACTGATGCATGTACATGGCCGCGTGATGGTGGTGCGACCGAGCAAGAAGAGTGCTGGGTGGTGGTGTCACTCGTTCAGGTCCCCTACAGGCTACGAGCAGGTGGATGAAGGACGGAGAGGCGTCGCCCCCATGTCCATGCAGCGCACACTCCACGTCGTCGTCCATGGTGGTGCCGCCTCCACCACCAGCTCCATCCGCACACCCCCCTTCCCCATCCCACCTCTCCTCTCGAAGCGCGGCGGCGCGCATATGGTACCTTGGCTTCCCGGCGCGCTGGCCCCTCTACATCACAGGCATGATGGCGTTTTCTTGTACCTGTACTCCATCCACCAAGAGGAGCCGGGTCACCACACTTTAATCTCTTGGGAATCGAGGCAGATCCCTTCCACCAACAGACGTGGGCTGGCCCGCCGAGGAGGGGCGGCCACCAGTGACGATGGACGCCCGGCAGCCAGCGAGCAGCGGCCGCAACAGAGGCATGTACACGTACCCGTCGCCCCGTCTCGTCCGTCCTGCGGACAGTAGTAGAAGACGGTAAAGTGGTACCGGGGTAGCTCAAGGTTAGCTTCTCTCGCTGGCGGCTCCAGTCTGGTGGTGCCGAGCTGGGCTTCGCGTGAATACCCGCATCCGCACAGAGGAGGAAGAAACGAGGCACAGAGGGGAAAAAAAAGGTACAGCCCGTCCATGTGAGTCTGCGCCAACATACATATTTGTACTCTGCTTCTCCCTCCCTCCCGGCCGCAGCCCCCCTTGCTCTCATCTCCCCCCTCTTGTTTCCCATTTCTCGGGACGTTGGTGCTTGCCCCTCGCTATCCTGTACAGCTGCCGCTCTCCCCCCCATCCCGCCCTTCCACCACCACCCGCAACCACGGGCACTGCCAGCTCCGCAACCTTGCCAGCTACCCCTCCAGCCGGTACTAATACCCCGGCCAGCCAGCGTGCCGTACGGGATCACCCCAGCTCCGAGTCGTTGTACGTCGTCACTGTGCAGCACCAGCAGAGCCGACACCCAAAGCTTAAAAATCGCCTTCGGGATATTTTTTCGAAAGGATTCCCTGGGACAGGATTATAAATTCCTCTTTCGAAGTTACGGCAAAGGAACAGAGCAAAGAGAGCTTGATCTCGGAGACGAGACGCGTCTTTCTACCTGCCTAGGGAGAGAGCCAGCTCTGACATCAGCGGCCGACTTACACCAGGGCTTCGACGACGTCACGACCTGTCAACCGCCCACCACCGGCGCACGCAAGATCGCAGCTCGGTTTACTTCTTGCCCCGGCATATTCTATCTGCAAGCAGCAGCAATGTCTCCCCACAGCGAAGTCATGCTGAACAGCAGCGACGCCGCCGAAATTGCCCTCAACGGCAACGGTGTCGTCCTGGCCTCCAACGGCGGCAACCGTGTCGAGGACCCGCCGGCGCTGGTCGAGGCCGCCTCACATAGCAACGGCGTCGGGTCCAACGGCCACGCCTCCTCCACAAACGGCCACAGCAGCCCCAGACAGGGCTTCTCCTCCAAGGCCGAGAGCTCTCCGTACCTTCAGCCCGCGCCCCTCGACGATGACTTCGACCTCGTCTGCGTCGGCTTCGGCCCGGCGTCCCTGGCCGTGGCCGTGGCCATCCACGACGCCCTGGCTGCAGGCCAAAAGCTTCTTCCCGACGGACGCAACCCCCGCGTCCTCTTCGTCGAGAAGCAGGCCCGCTTCGCGTGGCACGCCGGAATGCTTCTTCCCGGCGCCAAGATGCAAATCTCCTTCATCAAGGACCTGGCGACGTTGCGCGACCCGCGCTCCGAGTTCACCTTCCTCAACTACCTGCACCGCCAGGACCGCCTCGTCGACTTCACCAACCTGAGCACCTTCCTGCCGGCGCGCGTCGAGTACGAGGACTACCTGCGCTGGTGCGCCTCGCACTTTGAGCGCCTCGTGCAGTTCGGCCAGGAGGTCGTCTCCGTGGCGCCCGACGCCAAGGCCGAGCACGGCGTCCGCTCCTTCACGGTGCAGTCCCGCGACGTCGCCTCGGAGCAGACGCACACGTACCGGGCGCGCAACGTGCTCGTCGCCATGGGCGGCCAGCCCTCTCTGCCCAAGAACTTTCCACTGCGACACCCCCGCGTCATCCACTCGTCGCAGTACGCGCACCGCATCCGCGAGATCCTGCCCAAGGCCAACGGGGCGTACCGCGTGGCCGTCGTGGGCGCGGGCCAGAGCGCGGCCGAGATCTTCAACAACGTGCAGCACCTGTACCCCAACTCCAAGACATGGCTGGTGATGCGACCAGAGTTTTTGAGGCCCAGTGATGACTCACCTTTGTAAGTACCCGGCAGCCCTCGGGCTTGTGGCATGTGCTGACCATGGCAGCGTCAACTCCGTCTTCAACCCCGAGTACGTCGACGCGCTGTTCCCCAAGTCGCCCAAGTACCGACACAACCTCCTCACCGAGGCGCGGGCGACAAACTACGGCGTGGTGCGCCTGGAGCTCATCGAGGCGCTGTACGAGCGCATGTACGACCAGCGGCGCGAGCTGGGCGTCGACGAGACCAAGTGGCCACACCGCATCCTGGGCGGACGGCAGATCACAAGCATCGACGCCCGTGGCGACAGCATGGAGCTGCGGGTGCAGAACGTGCAGGACAGCGCGCTTGACGGCTTCGTCGACGCCGCCGACGAGGAGTTGCTGGAGGCGGACCTGGTCATCGCAGCGACAGGCTACCAGCGCAACGCGCACGTGCCGATGCTCCGCGGCGCATGGGGCCTGCTGCCCAAGGCGCAGGCTGGCGGCCTCGAGTTCGGCAAAGGCATCTCGGGCTGGAACGTGGAGACGGAGGAGGGCGAGCGCAAGATGGCCGTCGGCCGCGACTACAAGGTCAAGTTTGCGCCGGGAGCCGTGGCCGACGACGCGGGCGTGTGGCTGCAGGGCTGCTGCGAGGGCACTCACGGGGTAAGTGAACAATCAACTGCGTGTGATGAGCACTCTGATATCGCGAGACCATCAATTAACGTGTGTTTCTAGTTGAGCGACACGCTGCTGTCCGTGCTGGCGACTCGATCGGGCGAGATTGTCGATTCCATCTTCAAGAGCACCGCTGCCAAGAGGTGATGAGTGATGATTCCGTGGCGCGGCATGGCATGAGCGTGAAAGAGATACGATGAAAAAGCATTAGAATGCGGCGAGAGGCGCCGCTTTGACTGACAATTTGAGTGCATCTGCTTTTGGTATAGAACGAGGCGGGGGTTGACGTTGACCTTTTGTCTACTTGTGTGCATTGATGGGAGAAGGACATGATTTCAGAGGTACCGACTAAGTACGCACTGCGATTCGAATGAGTTTCGGGGTGAAGCATCGCGAGGGCATGCACGAAGGCGCGTCGTCGTCGTCGTCGTCGTGTGCCGGCCTCTCGCGGGTGAGGTGAGGTAGCGATGGCATGAGCATGAAGGAAGCAATACATTTGGGACGGCCAATTGCATCTTTTGAGTTGAGACACAGCTCCTGAATGAAATCTGCATCAATACGTATTGTGTGTCCTGCGTGCATCGAAAGGAGCGATTGGGGGGCTCATGAACCGGCCTGTCTCACTCTTTGCGCCGTTGTGCGAACGCGACCACAGGCCAGGCCAGGGTGCAGGCGGCGGCACCGCAGCGCAACGGCAGGAAACAGAGGGATGATTCGTTTCGGAGCTGGACCGGCGAGCCGAGCTTGCTGGATGGCATGCATGGGTGCTTTGGGCCGCTGGTCGGCACGGCTTGCGGGATTACGGCCTACGGATATCGGCAGCGAGCAGGTTAGCTGGGTTGGGCTGGCCTTTTGGTTCGTTCGTCTTATCGAGATCGAATCGATGCTCGCTACACAGCCACCACGCGGTCCGGCCGGGCGAGCCAGGATGGTGCAGACTGCGCAACCGGGTTGGTGATGGGAGCAGGGAAGGGGGCTGACAAATGCTGCCGCCGCCGCCGAAAGCGCAGTCATGTCATGCGATGATGTGCACGATGCGCGCTTCGCCGCGATGGCAGGATCAGGACAGGATGTGAAGACGCCTTTTGTCGCCGGAGCCGCGATGCGATGGCCCCCTCCCCCCGTCGACGTCGACATCGACATCGACATCGATATCGGCGGCGACATACGACTCCTGTACGGGATGTAATACGCACGATACAGGATGAGTGAGTGCGCGGGGAGATGAAGGCATGACGTGGCTATCACAAGGCAAGCCGGGCATCGTGACGCCCAACGCGGCAGACCGCGTAGGTGACTCACGGGCACACACGCAAGGCGGGTACGAGTACGCACGACGACGATTGCCTCTCCTCCCCCGCACCAGCGGGCAACCACCACCAGCAGCACCAGCAGCAGCAGAAGGAGAGCGAGCGCTCATCGCGTGCTGCGCGTGCTGCGCGTGCTGGCCCATTGCGTGGACGATTGCGCCGAGGCGGCGTGGACAAAGGGCCCGCTAGGCCCGAACAAGCTGCCCGAAGTGGGCGGGGCGACAGAGACTCGGGGGAGTCAGTCAGGGAGGGGCTCCCTCTGTCTGCTGGGCTTCTTCGCCGGTGGCATTGGGGGGGGCATCTTGAGGAGGGGCGCGCGCCCGAGGACCTTTTTTGCTCTGTGTTCTTTTTGCTAAGGATGGAGAATGGAGAATGGAGAAAGATGGCGCCCCGGATGTCGGCCAATGCGAGGGCGTCGGGGTGGTGCAAGTCTCCGGACGAGGCGGCGGCCGCGTGGGTTTAGGCCAGGCTCGTTCAGTGAGCGGGCAACTAACTGCCTTGCCAATGTGCGTGCCCTCGTGTGCTTTTGCGTGTCTTCACGATAGGTGGTGAGCGTCGCAGGTCTGGAGTCGAGGTGGGAAAAAGGACTTGGCACGCAAAAATTCCACGAGGCACGGCACTGTAGTTGAGGCTCAGATCAGACTTCCAATGGAAGCTTCCATTCAGTGCCAAACACCCGTCGGGACGGGAGCTGAAGGCGGGCGGGCAGCACCTTTCCTTCGCCCCCGGGATGGAGGGCCCTGTGCGCGCCCCTGAAATCGGCGTCCGTCCCGTCGACAGCGCCCCCCGCGGGCCCCACTAAAAGCGTCCCACGGGCCCCGTCCAGGTCCTCTGCCCGCCGCCTGTTCGAGGGCCGGGGCGCCCCCGTTGTCGGCGGCGATGCCTGCCCTGCCCACACTCCAGGTCCAGGTCCATGGATCACTGGAAGCTCCAAAAGGGCCCAAAGAAGAGCCCCTCCTCCGCCAAAAGGTCAAGCCGCGCGGGGGCCGCACTAGCATCCGCTAAACCTCGTCGCTGACATTCATCGAATCCCGCCGCCGTCCATCCCGCTCCTCACGCCCGTCCACTTCCTCTTCCACGCGTTCGCTTTGCTCGATCACTTTCTTCTCTTCCTCTTCCTCACTCTTCCCTCCTTGCCCCCCTCCCCCCTCGTCCACCCCCCACAGAACGGGCGACGTCAACCACCACCCCTCCTTTCCCCTTTCCCGCCCGCTCCTTGGCCCTTCCCCCCTCGGTTGCGTGCGTGGGTGCGTCTCGCCAGGTTCCGAGAAAAAAAAAAGAGCTTCGCGTCCCAGCCCTACGAGGCACGCGCGCTTCGTCACTCGCGGAGCGGAGCGGACGTACATACGTACGTACGACACCTGCACCCCATCAACACCTCACCAACATCGCTGCCGCCGGTGCCCTGTCGACGCCTTCCACCCCCCGGTCGTCGCCCCGTTCGTTCGTGCGTCTGCGTGCGTGCGCAGGCACCACACCGCATTACGATAGCACGCCGGCCTGCCCATCCCGGCACTTGGTTGATCGGTGGCACTCACTCAGTCAGTCAGTCGTCACTCGGCTACGTCCTGGCTGCGTTGCCGCCGTCGTCGTCGTCGTCGACTCATCGCTCATCCACCTCGTCCAGGTCCCGATCCCGAATCCAGACCGCATATCCCAGCGCGCCGCGTTGATGATGACGGCGGTGACAGCCCGTCACCCCGCGACTCTCCAACACGATATAGGTATGCCTTCATCCCGTCCCTGTCCGCGCCACCCTCCCACCACCACGATCGTTATCAATCGGTCTGCCAGCATCTCCCCTGTTTACCTGGACACTGGAGCTTAGAAAGAGTCTCGTCCTTGCATGACATTGAAGCCCTCCCGTCGCCCCGTCTCCGCAGTCACAGTCCCAGTCACAGTCACCACCAGACCGCCTCGTCGTCTGCCTCAACCCGCAGGACCCTGACTAGCCAAAAGATGCAGCTTGACCATGGCGACCGACGGCCCTCCCAGCGACTGCCCGTCAATCCCCGGCGGCACAAGGTAGCCCCTGAGCAGCGGAAGCGCGTGGCGACTGCGTGAGTAGTCACCCCCTCTATAAACACCAAGGGCCCTGCCGCTTACACGCAGCCCGTTGTCTCAGATGCAACTCGTGCAATGTGCGCCGCATCAAGTGCTCGGGCGACCGCCCCTGCAACCAATGCGCCTCCACCGCCCGCGACTGCGTCTACCCCGTCCTCGTCGAAAAGGTGTCGGTCCCCAAGAGCGAGCTGGACGAGCTCAAGAAAAAGGTCGAGGTCTACGAAAAGGCCCTCCAGGACGCCCTGCCCGACCCGACCCGCCGCCAGGAGCTGCTTCACCACGCCGCGAGCCCCGACTCGTCCTCGTCCACCAGCCCCTACCCCAGCAGCGCCCTCCACGGCGCCAACAGCGGCAGCCAGCACCTCTCGGGCGCGAGCTCCATCAAGACGGAGCCCACCGACGATGACGGCCACCAGGTCCTCAGCCCCGGCAGGCTCCTCCAGGACGCCGACGGCATGGGCCGCTACGTCGGCGAGACGAGCGGCGCCACCTTTCTCGACCACCTCAAGGAGCTCATGGGCGCCGTCATGCCAATGACGCAGCCCGCCGCCGCCGCCCTGGGCTCGGGCGACTCGTTCCTGTCGAGCCTCGGCAGCTGCATCACCTACGACTCGCGCCCGCTCCTCAATGGCCCGCCCGACGAGGTCAACCCGCTGTGGCTCCCGCCCGACAGCACCGTCGCCGTCGTGCTCTCGGAGCTGCGTTACTTTATCCAGGACGGCGGCGGTCGCTGGCCCTCGGGCGGCATCTACTGGTGGGGCGACCTCGACGCAATGCCGATGCGAGCGCCGTCGCCTCCGCCGCTGGCCACCGAGGTCGACCTCAACGACTACCGACACCTCGCCTTCTACCACGCCGCCCTGGCCGTCGCCTGCCAGAGCACGACGACGCAACCACCGCCGAGCTCAGACTCGAATCAGTCGCTGAGCGAGCCGTACTTTGCGCGCGCCGCTCTGCTGCTAGGCAACCCCCTCGACATCAAGCGCCGCACCATCGGCGATGTGGCCTCGCTGGCCATGATGGGCTTCTACCTCATCGAGACGAATCGCCCGGACGCGGCGTACATGTACGTGGCGGCGGCGATGCACATTAGCATCATGCTGGGCGCACATCGCGGATGGGTCGACGAGAGAGGAAAGAGGGTCTTTTGGTCTGTCTACGCGCTCGACCGGTGGCTGAGCTGCCTCATGGGCCGACCGCCGACCATTACCGACGACGCCATCCAGCTGCCCCTGCCGGCGGATGCTCCGTAGGTCTTCCCGCAACCGCTGCTTTGAGGTTATTGCTGACTGACCCTTGCAGATCCATGCCTCCCGCCTACGGCCTCAGGGCGCACGTCGAACTCTCACGCATCTCGGGCCACGTCGTTGGCAACACGTACCACGGCGCCAAGGGCGGCGCCGGCAGCGAAGCGGGCGCGCGGCAGCCGGACAATGCCATCTGGATGCTCGAGCAGTGGCAGTCGTCGCTGCCGCCACCGTTGCGGCTCGGATCCAACGGGCTCAGCAACGACCCGGCCGTGTGCATGCTGCACATGCGGTACAACCAGCTCCTAATTGTGGCGATCCGCCCGCTCTTCTTCTCAGCGGTCAAGCGTGCCGTGGCGGAGCGACTCATGGCGCAGCCGCCTCCGTCAACGGCAGCGACCAACTCGGAGCACCACCTGGGTCACCTGCGCTGCTGCATCGCGGCGGCAGCGCGCAACATGCGGCTGGCACGGCATGCCATCACGCTCAACGGCCACCGCAAGCTCCTGCACGCGGGGCTCCACTTCATCTTCAACGCCGGGGTGTGCCTCATCCTAAGGCGGCTCGTCGTGGCGCCGGGCGAGCAGGACGACGAGGACCTGCGGCCCCTGCACGGCGGAGTCGAGTTTGCCATTGAAAAGATGCTCGAGGCGAGCCGGACGGGCAACAGCGACGGGCGGAGGTGCGCGGAGACGCTGCGCGACCTCGGGGTACTGGTGAGCCGGCTGACGGCGCCGACGGCGGTGACGCCCACGGACCCGATGCTCGGCGGCACGGGGCCCAGCATGCACGCCGGCGGCAGCATGGCACCGCTGCTGGCCATGACGTCGCAGGAGCTGCCGGTGCCGCCGCCCATGCCCGTCGGCGAGGACCAGGTGCTCTACGACGAGCTGATGACGTGGATGGGCGACGACTGGCCGTTGTACAACGGGTACATAAACGAGTGACGGCTTGGTCTTGGTGTTTTTTTGCTTGCTTGGTCGAGTGATGATTCTTTCTGGTTTCATGAAAATAATACCTTATCCTGCAGAGGGCACTGCCGTGGCCGTGGCGGGACAGCAAGCGTTGGATCGGGAATGGGAATGGGAATAGGAGTGGTAACTAGTGGCCACGTTGGGGGGGATAGAACCCTGGTATATAATGAATTGGATGAGACTCGAAGCTTCAAATGTCGATGCTCGGGTTGTGTAAAATGCAGGTTCCTAAAGGGGAAGCTTTCTCGAAGCCCGTGGTTGGAATGCAATGGAATGGGTCAATGGGACTGTTGTTGCAGGGAAAGGTTTGGGGGTGACGTCGGGCAGCTCCAGGCGTGACCTCATCGCCAATGCTCATTGTCAGTCGCTTCTCTCTCCACCCACTTACAAGTTACACTCACCTCACCTAACCTCACCTAACCTCACCTCACTTCACTTCACTTCACACTCCCACCCACCACCCACCCTACCTTAACACCTTCATTTCCTCACGCCCGCTCCACGATCACGCACCCATCCCCTCGCCACACACTCACAGGGCACAAATCACATTAATTCCACAACGGCGTCCTGTAACACCGCCTCGCTTGGCCTCCGACAGCAAGCCGTCCTTCGTACCATACATTGCAGCCTCGGAGCGTCCACCACCATACTCCGCTATCAATCGCGCATTCAACGCGTAGGGCACATTCGCAGCATGGCGACGGAGACGAGGGGGTCGGGAAGTGGGACGGGGACTGGGCTTGAGAAGCGCGCCGTGGCGGTGAGCTTCCTGTTCAAGTATCCGGGCGGGAACCTCGATGCGAGGCCGCGGGTGGCATTGTTTCGTCGCAGCGGCGCGGTGAACACGTACCAGTACGTCCTCCATCCTCCTCTCCACCTCTCCGCGTATAAGTCACTCCACCTTTTTGTTCATGCCTTCTCGCCTATCGATTCCCCTCCCCAGGGTCTACATACATATCCGTGTTGGTTTGCTGTAACATGGCGTACGGTATCGTCACTGACGAGGATACGGGAGAAAACAGGCACAAGTATGCCCCCATCTCGGGCAGCGTCGAGGCCAGCGACGCCTCCCCGCTCGCCACGGCCTGGCGCGAACTCGGCGAGGAGACGACCCTGACGGCCCGCCAGCTGCGGCTCTTCCGGCAGGGCAAGCCGTATACCTTTTCCGACACCTCCGTCGGGCGCGAATGGACCATTAATCCCTTTGCTTTCATCTTTACGACGCCTGACTCTTCCTCATCCTCCACCACCACCGCCTCCCCGTCTTCTTTGCCTCCATCGTCTTCGTCCCGGGGAGGCGAAACCAAAGTCGATGACAGTCCTAAGGATCGTGGGTACGGTGGCGATGCAGATGAGGAGAAGGACAAGGAAAAGCAAGACGATCGCAGGGCTGGCCTGCGCCTCGACTGGGAGCACGAAGGGTACGCGTGGTTCGACCCCGCTGACGTATCCGACGACCCGTCTTTTGGCGGTGTGCCGCGCCTGAAGGAGAGCCTGCGCCGGGTGTGGTTCGAGATTGACCTGGGAAGGGACGCCGCGCGGGTGCTCGACGAGGGGCTGCGCGCTCTGCAGGCGGATCATGAGAGCGGCGCGCGGCAGCTTGCGGCCAAGGCGCTTGATGTGTTTATGGACGTGCTCCCTCTGCTGCCGCGGAGCGCCGACAGCAGCGGTATCGACGAGAGGTGGTGGCGCAACGTTCGCATCGCTGGCTGGCACTTATGGAAGAATGGGCGCGAGGCCATGGGCGCGCCGATCCTGAGCGTGGTGCTCGCCTGTCTGGGCATCATCGAGGAGAAGGTCGCCGCCTTGCCGTCGCCGCGTACACCTTCATCATCATTGTCGCGCGCGTTCATCGACGACGTGCTCGTCGCGCTGCGGGCCTTTGCCGCGTACAGGACCGAGACCGGCAGGGCCATCGGCGAGGCGTTTGCGCAGTTCCTGCGCGACGAGTTCTCCGACTGCGCTACGCCAGGGAGCGGTGGCGTTGGCACTGGTACCGGCGCTGGCGGTGATGCTGACGGAGGTGTTGGTCAAGGTGGAGGTGCCGGGAACTTGACGAACAAGGACGTCAAGATCGTGACCCTGTCGTGCAGCTCAACCATCACCGCGGCGCTCACGCACGCACTCAAGCAGCCTGACGTCCCAGCGCTCGACATCCACGTGCTGGAGTCGCGCCCGCTATTTGAGGGCGTCAAGACGGCGCGCGCGCTGGCCGCTGCCCTCCACACAGCAGGACGAGGAAGCTCAGGAGATGGTGCTGGTGATGGTGAGAAGCCACGCGGGAGGGTGACGCTCCACACGGACAGCAGCGCCGCCGTCGCCGCTCACGGCGCGCACATGGTCCTCCTCGGCGCGGACCTCATCTCCCCGCGCGGCGACGTGAGCAACAAGACGGGCTCGCTGCCGCTGGTGCTCTCCGCGCGGCACGTCAACGCTTCGGGCCCTTTGTCCTCGACCTCATCCCACCCCGTTCCGCAGAAGAGCCAGCACCAGCACCCCGTCCGGATCGTCGCCCTCGCCGAAAAGGAAAAAGTCCTCCCCTTTGAGCCGCCCGCGCACGCGGAGGAGAATGACCCGCGCGAGGTGAGCGTTGCGTGGGACGAGACGTACAACAACAGCAGTGAGGTTCACGGTGATGGTAAGGGAAAGGAGGGGGGCGAAGGGAACAACAAGGAACTGGCCGGCGGGGGAGGAGGAGAAGTCGAGGTCAAAAACGTCTACTTCGAGTGGGTGCCCGCGGCGCTGGTGACCGACTACGTGACCGAGGACGGCGCCACGACGAGGGGCGGCATCGAGGAGTGGGCGAAGGGGGCGAGGGAGAGGGCGGACCGCTTCTTTGGAGATCTGTAACGCATAGGCAGGTAGGCAGGTAGCGTACATTTTACATGCCACTACTCGCGTCACTCGCGTCACGCTCTGGCAGGATATTTGACTTGGCTCAGGGGCAACACGAGGTTAGCCCGTATCTGGCCTTGGCTTGTTCATTCATAGCGTAGTATCCATACATCTGGCAGACGAGCCCGCCTCAATGCGTCTTACCGCCCTCTTGCAGCTGGCTCTGCAGCCCGCGCTTGTCCACCCGCATCGCCAGGTCAAGCTCGCGCTCGCCCTCGCGCAGCCGGGCCTTGCTCGCCGCCACCTCCCTGTCGCGCCTGCGCCGCTGCTCCTCCACCGCGCGGTCCCTCTCCTGCAGCGCCCTTTCCCGCCGCTCCCGCGCCTCCCTATCCTTCCTCACCCGCTCCTCTTCCTCCTCGGTCTGAGCGCCTTCACCTCCCTCGGCCCCCGACGGCGGCGGCAGCGTCTGCACGTACGCCTCGACGAGGGGGTCGCGCACCGCCGGCGCGAGCGAAATATACCGCACGTCGCTAAGCACCTGCGTAGGCAACCCGCCGCCGCCGCTGGCGAGGGACCGTCCGTGCAGCCGGCTCGCGGGCTGGGCTTTGAGCAGCGCGGTCAGGTCGGCCTTGAGCTTGGCCTGCGGCAGCTTGAGCCTGGCGATGTGCTCGCGGTAGGCCTTCTCGCGGTCCTTGTCCGAGAGGTGGAGGTCGCGCATCGGCTCCTCGCGCTTGTACTTGCGCTTAAACTCGGGCCAGTAGAGCTTGGGCGTGGCCTTTTCCTGCAGGAAGGCCATGTAGGCGACGCGCGGGTCCTTCTTCTCTTGTCGCGCGCGCTGCTCCTTGAGCTCGGCAATCTTGTCGCGCGACCACCGGTCCCAGCACTCGCGGCGGGCCTTGGTCGTCGCAAGCGCCGTGTACCGCGGGTCGTCGACGACCTTGCCCTCCTCGAGGAGCTTCTCCCAGGGGCTGTAGGGGTTGATGTTGAAGTCGTTGAGCAGGTCCTTGAAGAGGAGCTCGGCGTCCTCTTCGGAGAATTCCACGCCGGCCGTGCCCTCGGGCCATTCGTCCATGTTGCCGTCGTCGTAGTCGCCGGGCTCGAGGCCGTAGTCCTCGCCCATCATCTGCAGCTGGGCCTGGATGTCTGCCTCTGTGAACTCGACGGGCCCTTCTTGCTCGTCATTTTCCTCTTGCGCGTCTTCTGTCCGTTGTCGTTTCGAGGGGTGCTCTCCGTCGCCATCGCCATCGGCCTCGTCGTCGGTGACCTCGACCTCGACCTCTTCGTACTCGGAGCTATCACCGTCGATGTCCTGGTGCGCCGACTTCTTTGGCCTCGTCTCCGCCGCGACGTCCCCAGTCTCTCCCTCGTCATCGGCGCCAGTCTTCTTCCGTATCCGCGCCTTGTCGAGCTCCAGGATGCCGGGCATCAGCTTCTCGGGGATGCGCCAGTAGCTCGCGTTCTTGGCGGGGTTGTACACGAAGCGGCGCGAGTACTTCGTGTAGACGAGGATCCACGGCTCGAAGCCCGGTATGGGCTCCTTTCTCCGCGGCTTGTCGATGGGCTGCGGCCGCGGACGGCCCTCAAAACCGCCGCGTCCTCCTCGTCCGCTGTGCCCACCGCGGGATTGTTGCTGGGGTTGCGGGTTCAGTTGCGCGAGGTAGGCATTGGCAACGCGCGGGTCGGAGAGGTTAGGGATGTTCGGGTATGGTGTCTGCGCGGCCGGGGCGGGCGGCGGCTGCTGCTGGGGGACGCCGGGCCGCTTGTACGTCGATTCCTTGGTCTCGGCATTGTAGAAGTATGTGTGTCCGCTCGGGGCCTTGTGCTCTGTCCAACCGGGCGGTAAAGGCGCTGCAGCGGCGGCGGCGACGCCCGGCGAGGGCTTGTACGTCGACTTGAGCATGGTGTTGAGCGGTTGCCGGGCTGCAGCCGTGGCGAGGTGGTGACAGGTTCGAGATGCAGGCAGCCTTTGGCGTTGAAGTGATGTCAGGCCCCGAAAAAAGTCCAGGCCCGGCAGGAGCCCGCTGGGGCCGGGTTACAGTGGGGTGTCAATACGGCGGGCGCAGGTTGCCTACCCTGAACCTTGAGAGCCAACGTTCGATATGCGCGATCGCGTCATTTCTGTGCGTCGAATAGAATAGTCCTCACCAATGGGATACTCCAAGAGTCTGTGCTGTCGATTGTTTCAATCAGTAGACTTGCTCGCGTGACACGGTGCATGTAACAATAGCAGGACGGGCGCACGACACAATTGAGCTGCTCCCCAGTAAGCCAGGCGCTAGGAGCAGCTGGAGCTCCGGATCCCTGTATCCCCCGGCGTCGCGTCAGCTGGCAAGTAACTACTCCAGTGTCAACTCTCACCTCAACCTCTCGCTTCTTCACCTCACCAGCGGCACACCTCAGTATGCGATAGCATATAAGCACTCAACGGCTGTTGACTCCTCACATGGCACCTTGTATATCCACAGCACTATCGTGACGGCGAAATCCCAATGGCGCCGGTGCGGACAAACGGCGCCGCGGGCAGGGCGGCGGTGCCGAGCTCGTCTCTGGGCCGGATATGGAGGGTCGGTTCCTTATGCCCTCTGTCTTGTCGTGAAGGATGGCATTGACTGACGACGGGGGAGCTTTATAGAATACGCATGCGCCAGACTACGTCGGCTTCCTTGTCCTCCTCGCGGCCTGGATCGTGGTAAGCCCCTGATCCCTCAGTCCACGGGCTCTTGGTCTCCCACCAACGACCTCATCTGACGCGCATCCAGATCGTCAGCCTCGTCACGCCCTTCCACCGCATGTTCTTCATCAACGACCTAACCATCTCCTACCCGCACGCCGAGCACGAGCGCGTCTCCGTCCGTACGTCCACTCTCCCCTCCACGCCAGGGTTCTCGCTCATGGATCGTTTCTGACCCTCGTCACTCCAGCCATGAACTTTGTCTACGCCCTCTTCACCCCCCTCGGCGTCCTCATCGCCTTCAACCTCGCCGCCCGCGCCCCCTTCGCCAAGCACGAGGCCACCTACCTCCCCTTCCTCATCAGCATCACCCTCTCCTCCGTCCTCACCGACATTGTCAAAAACGCCGTCGGCCGCCCCAGGCCTGATCTGCTCGCCCGCTGCGCCCCCTCCCCCGGCACCAAGCCCGACGTGCTCGTCACCATCGACGTCTGCACCGCCGCGCGCGACACGCACCTCCTGCAGGACGGCTGGCGCTCCTTTCCCTCGGGCCACTCGTCCTTTTCCTTTGCCGGCCTCGGCTTCCTCAGCCTGTTCCTCGCGGGCCAGCTGCGCGTGTTTCGCTACGCCGCGGGTGGGCGTGACCTCAGTCGCGCGCTGCTCTGTCTGGTGCCTCTCGTGGGCGCTGCGCTGATTGCCATCTCCCGCTGTGAGGACTACCGGCATGATGTGTACGATGTGTGCGTCGGGTCGGCGCTCGGCATGGCGGTTGCGTATTGGAGCTACAGGCGGCATTGGCCGCGGCTGTCGGCCGCGACGTGCGACGAGCCGTATCCGCCGCCGAGTGCAGAGGCGCAGCCGCCTGCGTGGCATCGCGTTCGTGACGAGGAGGAGGGCGTCGATGTAGGACCCGATTATGAACTGGAACGAGTCCCGTCTACGAGAGGCTGATGTCGGAGCAGGGTCTATGACGGTCACGGGCTCGGCATGGGCGGCACCGAGGCTAATGGCACTGCGTTTATGATAGAGTACGTATGGCATGGCCAGCGCGCGTTACGAAGTTTATTGTTACAAGGCTGTCTCGGCAGCATCAGCAGCAGGAGCCCATACTATGTCGTCTAATTCCATCGTGATCTCAGCCCCCTCTACTTGTCTTCCGTGTCCTCGCTCTTAGCCAGGTCATGCTCCTTCAACAGGGCCGTGATCTCGTCTGCGCTCCACAGCCGGTGGTAAATCTTGCCGTCCTCGGTCTGTCCTACCGTCGCGAATTCGACTAGTTTCGTCAGCATCACGTCGCGACTCAAGCACCTGCACAGTGCAATGACAGTGGAATCAAGGAGTGCTCACTCTTCTCGCTGCTCAGCTTGGTCGAGTCCATCGTCTTGCTCAGCACCTTGACCGCCATGCCGCACGCCTCCTTGAGGGTGCAGTCCTCCTTGTAGTCCTGCTTGAGCAGGCTCTGCGCGCTGGCATTGTTGGCGCCGGCGCTGGTGGCCTTCCAGCCGCCGTAGTTGCCCGACGGGTTGCTGAGGTACAGCTGGAACTGCCTCCGCGGGTCCCAGCCGGCGTAGATGAAGGAGACGCCAAACGGCCGCAGGCCACCGTGCTGTGTGTAGCCCTGCTTCAGGTCGCACAGCCGGCGGACGAGCTGCTCGCAGGGGATGTCTTCGTTGTAGGTGAGGAGGTAGCGCTGGGCGGCTTGCCGGGCGTAGTTGATGAGGATGTTGGCATCGGCCGTCATGCCGGCGACGGCGCAGATCATGTTGCTAGGAGTACGTGTCAGCTGCTTGGCCCTCTGCGATCCATCCCCTCCTTCCTCTGTCCCCATGTGTCTTACTCGTTGAGGACGTAGAGCTTCTCGGCCGACGTGTCCTGCTCCAGCAGCTTCGACGTAACCTTGCGCTCGGCAGCGAGGACGATACCGTCCTTGGCCAGGATACCAATGGCGGTACCGGCGTGTGAGATGGCTTCGAGAGCGTACTCGACCTGGTACAGGCGGCCCTCGGGCGAGAAGATGGTTGTCTGGACGGGTCAGCGCGGGTGCTCCGCGGTGATGATGCCTCGAGCTTGAGGCTGCGTGCAACGTACTCTGGAATCGTAGCGACGAGACATGTTGGCGGCTGTGGACGGTCGCTGGAGGGAACTGCTTGCTGGGCTTGTCCGTCAGAGGAAGGGTGCCGCGTTGGGGCAAGGACGGATGTGCAGATTGGCGGCCGAGATGGTGATGCGTTGCGGGCTCGCAGGCTTCGATTCGAGATGCAGGGCGGCGGCGTCACTGGCTGGCGGTTGGAGCTCCAGGCACAGAGCTGCCGCGTAGCTCGCGGCCGGGCGTGGACCAGGCGTGATGGGAGGTGGGCCGTCCACCACCCCGACCGAGCAGTTCTGCCGACGTTTCCCCGGCGCCGGGAAATGTTCAGTCCGCGACGGCACCGGAAAAACTTGGTGCCTCATCGGTCAGGTGTCTAGCATCTTCTGCGGGCAGCAATCTCGGCCCAGCCCAGCCCAGGTCCTGGCCTGTCGCGTGCGTCGCACCCACTGACTGGCCAGTGGTGACGACGGGCAGCACAGCATATTTGTCAAGTCGTTCGCTCTACCGTGCCACTTCTCAGACTTGCCATCTCCACCACAACCACGGCGGCCAAACTTCAACTTCCATCATTTCCTCCCCGCACCTTTACGGCTGGCTGGCCTGCCCGCGCAGCAGCAGCCATTTCCACGACCCCCGGCACGCAGCTTGAGGTTCTCTTCAACCGTGCGAACGCCACCAGCACCCAGCTACCGCTCCCCGCGGAGCTTCTGACAAACACCACGCGCCCGCGCCTGACGCGACGCCACCGCCAACACCAACGGCCTTGCCCACGTACCAGGCTCAAGTTCGCCGTTTCGGCTTGAACTTTTGCGTCTCTCTTTCTGGCGCGCGTTGAAAGGCGTCTTGACACGTCCGCCTGCCTAGCTGGCGGCTTGGACTACGTTTGTTTCGAGGATTGGGGGATTCTGTCGCGCGTTTGGAATCGGACGTTGGCCACTATAGTCGTGATCTAGTGCTGTCTGTTTCGTAAACCCACATGTCCGTTTGGCAGGACAGACTCGCTTTGTTTCCTCTGCAACAGTAGACAATCCGACTCAAGTCCACGCGCCTCTCCGGAGCGTTTTCCCATCACCACCACCACCACACACACACACACACACACACACACAGGCATCACCATGTCTGGTAAGCGATCCACGTCCAGCTCACACGTCCCGCGAGGAGGAGGAGGACGCCGCACGCAGACGGTCCTCTGGGGCAGATGGAGCGCTGCATTCAAGACGAGAGGAGCATCACTGACAAGGCGCGCGTCAACAGGCGAAGCAGAACCCCGGCGCTCCGTCCGGGCGACCAAAGGACAACACACGAAATCATTCGACGAACTCGAGCCCGCCGCGCCGAAGCGCCGACAGACCAAGAAGAGCAAGAAGGCGCTGGAGAAGGAGCAGTCGCAGGAACCCGACGAGGTGATTCGCTGCGTCTGCGGCGCCACCGAGCAGGACGAGGACTCGGGCGAGGCGTGGATCTCGTGCGAGACGTGCTTCGTCTGGCAGCACAACGTCTGCGTCGGTGTGAGCTCCTTCGAGGATGAGATCCCCGACAACTACTGGTGCGAGCGATGCCGCCCGCAAGACCACAAGGAGCTCCTCGAGGGTATGGCCCGCGGTGAGAAGCCGTGGGAGGCGCGCCGCAAGGCCCACGAGCTGGAGGAGGCCGAGCGCAAGAAGAAAAAGGGCGGCAGGAAAGCCAAGGGCAAGCGGACTAGCGATCCCAAGGACGAGTTGGACAAGGAGACGACGCGGAGCAAGTCCAAGGCCTCGCCCACACCCGACGCCGCCGCAGGCCCCAAGGACAAGAAGGACGCTGCCCCGAAGCAGGGGAAGCGCAAGTCTCGCGAGGACTCGCACGACACGGACGGAAAGGTAAGAAGGCGAATGTCCCGGTTCTCTTTAGTCTATGAAGCAGCAGCTAACAGCACACGGCAGTCTGCCAAGCTCCGGCGAACATCGGATCGCGACGCCGTTCCCGTGTCGTCGGTCAAGTACATACCCCCGGCCGACCTGGCGACTTCAGTGACGACTCTCCCCGGAACGCGCGTCGGCCCCGCCAAGGCGCTCAAGAAGTCGTTGACGCACGTCATATCGGCCATGGTCAAGAAGCAGGAGCTCGCGGTGCCCGAAGACGAGACGGAGGACAGCATGGCGGAAAAGTACGCGCTGCAGATTGAGCGCGCCGTGTTCGACACGCACCCGGTGGCCAACGGGAACAAGGAGTACAGCCAGCAGATAAAGTCGCTGGCGTTCAACCTCAAGAACAACCCCGAGATATGCCGCGGCTTGGTGGACGGCGCGCACTCTCCCGCGACGCTCGCCGTCATGACGTCGGAGCAGCTCGCGTCGGCGGAGCTGCAGCGCCAGACGGCCGAGATGAGAGCAAAGGCCGAGAAGCAGTCGATCCTTTACACGCAGGAGACGGGCCCGCGCGTGCGCCGGACGCACAAGGGCGAGGAGGTGGTGGAGGACGAGAGCGTCGTGAATGACGCGCCGATACCCATGGCCGGAGGTCCTCGACGAGGCGGCGGCGGCGCAACGACAGCGGCGGGAGGTGATCGACAGTCGCCCACGGTGAAGCGCGAGTCGGTCAGCGGCGAGGCGGCAGCGGCCAGGCCACCGTCGCAAGGAGGGGGACAGTCGCCCACGCAGTCCAACTTTGACATCAAAAAGGTGTTTTCCACCGTCAAGTCGCCGACGGCGGCGCACAACCGACGACCATCCGCGCCGGCGATCCAGACCAACGGGCCTGGCTTCGACCCGGATGTGGACCGGCTGCTACAGGACGAGACCGAGTCGCCGCCGTATTCGCCGACGGAGGAGTCGCACGACCCGGATGTGGTGTGGAAGGGCTCACTGGCCATGAGCTCCATCGCCGACTTCGCGGCGACGGCCAAGCACGTCGGCGGCGCCAACTTTAGCAATTTTGGCCCGTGGTCGCAGCTCATCCCCAAGCGCATGACTGTGGCAGGCCGGATCCAGCAGCAGAGCGCCATCGAGTACCTGTGCAGCCTGCGATACAGCAACCTGACGGATATCATCGTCGTCAGCATGTCGCCCGCGTCGCCCGACTCGCGGCCCGAGTTTAACGCCCTCGTCGACTACTTCCTAAACAAGGGCCGCTACGGCGTCGTCGGCGACAAGGTGGCCGGCAACGTGCGCGACACGTACCTGGTGCCTGTGCCAGCGGGCGAGGACGCACACCCCGAGTTCATGCTCAACCTCGTCGACAACCATATCCCAAGATCGCGCGCTGAGCCCATGCTACTGGCCGTCTTCGTGTACCGCAACGATCCGGATCAGCTGCGCCAGGCTCAGGAGGCTACGGCTATGCAGGCGCTGCACAACGCGGCGGCGGCATCGCCCACGCCAGGGGCTGCGGCCCAGGGCAGCCAGCGCAGCAACTCTACATCTGGGGGACCGGCCTTTTCCCCGGCGACGCCCCAGGGCGCGTTTGCGCATCACTACTCTCCCGGTCAGTCTGCGGCGGCCCCAGCGCATCACTCGGCAACGCCGGTGCCTATCCCGCAACCGCCTCATACCACGGCGCGGCCGGCCGCAATAGCCGTCCCGCAAGGAGGACCACCACCTCCAGGACCGACAGGAGCAAGCGTGCCGACGCCCAGCCAGAGCCAGTCGCCGCCGACGGAGGAGCAAAAGGTGCAGCTGCAGAGGGCCGGGCAGGCCATGGCGGCCGAGGTGCTGGGCCCGACGCTCATCGCCGTGCCGACGGTGCAGTTCATCCTGCCGCAGGCGTTCCAGATGTCGCGGCGCGAGTGGGAGGTGGTGCGCAGCATCTACGAGCGGGAGCCGCGCGCCCGCGAGGACCTGCAGTACCTGGGTGCGCTGCTGGAGAAGGAAAGCGCGGAGCAGCGCGCGGAGCATGGTGGTGGTGGTGCTGCTGCTGCTGCGCCGACGGCTGCGGCTGCGGCGCGCAAGGCGGCGTAGATGAAGCGCCGTTGGGATGGCATGTCGTGTCGTGTTTCTGAAGGGATGATGATGATGAGGCTAGTTGTGCGAGGATGAGGATGGGATGCCCGTCCGGATTCGTTTCTTTTCAGGTTTCCATGTATACCCCCTCTAGTGCTGTTGATTTGAGAGGAAAGGGGGGAAATGCCACAGACGCCCTCGGAGGAGGCGGGCGTTGCTCTTGTTACCTTTTCGGCGTGGGATAACCACCACGGCGGTGTTGATGATAGCAGCAGCTGCCGGGGTGAGAACTAGGGAGAGGGGAACTGAGGGTTTTCGGCCATCGTGTCCCTGCCGTGTGTTACTACATACTGCTGATAGTGGTGGCAGTTATGATGGAGACGGTAGCGTTAAGGAGGTTAAGTTGTGGTGCTGCTGTTGTCGGTGTCGTGGGGGAGGTTTTGCCTGCTGTTCCAGTATATTGATGGTGGTGCGGGTGTAACACCTCGACACCGCCCTGCTTTCGAGTAACCACGATACCTTGAGTGCTTGGTAGAAAGTCCGAAAAAAATATGTCTGTACTTACCGCCTCTTGATGGGAAATCTGTCTATTCCTTGTCTTTACGTATGTGAACATGTGAATGTGGGCGTGGTGTAGCACTTTGTTCTTCGTAACTGGGACAGCAACCCGTTCCGATGTCGCACACGGCGTGCGCATAATCTACGCAGCGACTGTGACCATCTCAGCCCGTGAAAAAAAAAAAATGTAATTCTAATGGTTTGCCGCTACGATGAAGCTCCTCAACGCATCATCTATCACGCCGCGTAATGTTGCGTAGTAGTAGTAGTATGTAGGAAATGGCGGAGCTGGCGCTGCACCGCCATCCGGCAGTTTGTTCCCATGTCCATGCCGTTTTATCCAGCGGCCCGCACTAACAAGGGATTCACGAGTCGCAGCGGAGGTTCAGTGGCAGCCACAGTCGGCGACTAGGCGCCCCCACGCGCGATGACGTCTCCCATCCAGCACTGCCCTCGACCCTGACCTGAGGAAAGGTACATACATACATACATACATACATACATACATAGCCAACCCCCTGACCTTGATCTTTGAAACCGAGCGCTCTAGCGATCGCCAAAACATCTACATCAACATCTCAATCCTACCACCGCCAGCGCATCCCCTTTCTCCCGTGACATTCCACGGGTCCAAAGCGCTACAGCTTCCACAACCCCATCGCCAGCCATCCACGACCACACCACCACCATCACCACCACCCATAAACCATCGCGACAGCGCCTACTTAGCTACCAGCCAAAACAATGGCCCTCGCGTGCAGAAGCGGCTCCTCCCCCGTCAACCGCGCCGGTGGGCCCGGCTCCGCCGCCTCGTCCCTCGCCGAGAGCATCGTCAAGCCCGCGGGCGACAAGACGCCGTGCATCGACTGCGGCGACTTTGAGTGCTGCTGCATCCCGATCCCCTGCACCATCATGTGAGGCGAACGAACGCCCGCGCGCGCGCGCACGCACGACAATGACAGGCCACTGCGCTCATGAATACCTACGAGGCGACGAGCAACCTTCGTCAGGGAGTTTGTAAGGAGTTGGAAGGAGGGAAAGATCGAGGGAGGTGAGGTAGCGCGGCGGCCAAGGGGGTCTACGCCCGGTCTGGAGAGACGGACAGAGTCGGGGTTGGGAGGAGCAAGCAAGCAAGCAAGCGTGCGTGGTGGTGTCGTCGCTGCCATCTTTCAAATCATCTCAAAACAATCAGTTCAATAATAGCCATGTCTTTGTTTTCTTCTAAAGAACCTCCGCCGTCTGCCCTGCCCGCCGCGTAATGGATGGTATCAAGTCATAAGTCGTCGTCGTCACGCCAGCGCCACATCCGCCGCCGCCCAAAGCTCCCTCTCCCGCTCCCTCTTCAGCCTCTGCCTCTCCGCCTCGACACTGCCGCCATCGCCTCCATCTCCAGCAGCGGCACCAGCACCCCCTTTCTGCAGCTTGTCCTCGCCTGCCGCCGCCGCCGCCGCCGTCGTCAGCCCCAGGCTGCCCAGCCCCTCGAGCACGCTCCGCGCCTTGTCCACCTGCGTGCGAATCGCCAGCGTCTCGGCGCGCGTCCGGTCGAGGTGGTCCTGCATCATCTCAATGGCCGACTCGCGCGCCTGGTGCGGCCTGTACTCGTTGAGCACGTGGTGCACGTTGATGAAAAGCGTCCGCAGGTCCGCCGCCTTGGCCTCGGCGTGCGCCGGGTTGCGCGACAGCACCCCCGCCAGCTCCAGGAAGTTGAGCAGCAGCGACTTGGTCAGCTTCTTGAGCTCAAAGGCCCGGTCGTAGTACTTGATGTCTTTGGAGTCTTGGGTGTCTGCCGCTCCGTCGTCGCCGCCGCTCGGTGCCGACTTGTTGTCATTGTTGCTCGTGTTCGTGGCGGGGAGGTTCGTGATGCCCTGCTCCTCGAGCGTCGGCAGCTTGTCGTCGAGCTGCGTCCCGTCCGTCTGTCAGCACAGCCGCACATGCAATATCAAAACGGGGGCATATTCAACACGCACCATGTACTGGTCGCCAAAGACGCGCCACCGCCCGTCGGCGGGCTCTGGCGGCGGCTCCAGGTTCGCCAGGTCCTCTGGCAAGTCCGGCAGCCGGACGGTCGTCGTTGTCGCCGCATCGCCGCCCTGGTCGCCTGCATTCTCCGCGTGTGCCGCGCGTAGGTCCTCGATCCGTGCGATCCTCTCGGGCGTAAAGTCGCGCCAGAAGGGCGGCGGGTTGGGAAACGTCGACGCGAGCGAGTGCGGCTCCTGGTCCGCCATGGTGGACGTGGGCGCGTGTGGCTATCGCATCGATCGGCGGCCAATTCGATTTCTAAGGGATATGTCCGGCTCTATGCGGTAGAATGGCGTGTTCTTGGTGAACAGAAGCTTCTGCGGATGTTCGTTTGTTGTTGGATACAGCAACCAGCCGATGCTCACGCTGCGAATGGCGTTGAGGCGATCAAACGAAACAGCGTTCGGTATGACGGAGCGCTAGCGGCTGCACGTAGCGCACCTGCGCCCAGAGCCTCAGTGGCTGCAGGGGTCCACGGCTCCTTCCTTTGGCGGGGTGACGCCAGTGAATTGCCACTGCCTGCACTAGGTGCGCAGGTGCAACATCCCGCGCCCGGATAATCGCCGGGTCAAGTTAGCTCAGCTACCCTAACTTCTTACACGCCGTTGGAGCTGAGCTGCTGATCCATACTCTTAACATGGCCGTCTGATGACCTCCAACTCCCCACGACTTGGCCTGAGCTTCGACTTTGACTTCCAAACCTTCTCCCCTTTCGGTCCTCCGCCTCCCAGCTGCATCCACATGGCGAATTGACGCTGCTGCCCGCCGCAGGCCACCCTCCCCCAGGGCCTCTCCCTCCAGACCGCCGGTCCCCTCTACCATTCCCTCTCGTCTTCCTCCCCTCCGCCGCCGCCGCCGCCGCCGCCGCCACAAGGCCTAGCCGCCATTCCGTCCCTCAGCTATTACTACTTGCACGTCCGCCCGCCCAAGAGGGGCGATAGCCTCGATCGGGTAGTAGGCCTTTTTGTCTCGACTTGTCAAGGGAGGGGCCAGCCAGCGGGCCGCACCAGCCGACAACCCACATCGATCCTCGTTTCTTGTCCTCCTCCGAACCGTCAGACATGGCCGACGTCCGCTCCCTCCTCCGCCAACAGCGCGCGGCCCGGCGCATAGACCACCCCAACGCCGCCTACACCGACTCGGGCAAGCTTCTCTGCACCCTCTGCCGCGAGAACGTCAAGGCCGAGGGCCTCTGGGAGGGCCACCTGGCGGGCGAGGGTCACAGGAAGCGAGCTGCTGCTCAGCGGCAACAACAACAACAACAGCAGCAGCAGGGACCACACGCGGACGACGGAGACGACGGCGACGGTAAGCTGCAGGAGCAAGCCGCAGCTCAGACGCATCCGCCGTCGCAGAAGAGGAAATTGGACGCCGCTCTCGCCGACGACGGCGACGACGACGGCGACATGGTGATGGACGACGCCGTGCGGAGGAAACGCAGCAGGCCAGACATCTCCGCCCTCGGAAGCATTAGTGAAGACGGACACGACCTGGCAACGGCAGTGACGCCCGTGGGGCGCAAGGGCAGCAGCGGTAGCAGCGGCGGCGTCAAGGACGCCAACCTCACGCCGCCCACGCTCGCCCGTCGCCTGTCCACGACGCCCTCGCAAGGCGTCGAGCTGCAGATTCCCTCCCGGCCGGCCACGCCCTCGCGCCGCGACGGCTCCGGCTCCATCTCGACGCCGGGCTCCAACGGCGGACTCTCCTCCGTCGCGGCATCGCAGCCTGCCGCCACTGGGACGTCCCTCCCCTCGCGGCGCGCGAGCGGCCTCGCCGCGACGCTCGACTTCTCCACTGCCGCAACCGACGCAGACCTCCCGAGCTCCACGGCACCTCAAGTTGACGAATCCGAGTGGGCCGCCTTCGAGGCCGACATCGCCGCCGCCGAGGAACAGCAACCGCCCGCCTCCGCGTCCTACTCCGCCGACGCCGTCATCTCCGCGCCCGCCATGACCGCCGAGGAATCCGCCGCAGCCGCCGCAGCCGCAGCCGCCGCCGCAGAAGGGGAAGGCGAAGGCTCCCGCAGGACAAAGGCGGACCGCGACATCGAAGACGAGCGCGAGGAGGCGACGCGCGCCATGGAGGACGAGTTCGAGGAGATGCAGGAGCTCGAGCAGCGCGTCCGCCGGCTCAAGGAGCGGAGGGACGCGCTTCTGCGCAAGCGGAGCGAGAGCCAGGGCCAGGAAGCCGCCGTCGCCGCCGCCGCTGCCACGGCGTCAGTTTCCAAGGGCAAGTCGGGCAAGGAGAACCTCCAGGGATCGGCCGTGGTCGAAGACGACGAGGATGAAGAAGAGGAGGATGACGAGGACGATGACTGGGACGGCTTCCGGTTCCGCACGTCGTAGGGAGGAGGATGGGAGGAAGGCCGACGGCTCGAGCTCCAACTCGGCCTTGTAGAAAACCACATCATGTGTAAAACTACCTACCTAGTGTACATGTCAACAATATGGCGGGCGTCACGGGCTGCTTTTCATTGAGCTTCATGCCTACGATTTCTTGCTCGCTGCCGTGCGTGTCCGTCATGGTGAGCGAACCTTTGCTCTGAGGGAACTCGAAGTGGAGAGCATGGAACATGGCCGCCGCCATATCAAACAGTCGTTTCCGTCGTAAACATTACCAAGCCATGTCCATCCCAACGCCAATAAAGCCCAGATTGGACCCATTCGCTCATACATATGCGTCACGCCTACACGGCGATCCTGCCTTCGCCACGGCCGACCCTCTCCCAGAATCGCGTCAGGCGCCAGACCCTGCCGACGCCACGGCTCTCGTCCATGCGGCGGACGCCTTCCTCCCTCTCGAGGACCTCGCCGCGCCACTTGGCGGCGATCCAGCGGCGCAGGCCGTCCTTGACGCGCTCGCGCTCCACATCCCTGCGACGGGCGGCGATGGCGGGCGAGACGAGCACAGGGGTCATGCCGGGAACGCACTCGCGGGGGATGACGGCGCGCTCGACGAGCGTCTCGGGGGAGGGACGGGCAGCGAGGCGACGCGAGAGGCGGATGGAGACGAGAGAGCGGGCGAGGCGGCGCGACACGACCGACGTGTGGGTGAGGAAGATGCTTTGGGCGATGAGGTCGGCGAGGGAGGGCCGCGAGGGGGACCACAGGAGCGGAGGGAGCAGGTGGCGCGCGCGGCGCAGCCGGTAGTAGTGGAGGATGGGAGTCAGGGAAACGGTACGGAGGAGATGGTTTGTCTGCTGGTGGTCAGCATATGATCGTGGTGACAGTGACAGTCACGTTGACGGGGAGCCGCTGGGATGCCGAGAATTCGTGCACCAAGACGACGCAACTTACCCTGGAGGCAGCGAGGAGGTCATTGACGTCGAGAAAGCCAAAGACTTGGAGGAGTATCTCGTTTGGCAGCTGGTCGAGGCAGGGCTGGGCTGCGTAGACAAGGCTGCGGTCGTTGGCCGCGGCCCAGACCCGCTCCCACTCACCAGCCTCATCGTCGGCTTCACGACGCGTGTCTTGCCGACGTGAGAGTTGGGCATCGACTGGCGCGGGCCACGCCTCTGCCAGCTCATCACCTCGGGGGCCGCTGGAGCCGACGCCGGACGATCCCATGACATCGCAGCCGCGCGAACCGTCGCCGTCGTCAATGGGCACCGCCTGCGAGGCTGGGTCAAGGCCTTGCTGCGCGATGCGCTGGCCATACCACGAGGCCGCGTTGGGATCCTTGCCTGGGTCCATAGGGGGGTGTCGGAATAAAGGACGTCACTGATAGCCGAGGACAGCAAGGCGGGCAGCCAAGGTTCACCGGGTTTATCCTAGGCCGGATCGCTGGCCCCGACGAGGCTGGGCGATGCTCGTGCGTGTCAGGCTCTCGGAAGGGTTGCCCGCCAGGGACAAGGCTCGTTGCGGGAACTTGGTCGATGGGTGCTACTAGTCGCCCGTGAATGCTGGTGCTGCTCGGTGGATGCGGCCGGGGTGGGATGGCGGCGCGCAGAGGTCGTCACACATGGCAAAGCGTGATGGCGCCTCAGACCCAGTCCGGCATGTCGGGCGTCTGTGTTGTCGTCGGCGTGCCTCGCCTCGCCTCACGTCGGCGGCCGTGTTGTTGCGGTCAGTGCCCAAGCAAGCGCCTGCTGCGGAGCGGGGGGCGTGTGTTGTTGCGGGGACGGAGAGTGACGAGACAAGGGCGAGGGGCGAGAGTGGAAAAGGAGGCCGCGATATATGGCCGTCGGGTGCGAAGTGAGGTTGCTCGAGGGCCGCGACGTCTGGCCGCCGTGGCCTGGGTGGGTTCGGTCACGCGGGGGACACGCGAGGCGGGGTTGCGACGGCCTGTACGAAGAGGGTATGTACGTATCGGCGTGTCTTGGACGGAAGCGCTGTCCGGGGAGCGGCGGGGTTCGAGGAGATGAAGTGATGATGAAAAGGCGTGAGGAGGTGGTGTTGAGGTGACGAGGAGGGATGAGGTTGCAATGTGACGGCACTAACACGGGTTACCTCGATGCACCTGTAATTGTCCGCTGCGCTGCACTGCACTGCGCTGTACGTCGGAGCTGTACACGAGTACCCGGCAGGTACTGCTATATTACAGCGCAGGACAGAACAAGCAGGACGCGCAGGGGGGGCTGTCGCACCTTCCGTGGCTCCGCTGCCCTGCCCTGCCCTGCCCAGCACCAATTGGAAGGGCGAGGTTGCCGCCTGGAGCCTGGCGCGTTTGTTGTTTCAGGGGTCTCCAAGCAAAGTACGTACGTATCGTCTTGCCGACGATCGAGGTTGCAGTGCAGGGGCGGGGCCTGGAGTCGTGTGGACGGGACTGATGAACGTTGATTGCTAGGAGTTGCGATGCAAGGGGGCGTCGCTTCTATCTCGCTGTTTGCTGGTGCCGACGCAGTCAAATCTAGTCAAGAGAAGAAGGGCGCAGAAAGGGAAAATGAAACAAAAAACGAACATGGCGATACAAGCCTGCGTGCGCCCATCGCATCGGCGGCTTGTGTTGTCCCTGTTGCCTGATCGGAACCCCTCATTACCCAGGTGGTGGTCGTTCGTTAATGGCGGCCGCGTTTCCCCAGCGGCCGCCGCGCCAACGGCGGACCAACGCCGCAAACGGTCTACCACGTCACCAGGAACAGAGTTTGGCTCGCCATGCAACGGAAAACATACCGTACCTCGTTCTGGATGCTCGCTTGCTTTCTTGGTATGTAGTTCGAGGGAGAGCGCAATCTGCGCGGCCAAAGTCAATTCCCGCGCTTGCGGCCCCCGTTGAACTGACGACGACGAGGCATCCTGGCTTACACGAACCACCGCCCACCGCGCAAGCCCCATCACACGACTCCGTTGCCCCCAGCATCACGCGGTCCGGCAGGCATCCTGGCTCGCCTACATACAAGTATGTAACCTCCGTAGAATTTACTTCGTACTCGTATACGAGCACGCAGCTCGGCCCCCAAATTCCGCACCTTGCTGTGCAGGCAGATGCGCTCAGGATATTAGGGATGCTTGGCCTGTTGACTTACATGTCACAGGGAGCGCAGCCAGCGAGCCACCACTCCATTTCTTGCTGCTTCTGTCCCCGAAAAACAACTGAAACTATTGCGTACTCCAAATATACAGGTCATCACTACGACACCAGATGGCACATAGGCGCCCAACATGGCCGGCCCGCCGCCCGCCGCCCTGCGGCCCCCCACGGCGGCCACATCCACACGATCGCCTCCTCAAAGCTCAAAGAACAAGGGGCGGTGCGGTGCCTTCATTACAGCAGCCGGCCGGGAACAACCTCGCCTTTTCCCGTATCACGCTGGCGCCATCATACCGCCTTCTCCATCCCCCACTCCCGATGAGGCCGCCGAGTGCATCGCCAAGGCCAGCCCGTCTGCGCGCCTCCATGTCCGCTCTCACGCCTCGCGCCCGCCGCGCACCCTCACGCACGCGCAAACGCACGTGCACGATGGGCCACTCCGACGCCCGATACCGACTTTCCGTCTTTGTTATTGCCCCCTTGTTCAAGAATACCGTGTCATCGCTTGCCTGGTGTTAGAGAACCGCCCCCACCCCCCTCTGCCCCTCCTCTCGAAGATGAGCACCTCTGGATGTAGGTCTTGTGCAAAAGGTATGTATGACAAGGTATGAAACAGATAGTGGAAGGGGACGACGCCCAAGGTCGACCATGCAGGTACCTTCTCAGCTCCTTCACCGTTCTTCTCGTGTAAGCCCAGCGTGTAGTATGTAGTACAGCTATTTTCCGTGATGTGTGCCTACCTCATTGTATAGCAGCAGCGTCGTTGACGTTGCCAGTGACCCGGTGCTCGGAACGTAACACCCGTGTGGCTTGAACGAGCTGAGCTACGGACGCCGTGCTGCACGGTATGACATGCCGCCCTCGCACGTAGTACGCCTGTTCTCGTCTCTCCTCTCCTCCCCTCCCCGATGGTGTCCCCAGCCGAGCAGGCCAGCTGAGCGTCCCGCTCCCACAAGAGGCGGTGGGCGAGCAACACAGGGGGCAAAACACCCTTGCTCTACGAGGAATGTGTCGGAGTCTACGATAATGCTCGCGTCCAGGCAACTCCTTGGGGGCAAATCCGGCCGAGTCTTGCCTTGACAATTCGCTCTCTGCAGCTTGGCACATGCAAGAAAAACCGGGTTGAAGATGAGCAGAATGCTCCGGATCGGGCTATAAGAATGAAAGTTTAGACAGCATCGCCCACCTGGATTCCAAGACAAGTGTCCAACAAGTCCACTTCCCGCGCTGCACGTCACCACTCGCGTCTGTCTGTCTTTTCTGCCTGCCTGCCTGCCTGCCGGCCTGTCTCTCTCGCGACCAGGAACAAGGGCTGAATATGTAGAGCTCAAATCACGCTCACCGAGCGGGACCCTCGTAGTTCCACGGCATCCAGATGCTCGCACGAGAGCAGCCGTCAAGACGCACCACCAGACTCATACCTTTCCCCCTTGTCCACACCCACCCCTCCTATGGCGGTTTAGTAAAAGGGGCTTGGGGGGTAGCACAGCACACCAAGCTATTTTGTACGTGTAACCAGCTGTCAAAAAGCACACAAGAGGCGATTTTCGACGCCGTTGCCACCTCGGCGGCGTCCCGAGACGTGTGTCCGCATGCCTGTGTGTGTGTGTGTGTGTGTGTGTGTTCTCCGTCGAGCTGCCCGTGTGTCGTCCGACGCTCAGCTGCTGCCGGACGAGGGTCGCACGCCAGCCTCGTCAAACGGCCCCCAAAGCACACGCACCGAGCACCGGCACTGCCAATGGCATCAAATGTGCCTCGCACAGGGACTTGGCGCATTGGCGGTCAATGCCGCTGCCAATGAGCTGTTCTTGAGATTCTACGAAGTAGGTGAAACCAGCTCCTCGGGCAAACATCTTACTGTACGCCTCGTCTAACGAACACCTGTCGCGATCCCTTGTTGGCCATCGTCACCAGCACCAGTCGACATATGCCTCCCGCCGCGTGTCTCGTTGGCCAGTTGCTGTTTTTCCTGAGTTCATGTATTGAGCATAAGCGAAAGCCCGGCAATTTTCACGCATCGTGATTCGCGAGGCATCCCGGGAGATCGGTTCGGGGGAATACATACTTGTGTGGTTAAGGGGGGGGGCCTGTCTGTGTCTGTCTGTCTGGCTGACTGACGGACATGGAGTGGGTTGGGCTGTTGGTTCGATCGTTCGGGCCGCTCCTTGTTCTTTTTTATTTTATTTCTTTCGGCGGCGCGTCGCCTGTTGAGGCTGAAAAATGCCCGCCCGTGTGCAGCAGCAAGGGCAGGGTTCATGGGTTTTCGTTGCCGCACACCACTTTGCCTCTTGTGGTTGCCTTGCCTTGCCTGGTACATTCGTACATGCACGCATGCACACATACGTACGTACATACAATCTACAAACAGACATGACTTCCTACGTACGTATATTGGCGTTGGCTCGGTCTGCATACCTGTGCCTCCGTAGTTTCTACACCGCTCAGCCCGAGCAAGACCTTTTTTACCTGCCGTCCGTCAGTCAGTCACGATCATGCATGCGTACGCACCAACACCAACACCAAGCAGCCTTTACCATGGAACCTCGTCAGACAGATCTCCGGTCAGCCACTTCCCAGATGTGGCGCCCGTCAACGGGTTGACGCCGTGCCCTTCCCCCAGCTACGTAGTACGCGAACTACCGTTAGGCCATCGGGGAAGATGGAAAGGCTGAGGAGAGAAGGGTGAGCGTACATAGATTGTCTCATCGAGACACAGACCGCCCGCCCGCACCCAACAGATGACGGCCCCGGCCCGCCCGCCCGGCCGACCGACCGGCCGGCCGCCGGCCCACGCGTGGGTCAAACATTGGAACGCGCCCGCCTCCGCGCCGCGCCCGAACCGCTCCCTGGCACGTTTCGCTAGCCGCCGCTGTTGACAAGCCGCCTTGGGCGTTGCCATGATTCGTGCCGCGCCACGCCACGCCGTCAATGCTCTTCGTACTTTGTACGTATTCACCTCTCGTGATGCGTTCAACGTCAGCCTCGGCAGTGTTTTCTTTTTGCCTCTTCAACGCACGTTCTTTTTGCATATTCGACACACACACGCCCCCCCTATCTATCTATCTGTCGGCTGCGTGATCCGTGGGTGAGACGTCGTCGTCGACGATCTTCCCCCCAGTTCCCGTTCCCGTTCCCGTCTTCCCCCCTGGTTCGATGGGCGGCAGCAGCCCTGCCTGGTCGATAAAAACGGGACGGCCCGCCTAGGCGGCCCCCCGTCGTGGCTCGAACATCTCCGTTTGTGACTTAAGAAGTGTGCATGAAACGGCCCGGAGCGAGACCCGTCCGCTGCCTGACCAGGGACATGACTCCTGACTCCTGAGTGCTGTCCCGTTCGTACGTCGGCCCTGGGCCGACGTCTCACCTCCTCCGAGGCCCCTGGGCGTGACCTCCATGCACACCGTTGCCCCCCCTGCCCGCAATGACGCGCCCACGACGCGCGAGTTGTCTTGTCGCAGCAGAAAGAAAATAACACTCGTCAGGGACACAACGTCAGCACACACCGTCAGTACACCGCACAATCCTCCGCAATACACGTCGGAGCTTCCCGCGCTCTGATTCGTAGCCTGTAGGTATGCCTTCCAAGAAGGCGGGCGTTTGATGAGCGGAGCAGCTGGCTGCTTTCGTGACTCGCTTGACTCGCGGCTGCATCACTTGTTCCTCTGCTGGTCCTCGAGCCCTTTTCCCATGCCATTGACCTCCTCCAGGAGGCCCCTCGCCGCCTATGTGCCTGACCAGGCCAGGCCAGGGCAGGTCACCCAGACCGCACCTCACTGCACCTTCGAGTCGCGCTCCTGAGATCCCCAGAATAGATATTCCAGCAAGCACGCACGCAAGCACGCAAGCCCAACGCCCTCGTCCAGCCCAATGCAACTACTAACTTACTACCCCGTGCCTCGCAGTCGTAGATGAACCCGGCATCTCCCCGATCTCATCCCCCCTCTTGGCCACTCACTCACTCTCCCCCGCCAAGTAACCGCCCAGTCATCGTAATCATCATCCACCCGTCGTTGTCGCGGCCATCGCCGCGACCGCCGCGAGACGCGTCTCAATCCCGATCCGGCAAGGCATAGACAGCTCACATCGCCAGAGCCTCAGCCCCCCTTGAGCAGAGGTCGGCCACCCCGGCCCGCAACTAGGCCCAGGTGAGACCTACCTCCCCTCCTATCCCCTCCTGTACTGTCTGTCCCCTGTCTCTTATACACATCTAGATGTGTATAAGAGACAGGGCGTGTGTGGTCGTGCGCGGCTGCATGTGGGCGTGCGTGCAGCATGTGCGTCCTGAGTGTATACATGCGGCGTCCGATGGGCAAGGGCTTGTCTGCCTGCCCGTATGCGCGCTTGCTGCCCGTTTGCCCCCTGTTTCGCCTGCCTGCTTGCTTGCTTTCTTGCATCAATATCGGCCATCCCCTCTCTCCTCTCCACCGGCCCAAAGGTTTCGGGCCCTTGCCTCGCTGCTCCTCTCTTCCCCCTATTGTTGTTGTAGTTGCTGTCCGCACGCCCCTCCTCGTCGGGCCAGCCTCTCCGTACGTATCCGACCGTCATCGTCGACCGGGGGTGGGCGGTGGGCGAGGGGGGTCGCCGCGGCGGCTGCGTCGTAAGGGGGGTCCCATCTCGGCCGCTTGCCGTGGTCCGCACATGCAGTCGGGGGCCAGGGAGCAGCTGCATCCGTCCAGTCGACTCTGGCAGCGGCGGAGCTGTCAACTTCGCCCATGTCGGGGCCCTGCGTGGATGCCCCATGGCATGGCATGGCATGGACATGGACATGGCCCCCGGCATGGGTCCCCCTATATCCCACGTACAGTGCCGTGTTGTAGGGACGAAGGGAGGCACGGAAAGGAGGGCCGTTGGGCAGTCAGACGATCTAGCTCCATGGCGATCGGTGTCCCGCTGACAGGTCGCGTACATGACCGTAATAGTCAAGCCGGGCCTCCACGCCGACCCATATGCCCTTGGACACGTGCGACGAGCGCGCCGTGTGGCAGACGCTTCGGCCAACTTCGCGCGTCCGCGGTGGCGGCGACGCTGGCCGTCTCTGTCGCGGGCGCGGGGGCGCGCCAACTCGCAAGAAGTGGTTCCCTGAAGCATGTCCATCCAGGCAGTTATCTGTGTCGACGATCGCCCCTCGGCTCGGTCCAAGGCCCAACCCGTGGGCCGCCGGCGGCCCCCTCGATCATGCTCGCTCGCTGTAGGCCACCAAAACGGGTCATGTCGTATACCGCAGGCTCAACCCCCGAGTCGTTCAGTTTCAACCGGTGTGACTGTGGCTGCCTCGGCTCGCGAGGCCGTTTTTTCTTCAACGATCGTGGACGACGCACAACGGGCGGCATAAGCAGCTCGCTGCGTCATGCTACATCGTGACTCGTCCCACTCAGGGGCTTCGAGGCCGAGGAACGCGGCGCGAGACGGCAGGCATGGGCTTCCGGCTGTAGTATATCAAGATTAAAGGCAGACGCCCCGTGGAAGGTCGCAAGAACTGTGGGGCCATGTAAAGAACAGAATCTCGCGGTGGCTTTTGCTGCTGGATGTCGGATCATGCAGCTTGGAAACCGGACGTAGCGCGGTTCCTGGGCCCTTTGCCTCCCGGCCCAGCCGTCGCCTGCCACGTTGACGTCGCCGGCCCCCCGGCTGCTTATCCATACCCCCCTCCCTGATGCCGAGAGCGAGCGAGCCAGAGGCACTGTCAACAATTTTTGTCCGGGGCGCCAGTCACGGCCGCTGGGGCCGGCGGATCTCTCCACTGAAGGAGGATCTAGTCATTCATGTGAGGCGAGCGGTATGCACGGGGAAACATGCCTCTTGGTCCATCCCGGCCATGATGCCACCCCATCCGCCTTCCTGCTCGCCACTGACCCGGCTCAACTGCAGCGGCGCCTTGGTGTGCCCATCCATGTGCATCCACCCTGCCCGACGGTCGTGCCAGTCGCGGCTCCAGCCAAGGGCCCCCGCAGGCCGTCGGTCAGGGAATAGAATACCGGCTGCTGCGAGTCCCGCGATGAGGGGAGCGAGATGAGGCCAGGTCGAGCCCGTACAGTACCGTCCATTGGGCATCAGGGCCACCTAAACAACCGGGGGCCGCAGAGCGCACATATGTTGTGATCGGTGTTGGCTGCCAGCTGGTCTGCAAGCCTGGCCAAGCCCAAAGGCACATGCCGACCGGATGTCCGCTTCCACCGGCGCGGTTGATACTCCTGAACGCCACGGTGCATAGCGATCGAAGACCCGGACGGCTTCTTCTGGAGGAGACGAGCGAAGAAGGGGGGCGAAGCACTGCCATGGAGGCGTCGTGCTTGAGTCCCGCCAGGGGCCACGGTGGATCGAGGCGAAGCAGCAGAGATAGAGAGAGGACTCTCCGCGCCTGTAGCCGGTGCTGCCAAGCTGGTCAGTGCCAGGTGAAATAAAATAAACATTCGCCAAGCGGCCTTTCTGCCGAGGATCGGATCCCGCAGGTCAGTCCCAAGGAACAATCAGCCACTATCGCCGACGGAGGGCCGTCATGTTGCCAAGGGGGGAGGCGAGTGTGTCTTCAACGGCGGCTGCTCCACCAGGTCACGGCCGCCTCCTGCAGTCTGTCTCGTCCACAGCCCATCAAGGCAAGGCAGCGGACGCCATGCCATGCCATGCCATGCCATGCCCTACCAGGGGGGGGGCCCAGCCTTATAGACGAACCACAGCCCCGGCGCACACCGAGAATTGACTGACGTCTGCCCAGCGGCCTCTGGCCCGTTGGGAGTCGGTCGGCCTCTGCCACGACACGACACTTGTCCCTCGTCCAAGGGACGAACCATGACGCCCCACACGGCCGCAGATCTGGACACCACCCTCTCTGGCTCTGGCTTTAATAAAGGACAAACAGGCCGGCATGACATCTCAGAAGCCCGGGGTGCCCGGGCAGACGGGCAGGCACACGCGGCATCCCTGGCCGTCCGCCGTAGCAGCCACGCATCGTGCAGCTCGATGTGACCGAATCAGTCCAAGGGCCAAAAGGCGTGGGCATTAGGGTCAATGCCCAATCACGAGATTGGTTTGGTTTCTGCGGCACGTCGCCTGGAGCAACTGCCCGGAGGAGGTTGGTCAGGCCGCCATTGAACACATTGAACGTTGTCCTGTGTCGTGGGGAGGTGGTTGTCGTTTGCCTTCTTTCATGTTGGGTTGCTTGCTTCAGGTTGCTCGCTCGAGCATCTCCCTGGCAGTCACTTCTTGCCTGCCTCCGTCTCACGGCTCAATGCTGTGCGAAAAGAGTGCCGCAGGACCAGGTGCTGTCGGCTGGTCCCCGTGGGAAGGGGAGGGCTCTCGTCTTCCTGCCGTTCCTGGCCGGCATCATTCGAGGGCGTCATCAACGTGGCAGTCGTCCAGCGGCCCTAGTCCGGGCCGAGCCCACTCGACCTGCCAATGGGGCAGAAACAAACGCGAAGAAGGGCCCTGTAGCAAGGCCATGGCTTGGGCGAGGAACGCGCTCCTGGCCTGGAGGAGCCGGCGCTGCAGGGACTTGCTTTTCGCACATGAGAGAGCGAGAGAGCGTGTGAGCGTGTGAGAGAGAACCCCCGGCTGGCATTGTCCGGTGCTGGAACCCCCCTCTTACCCCTGTCTCTTATACACATCTAGATGTGTATAAGAGACAGGCCTTACCCCTATGGGGGCGTGCGTGTGAGCGCCGCCGCATGATGATGATGGAAAGATGGCAGCAAAAGTATGGGGCAGGGCGAGGTACGGATACCCAATCCCTCGCATCGAAGCCTCTTTATCCCGCAGGGAACAACCCGATAATGACGACGTTGGCCCGTGTGAGGCAAAGTGTTCGTTGGTCCCGCTGCGGATAGGTGGAAGCCATGTACACCTGTGTGCGCCTACCTTATGTACGTGCGTATGTACGGCACGTAAAGCAGGCAAGGTAGCTACCTAGTACTGTATGTACATAGGCGTGCTATGTATCTGGCGCGTGGGATGTCGAGGCGAGCATGAGGCGACTGTCGAAACGGAAAATTGGGCTGTGGTCAGACAGGTATAAGTTAGCTTGTGTATCCCCAGCACGGATAGCCATGGAGTTGAGGAACCCACCGAGCACATAACTACGGACGAGCAAGTCTGTCTTCCCAGAGACCATTGGGGAAGACTGTCATCGCCAGTGACTGGAGAGCCACCAAACGACCGGCCATCTCGAAGCATCCCAGGGCAAACGGCCGCCCGGGCGTTGCTGTCACCGCCTGCCGCTGACTCTTCGATTGACAGGCCCGGCCGCTAATACACCATCTTCAACGGCCTGACAGGTGGTGGCTCGCTACGACCAGAAAGCTTGTGAGTGCTCCAAACGGGCCCCCCGGTTGGAAGCGGCGGCGGCGGCTGCTGCTACCTCCTGACCTGCGGCGAGAGGGACAGAAATGTGGCCCCAGTTGGCAGACGACGGAGCCCAGGGGGCACACTCCATCGGCAAGGCTTCAGTGGCTGACAATCTTGGCCGGTTCGCACTGCAGCAGCAGCAGCAGCGGCCAGCGGCAGGAAGCACAACAGGCTCTCTCCTCCTCCTACCTCCCTCCCGCCCTCCACTGTCCGACTCCCTCGGCCCGCCCGTCTTCAGCCGCGCCGCCGCCCTGCGGCCGACACGCTCGCGGCGACCACCATGTGCTATTTCGAACAGACGCGCTGGAGCTGCGGGTACTGGCGTTGGGGCCACTTCCGTCAGCAGTGCAACAAGGAGTACCGGATGGGCGAGACGTGCGGGCTCAAGCTCGTCTACGAGACAAGAACCGAGTCGGACGTGTGTAAACTCTGCCACGACACCGAGAAGAAGCAGCGGCGATACGACAAGATGTATCGCGACGTGCAGCGCTGGCAGCGCGAGGGCAACCGCAATGCCACCATCGAGCGGACATGCGGTGAGATGCACGACGTGATGGGCCAGATCTATCGGATGCGCGAGGAGCACGATCACAGGCTACAATCGCTGGGACAGGTACGGACAACCCCGCCATCCCCGTTGGCAAGCAGAGAACGGGAACGATGTAGAAAGGCCTAGGGGGGGAGGGGGAGGGGCAGCATCATCGATGGGGGCCAAAGGACTGAGATGGAGGGGGGGAGGCAGTGCCAGTTGCCGTCCGGGCACGAGGATCCGTGGGCTAACTTGAACGCCTTGCTCTAGTGACAGGACCAGGGGGCGGCGGGAGAGGCTTGCTGCATTTGCGAAACGCGACGACGAGACTACGACGACGACGATGACGACAACGACAACAGTAAGAATAGATTGTCCGACGTGATAGAAAGGGGAACCAAGGCCGCAATGCCGCAGGATCGGCCGAAGAGCAACTCGCTCTTCCAGGAGGGGAAAAAAAAAAAGTCTGTTCCACAGCAATGGGGCAGGGGTGGCTCTTCTGGAAGCGAGCCGGCGTTCGAAGACGAGCGCCTAAATGGCTCGAAGAAGGGGGAGGAGGGGGGAGGAGGGGGCGAAGGAGGAAGAGAACCGGAGCCAGAACTGCGGGAGTGCGCACAAAAACAGGGAAATCGCCGGCGCTTTTGTTTCGTTTCTTGTTCAACTGACGACCCTGGAGTTTCGCCTCGACGCGGCCTCCATTGTAGAACGACGGGCACTCCCTTTGCATCTTTCATGGATACCTGGTAGCTGACCTCACCTACCTTACTTACCATTGTACCTAGGCACGCTGATCAGAGCCTAATGGATTGGTGCGTCATGGCACCGACAACCGCTGCTGGCATGGAGGTCGGCAGTCTTGGCTTGTGCTTCTCGGAACGTCCATGTGTGGGCAGCAACACACGGCGGTGGGTCGTTGTGCGAAATGACCAAGGGCTTTGCGTGGCAGGGAAAGAATGTGACTGCGACGAAGCCGACCACCTGCGACTCCCGCGCTGCCTCCTGACCTGGCCGAGGACTGGGATCGGGTGTACATATTACATACCTAGTTGCTCCGTAGCTTCGTACTGGTTGCTGCGTTTAACCCTGGTAGCAGCCCTGCCGTCCGTTGAGCTCCGCTGAACGACGAACTCTGTCAGTGTCAAGAGTGGCCGGGGGCCACAGCACAGCCCACGCCATGGCAGCGTCTGCCCGCCTGGGCCGCTGGGGGCCCTAACGGAGGTGCCTAGAGGACTTGATGCAGCGGCTGCTGCACCGTGTGCTCCCGATGGAGCATTGGGCTCGCTTATCGGGGTTTTGGCCTGTCTGCGTCAGCCCAGTTGCCCGAGTCTGCCGCATAAACAGGCCGCGCCGGGAGAGGAGCGCGGCCGCCGGCCTGGGACCATCGATCTGGAGGACGTCGCGCTCTAATAACGCGGCACGCCTTCATACGTCAATCTGATGGCAGCCTGACCGTGGTTACCCAATGCAGCCCAGGTACCGTGACGGACGTGGGACGCAAGCGAGCGGGAGGTGCTGCGGCGCGGTGCCTGTCAGTGGGGTGGAGCGGTCCAGGGCTGGGCGGACGGTTGTTGCCGGTCTCTCTCGTTGCGGGCCGGCCCATTTGGCGTTTGAACGAAGTCATTGGGACTGAGTGAGTGTCTTCGGTGGTACATAAGTGGCTGCCCATACTTCTGGGCGACTTGGCCCGACGACCTGGACAGTTCGCGCCGTCCGCGGCCGCCTGGGTTATTACTGCGTCGACGTGCTCGCTCTCAGCCAAAAGACACAACACGATGGCGGTCCCGAAGGCTTGGGGCAGCCTGCGGCAAGATCCTTGTCAGCCCACCCCCCGCTGGGGCCACGGAACTAGGGCAGCGGTGCGAGCCGAAGCCGGAGAAACCACAGGCTAGAGGCGTTTCCGACGGCAAGCCAGACGACCATCCTGGCAGCTAACGCACTCCACTAGCACGCTGCGCACGTGTCTGACGCTCAATGGGCATTTTTGCGGTGAAGAACTGGTCCAGGTCGCTCCCAACCCTGTTGTCGCTTATGACCGTGGTTGGCAAAACGGCAAAAAAAACTCAGCAAAGAACGAAGACCCGGAATGAGACCCGCCCAATACCGATAGGTTAGTCCACATGGGGTCCGTTGGGACCCTCGCTCAGGTGAATATTTCCATTTCCATTGGTGTGTTTCTGAGTCTGTTTGTACAAGTGCTTTGGTCATGCGCACAGAAATAAAATCTCTTGATTATCCCACTGAAACGGACAAGGGTGAGAAGAAGCCGAGGAGACCCGCACAGCGCGGCAGTGCGCTCGCCTGGTAGGGAATCTTCTTGTCGCAGATGAGATATCTCGGCGCTCCTCCCGGTGCGAACATTTGGGGGGTATCAAGACAAAGAAAAGAGTCGTCCAGCGTGTACATCTGTCGGATCCCGTGCGACCCCGCCGACGAGGTTTCCCGCGGAGAGTCGCATCCAGAGGCCAATTTCCGCACTTGGCCGCGGCACCAGAAGGGCCCAGCGCCAGTCGGGCGGCCGTGCGACCGTGCGTCCGTTCCAGGCCCAGCGTTTATTTCATGGCTGCGGCAGCGTCCGCGAATGTTCCGACAAGGGGGCCGCCGCCATTGTCGTCCTCGAGAGTCTTGATGCTCGCAGGCCGATTGCTCTGCAGCTCGACCGTGTCGTCCTCCGCCAACCAGTCGACCTTTATGCCAGACATGTCGCCATCCTCGTCAGCATTGAGCTTGGAGACCAAGTGCTGGTATCGCGCCACACGGGCCCCTTGACCGGCGTATGCAAACGGCGTCGAGCTGGCGCCTCGAGTTGAGGAAGTCTGAGGTGCAATCTCGAAGACGTCGACCATGTTACTGGGCTTCGTTAGTCCCGCGCAAAATGCCGACATGACCTGAAGGGTTCACCAACTTGGACGTCTTTGCAACCACTCTCTGAAGGGCTTCGTTCTCCCGCTGCGCCTCTATCGTCTCGTCGCCGCCTAACGCGGGGTCGCCGAAGCTGCCATACTGCATGCCGTTGCCATCCTCGTACAGCAGCCTGCCCTCTTCGTTCTGCCGCGAACCGTCAGCGCACGCCGGCCCGACGCATATTGGCAGAGTAAACAGCCGCGCCTTCGACTCACCTCGTCGTAGTCATCTTTGTCGCGCCTTCCGAGGCAGGACTGACAGATGCCCATCCCGGATTGGTGGCGGCGCCGCGGCGCCGGCAACTGAGTCGAGGAGCTTCGCCCGGCGTGTGGTATCAGAGCGCCTGTACCATGCTCGTACGGTCCAGCGGTGCCGACGCGTGTCTGAGCCGCTGATAAGAGATGTCGTCGCCAGGTGCGCTGATGGTGGTTGGCGTTCGGAGCTCGCGACTTGGTGGTGCGGGAGCCGGTGGGTCGAAATTGGCTTCGAGAGACGGGCCGGATAAACCGCGGACCGCACACGCCAACCGTTACGGCAGGCGCGACCGAGCACTTGCCTTCGCAATCGCGTCTACGCCGCAGAGGACGTTTAACAGCCGGCCGATTCGATTTGAACACTGGTATTGCCACCAGACCTCTTCCTACATCCCGCTACTTTCCCGGACATGAGATGCCGGGACTCGATGCTGTTGGATCCCTTGACCAATATCGAATGAACACTTGTTCCAGATGATGGATCCGCCCGCTGCCGACTCGGGTCCCTGACTCCCTTTAATGCCCCTTGGCCGGCCCAGCCCCGTCCATCCCTGGCTCTGCCCTTGAGAGCTTTGAATCAAAACCCACGATGCTGCATTAAATGGTCATGTTCTGGGCAGTTCTAAAGACGGATGCTCCTCGGAAAGGTAGTCACTGGCGTTAGCTGTCCCCCTTCGCGCCTACGACAGGGGGATGCCGACTCCTCGATATTGTTTCCATACTTATGTCGCCCAGCTCGAGTCTTCGGCGACCCTTCGCGCGTGTCCTTGTAGAAATCATCGTTAAAAGGGCCCTATTAGTCCATGCCTGGCGATCTTTGACTTGCCAGGTTCAACACACTCGCTCACGCCTCCACGACATCTTCCAGTCCCCAGTGGCCAGTTCCATGTCCTAGAGCGCCTAGTCACTCATTACCAAGGAATCGCATCCCCCCTCACTCTTTCCCATACCATCACCATGAACGGTCGCCTCATACTCGCCATGCTGGCCGTGGCGCCCATGTCCGAGGCTCGCTTCGGTCGCTTGGCGCGAGCTGACCCCGAGTGCTGCCCGTGCCCGCCGCCGTTGGGGTCGCCACGCACGACTATCACATTCACAGTGACACAGCAGGCCACCCAGCTGCCAACTGTCACCGTGTACAATACCGTTACCGTCACTCCTGCGGCTGCAGCTCCCCAAACAGTCACTGTCAACGGGAGCGCAACTGTCACGCAGCTGGCGCCAGAGACGCACACCGTTACCGTAAAGGAGTCCGTCATGGCATCATGCTCACTGGTGTATTTGACGCAACAAACCACAATTACTCCCACAAGTCCCGTTACCACGGTCATTGTTCAACCCCAGCCTCCCCCGCCACAAGGACCCCAGCCCGTCGTCACCAAGGTCGCCCCGGCGCCAGAGGCACAACAGCAGGCACCGGTGTCCATACCAAGCCCGCCTGCGCCAGCCGGGCCGCCAGCTGCGAACGTCACACCTCAAGCAGCGCCTCAGCCCGCACCCACGGCACCCGCAGCTGCCTGTCCCCCTCTCACCACTTCCACAACCGTTGCCACCGTCTACAACACCATCACTCTCACCGTCGAGAATACTAGCACGGCCAACATGACGTCAGGGCCTAGCGCACAGCCAACAGTGTTTATCAAGCCTACCAACTTTGCACGGGGTCGCAGTCCGCGCGCCCCGACTGCAGGAATTGCCTAGGTGAACAGAACGGGGGGCCCGTTGAGGCTGCAGCTCACGACGTTACTTCGTACAAAGCGGCCGGTTTGTCACTTGCACTTTCATGTACAGAATCGAAGCTGTTATCTAGTCCTTCCACGATACGTAATTTAATAATGAAGCGCAAGCGTGCCGTCAACATTGAATGGGTGGTGAGGTTTTGAGTGCAGAAGCTGTGCGTTGATGCAGCGCCGGGTAACCCATTTCTCTTGCCTCGATACGACGTCGGGGTTCCATTCAAGTCCAGAGACTGACCGCACACATGCGTGGCCCCAACGTTTCATGTTCACACAACTATTTCTGCAGTGGATGGAACTTTTGCTATTTCCTTGCCTGTACCCTCTGAACGCGGTTTTAGAGATATCCCTAGGCGAAACAGCGTCCTTGGGTGCGATACATGTGCTCCGTACACATCACTTCAAGAAAGGTGATGGGAGGCATAGCACACCTTTCGAGCTACCCGAGAGCCCAAAACTTCGGAGGCATGGCGGGAATCATCAATGCCCTTGCGTGTCTGTGAGACAACCCTCAGGGCCATGCTGTGGTACTCCAAAATTACTATTGGTTCAATTCTGAAAGTGCATGATCAGCCATCAGCCGTGGCGATCACGCGGTGGCGCCGTGTTCAATCAGAGTACTGCGAGGCACTCGGGTAAACGGCATCAGGGGGTGCCTAACGGTGGCGATTCACGAAGTCCGTATCACCGAGCGGACTGTATGTGCTTGCATTACTTCGCTCTCGAGCAGAAACTTTGGAATCAGCATACATGTAATGACTACTGTCATTACTTCGCTTGCTTTTTGCCCGGAGTCCTACTGTGTTTCTGTGGGATACATTCGCCAGCAGGCGCGAATGTGAGCATCATCACAGCTACGATTGGCCTTTCAGGGGCTCGTTCGCACTGGATATCCGGGAATGTCATCGCCATTGGGCGACGGGTTTGCACCCCTTAATTATTCGCCGTCATTTCCCAGCCTGGCACTCCGTCTTGCGAGCTGATGTTGAAGTGTGCGACGTGTTCAATGATCATTCAGGGGTAACGGCATTCACCCTCTGGCCCTCGCCGTTCGACACGCGTCTGCAGCTCCACAGGCCTGGCCATATCGAGGCGGTGATTCAAGTCAGGTGCCTACATCCTTTTTGGCATTCGCCCCCAGTCTCGATGTGATTTGTAGAAGCGGTAAATGGTCAACTTTCGGCTGCTGTTCTCGGCAAATCTTGTGAGCGTCCATATTCTGTAGCAGCTGGACAATGATGAGACACCTAGGACTCTGCCAACAGGTTTCCGCTTGCTTCCAGACCGGAAGAGGGATTTCTCCTCGCTGGGCGGGCTGCAGAAGAACGGGAAACGGCTGATTCATCACGCGAGGATGCGGTCAAAACCGGGATCGATTCGCCACGCGACCGCACGATACCTTGCAACAGCTACGTGACCCACGAGGGCACGCAAGGCCTTACCTTGATTTTTTTCGGTCCAGACTGATGCATTTGAAGGCTGACTAGATCGCCTCTGTCGCGTCGATGGTCTGCCTGCCGGTCTTTGCGGTTGTGATCGAGATTGAACGGCAGGCCATTTGTCTCAGCCAAGGCGTGGTGATGAAGCTTCCACATCATCATGGCGTTTTGACATCGGAGCAGTTTGCAGATCCGGCATGTCTTGCGTCTAGAGTTGCATGTCTCACATTCGAGGGCGCCGAACTCCTTCACCGCCGCCAATCTGATACAGTGCAGTCAATGAAACAGCAATTCGAGGGCCGCTCCAACGCAGAGGACGTCTAAAAGGACGCCGTGTTCGAGTCAGACCATGGGTTTCTCGTGGATGTGAAGAAGCGCCCCCCAGGATGGAGAGGATGGCAGCGCCGAGACTCGCCGAGGACTGTCAGTGCAGAAGCCTTCAATTCCATTGCTGGAGCTTGGAATCCGGACTGAGGATCCACCCTCCATGAACGGGGTACGAGGTACCTCGTGCACACGTGAAGTTTTCGTGCCGCTGATGGTGGGCGGGCGCCCGCTGCGAGGTGGTGGCGGCTGGACGGGCCGACGAAGCGGGCAGGGCAGAGACGGCGTTCTGACTCCTGATGCGGGGGAAGGCGCCGCTCGGGGGAGCCTGGGGAGTCGGGGGACTGGGGGGCTCCAGCAAATAGACTCGAGGGCCCTTCCTTGTTCTTACCTCCATGTTAGTCTCGCTTAGGGGATGCTACCATAATGCAGTATCAGGTCAGAGTCATGCAATTGGCGGCGGGTTAGCAGTGGTGGGCAGATCCGCAGGCAGGAACGCCCGAGGTTGGAGCGTGCCTGCCTCGTCTTGAGTCTCTTGCCTGTTTGGTTCGTGGTCCCCAGGTTGAGTCTGCGCCGCGGGCAGGCGCAGGCGCGGGTGGCACGAGGACGTTCCTTCCGTCTGGTGGAAGCAGCAGCTGAATGGATGCATCCCGTCCATCCATCAGCGCTGGCGACGCCTCGACATCGGCACCATCTCGGAGCCTCCCTCGACGACGAGACGCCACGACGGTCCTCGCATTGACTCGACGGCCCTGACATCCGGCTGGTGTCTTGCGTCTCGCGTGTTGTGCCGTCACAGCACGCCGCGCTGAATGCACTGCATACGGCCAGACGACCGGACATGCGCCAGCTGCAACAAGCCACAACGGCCATGTCGTGCCATCAAACGCGCCTCAGCTGGAGGCGCGCAGGTCGCCAGCCAGGCGCTGCCACGCTTTCATCCGCCCACATGGGCGGCAAGCGGTTAATATCACGCCCGGCCGACTATCGACGGCTGCGAAGACCCCCTCTCCGGCTCCTCTCGCCGCCCGCAATACAATGTTAGCAGCAGTGGCTAAAGTGCCGACGAGTCGCGCGCCGTTTGCCTGGCTGCCCGTTCTGGACAGCGCAGGAGGCCATTTCCCCTGGTGATTGGAGATGGGTGGCTAAAATGTCCAGGACACCGGCAGGGCACGTCTCGTCGCGCTTGCATTCTGCCTAATCTGACGCCGCCTCTCCCACTGCCGGCATCACGGGCTGGGGCGTCGTCGCTCGGCCGCACTGGGACAGACGGCCAGAAGTTCATGGCACCAACACGACGTGAATGCGACTCGTCGAGCCGACGAGATGCTGTGCGAGCAGATGGGCTGCGGCAGCGTCGCAGGGTGCCGAGTCCCTCGCGGAGATGCTCAGGCCATGGATAATCCCCGCGATCGCACTACGTTCGACGCAGACCCGTTTGAAGCTCGAGGTTTCCACATGCGACCCGCCCTCGCCACCGGAACTACCACGTCCAACATTCAGACTGGCAGAACAAGAATCTTGCAAGTCACGAGGCCGCGCTGCGAATGGAGAATTGCACGTAGAGTTGAGTCCTCGAAGCCACCCCCATGGGGACCCTGCCGGCCTTGATTACCCCAACTTTCACCACTCGTGTCAGCGACCCCCAGATTCTCCCTGCTTTTAGCGCCCTCTCCTCGACCCTCCTCCCCCTGTCCTGCCCTGTCCTAGCCCCGGCCAAGACTGCTCCAAATTCCCTCTTTTCCCGCTTTGCTCGCTCGCCGGCTAATATGCCTTTCTCTGCAAAGGCACATGGTCTTTACGGGCGTGCAAATGGGCAGATGGCTCGCGCGAGGGCATGGGCCGTCTGTGCGCCCGCAACCGAGCAGCATATGACAGTCGGCCTCTGGTGAGGCGGCCGAGGCGAAACTGCCAGCAAGATGGGCAAACGCGACCCGGCTGGCTCTTCAGTTGGCCTCGCTTGGAACCGGCCCGCCAACCGCATCCACGGCTGACGGCCAGAGCTAAAATAGCAGGGCTGCGCGACGGCTGCGTGACCCTGAATGCACGTTGAGGATTGGGCCCCCCGGCAGGGACTCTGAAGCCGCGAGCTGCCGTGGGTTCCCTTCCCGCCTTTCCGGCCTGTCGACCCTCCTGCTTGGAGTCTAGGCCGGTCTCGTCAACCCCGTGGTCAGCTCCTCGATCGAGCCTCTTGTGCTTCCTTTCCGTCTCTCCGAAAGCCACAGCCGCTAGCTTCTTGGTGGCCGGCGATGGGGTCTCCTCTCGACTTTATCCTGTCCGGGGGTGAGACAAGCATCAATCCCAATTGGTGGCATTCCCTGTCTCAATACGTCGACTCTCTTGACAGCTTGACTATGGCCGTCAACACTATCCTTTGCCCGATGCATATAAGACATCGTGCGTCTCCGCCGTCCGACGATCTCTTGAACTGACAGGCCGTCCCATCCCCACCGCTCAGTTCACTCAGAGCCGGTCCCCGCCGTTTCTCCAAGGGAACTCGTTGATCCCTCCGCCTTGCCAAGTCATTTGAGAGCGCTATCAATTAGTTGAGACGAGCAGCAGCCAGTCACCATGGTCAACCTCAAGCCTGGCGGTGTCAAGCACCTCGTGCAGTCCAATGTCGAGGAGAACATCGATATTGCGCGCGCCGAGGCGCCCAAGTTCGAGCGCGTCACCTGGTACAAGGAGCCGCATCTGCGCAAGCTCTACTTCCTTAGCATCTTCCTGCTCATCGGATCCGCCACCACCGGTTTCGATGGCATGCTGCAGAACACGTCGCAGCAGATGGATTACTGGAAGAAGTACTTCCCCGAGTACGCCGACGCCAACAAGCTCGGCATCCTCATCAACATGTACAATATTGGCTCCATCATCTCGTACCTGTTTTCGCCGTACATGGCCGATATTCTGGGACGCAAGCCGACCATCATGGCCGGCTGCATCATCATGATTGCCGGTTCCTGCATCACTGCCTTTGCCAAGAACTACGGAAGTGAGTCGGCTCGCGCGTGTGAATGCTGCTCCGCTAAGCTAAAGTTGCGCAGTGTACATTGGTGGGCGTTTTGTCCTCGGCTTTGGCAACTCCCTTTCGCAAATCTGCTCCCCTATGCTTCTGACCGAGATCTGCCACCCGCAACACCGTGGTCCTCTGACGACTGTGTATAACTGCCTCTGGAACCTTGGCTCACTGCGTAAGTCATGAACCTCTTCACATCAATGCTCACAATTCTGACAGCTTCTAGTCGTGTCCGTCATTGGTTGGGGTACCGCCTCCATCCCCAGCGACTGGTCGTGGCGCTCCATCACCTTCCTCCAGGCCGGCCCGTCACTCATCCAGCTGGCTGGCATCTGGTGGGTGCCCGAGTCCCCTCGCTTCCTTGTGCACAAGGACCGATCCGACGAGGCCCTTGCCATGCTTGTCAAGCACCACGGAGGCGGCGACCCGAACAACGCGACCGTGCTGTTCGAGTACCGCGAGATCAAGCAGACCATCGAGACGGACCGCAACAACAAGACGGCGACCAGCTATCTCGACTTCTTCAAGACCAAGGGCAACAGGTGGAGGCTCGCGATCGTCATTTCGCTCGGTATCATCTCGCAGTACTCTGGCAACGCCCTGTTCTCCAACTACATCGACATCATTTATGAGGGTGCGGGTATCAAGGAGCAGAACAAGAAACTGGCTGTAAGTTCACCTCGAGGCCAAGAAGCCTGTCTGGCGCTGACATGACATAGTTGACTGCCGGCAAAACCATCATGGACCTTCTCATTTCCTGCGGAGCTGCTCTGCTTGTCGACAAGGTCGGCCGCCGACCGCTTTTCATGACGGCCATTTCCGGCATGGTGGTCGCTTTCGTCTGCTGGACCATTACTGGCGCGGTGTACGAAAAGTCCGGCCACACGATCGCCGACGGCACGACGGTCTACACCAACCAGGGATCCGGATATGCCCAGATTGCGTTTGTCTGGCTCTTTGGCGTCTTCTACGACATTGGTTTCTCGGGCCTGCTGGTTGCATACGCGCTCGAGATTCTCCCCTTCCACATGCGTGCTAAGGGTATGTCGAGCCTGCAGTCAAAGAGCTTCTTGTCAAGATGTGTGTACTGACTCCAACCCGCAGGTCTTGTCATCCTCAACATCACGGTCCAGGCCGTGCTCGCCGTTGGAAAGTCAGTTGCTCAAGGTCCCTGCCTGTATAATGCTCGACCTGCTAACGCCGCCGCAGCCAAACCAACAAGCTCGCGTGGGAGAACCTGCCCAACCACTGGAACTTTATGCTGTTCTACACGCTCTGGGATTTCTGCGAGCTCATCTTCGTGTACTTCTTCTACATCGAGACCAAGGGCCCGACCTTGGAGGAGATTGCGCGCATCTTCGACGGCGACGAGGCAGTGCCGCACATCAACCTCGAGCAGGTGGAGAAGGAGGCACACCTCACGGCCCTCCACGAGGAGGAGGTCACGGAGAAGAAGGCTTGATCTGCAGGCCCGATTTGCTATGCGTTTTAATCAGCGGACCAAGAAGTCGACGGTCAAGGACGGTGCCACGGCGGCTCCACAACGATGGGTCGCTGCACACCTGGACGGGGAGCAAGCGGGTATTCGATAATGGATCATTCTGGTCAAACGACCTTTACTGGGAACGCGCGTCGAAGGATGAAGGTGAAGATGATGGGCAAACGTAATGGCAGCGGCGGTCTGAAGTCGAGCTGCCTTGTTGAGACGCCCGACAGCGCGTCTATTCCTCCCGGCGGCATGTAACGTATACGTCGGCTCGCGACGAGGCTGCGACAGCTTCGTTCTGTAATAGCGCCCCAATGAGGCGTCCACCCACAGCTGTGGATCCTCCCTCGCCGTATCCCCGACGCTTAGAAATGGAGGCGCGACGTTACCTTAGTTCTAGGGTGAGCCTCTCCGGGCGAGGCAAAGCTTCGTCTAGGCCCCAGTAAAAGCACATCTCTCCGCTTGAGACGTCGGTTCAAAAGCCTCACTCATCCATCCATTCAATCTTGCGCATCTCATACATCTCATACACGCTCGCCGCTCACTTCACCTCGGCACACACCACGACGAGAAATATATCAGACAGCGTAACGAAAGGAAAAGATGCCTCAGGGAGTCTGGCAGCGCAAGTTCCCCGACGGGTATGGCGTCGAGGCTGTGCTTGCGGCCACGAGGGATGCGGCCAACAAGGGAGGGGAGGGGCCGGTGCCGATTGAGCGGCCGCCTACTGAGGTGAGTGATGCGTGAGCCGACGCGATCGTTTTACCCTCCTTGTATCCGGAGCCAAGGGCCGTGCGGGCTGCCGAACCAACGCCCAGCCGTGGCAGTCGTGGTCACCCGGAGGGCCCGGACCGTGCGGCGCCAGCCGGCGAGGCCCCCGGTCCGGACGCCCGGTTCCGCGATTACGGAGGACAGGCCCCGAACTCCTGTCTTCCTCCGCGATCCGCTTGCTTCCAGCATGCGGGCCATATGGCCTGACCTCCCGCGCGACCTTTTATTATTCAATGTTCCATGCACTTTCATGACCAGCGGCTGACCCGAGGGGGGGGAAACCCCCCGCACAGCTCAACGAACTCATCGCCGCAGACGCCGGCGGCGAGGGCTTCACCCTCACCTCCTTCACCGCCTCCGACGCCTGGGAGCTCGGCCACCTCCTGCACGCGCGCCTCCTCCCCTTCGCCACGCAGTGCACGCCATCCCGGCCCGCCCTCATCTCCATCAGCCTGGCCTCCAACCCGTCCACGCCACTCTACCAATCCGCCACGGGCGCCGGCATCACGGCGGACAACGGTACGTGGGTGTCGCGGAAGCGCGCGGCGGTGCTGCGCTTCGGCGTGAGCAGCTGGTATCTGGGGCGCAAGTTTGGCGGCGACGAGGCGGCGTTTGCGGCCAAGTTCGCCATGGGGCCGGAGAGCGCGGGCGGGTATGCGATTCATGGCGGCGGGGTGCCGCTGCGGGTGAGGGGCGTGGAGGGCGTGGTGGCGGTGGTGGTTGTGAGTGGGCTGAAGGACTTTGAGGATCATGGGGTTGTGGCGGAGGTTATTCGGAGGCATTGGGAGGTGGTGGTGCAGTAGATGGACTGGCTAAATTGGGTCTCAAAGTACGTGGACGAGAAGCAGGGCATCCAGGCCAGGCTAGGATCTGGTCTTGTCCTGGATGGCTGGTGATGCTGCCTGCGGAGGAGGCGCATGGTATCTAGGGCTTGTCTGTGGGCTAGGCAGTCTCGACCAAGCCAGTGATTGCAGTTAAGTGCCATGATTGTGCGTGAGTGAGTGATGATGCCCGTTTGACCACATCGGTGTAGATGTTATAGGCGTCACAGAATGACAAGGCGATGCAAACGCGGATTCTCAAATGACTCCCGTATGGCACGCGTTTGCTGTCACACCTGGATGCCGTGTCAAGATCCGTCTAGCACGGCACACTGTCCGTGAAATGCGGACCATGGGATCGGGTAAAGTCGCGGAGACATGAGAAAACAGATATCAGACACACAGCATCGTGCCGCGTCCTTGTTCTCTACCTAGGGTCTAGCTACATCCATTCCTCGCACCCGTGAGTGCACAAACCATCCCTGCAAAAGGGGTTACAGCCGACGTCCTCAGCCTTGGTAATTACCTTCGCACTCATATTCTTGTGCTTTCCCATCCAGCTCCAGACACCAACGCCCATCCATCCACATGATCAGTGCAAACCCCGGTATCATACATCAAACGGACCGATCAGGCTTCGCCCTCGTGCGCGTCGGCGTCGACGTCGTGAGACATGGACATGGGCTGCGTGCTCTCCTCCAACTCCATCACGTCCGCGGCCTGGTCGCCGCGGGCGCCCGACTCCAGCAGCTCGATGCTCGCGAGGGCCTTGGCAAACTTCTCTCTCTCGCTCTTTAGCGTCTCGCGCGCGTTCGCAGTCTCCTCGTTCTCCTCCATCAGCCTCTCATAGACGCTCTGCGAACACGGGCCGCGCAGGCCCAGCTTGTCCTCGAGGTAAGAGGGCAGCTTGCGCCGGATCTCCGGGATCATGCGGCAGAGGACGCGCTGGGACACCGCGTCCGCGAAGCGCAAGGCCGCCAGTCGATAGTACCCCCTAACGTACGCAACGACCTCGATCTCCCTGGCGAACTGGTCGGGCCCGAGCTTGATCAGCTCATCCTCGCGCTTCTTGGTGTCCTGGCGCCGCTTTTCCTCCGTCATATCCGCCCACTCCTGCAGCGGGTGCGTCTTGCCCCCGTATGCCTCCATTCGCATCTTGTGGCGGAATCGCGTTAGGGAAATCTGCTCATCCTCTCGATACTGTCTGAAGGCGTCCTCGTTGAACGTCATGAGGCGCTCGCACTCGTCGGCATATAGCTGGAGCAGCTCGTGCTTTGTCTTGGCGCTGTTTTCCGCCAGGCAGGCGTGCACAGCATCCTTTGCCTCTGGGAAGATCGTTCTCTTCTTGAGGCCATCCAGGGCTTGACCGAGGGTCTTGTCGAGTTTCGACTGGAGGTCTTTCATGGTCTCATCGAGGAAGAGTCGAGTCGGTCCGTGCCAGGGCTTAATGGCTTCTCTCACGAGATCATCATAGACCTGATCCGAGATGAGCCCGGGCATGCCTGCCTTGGTTTTCTCGTGGATCTCCTCCCGGACCCCGCGAATGGTGCGAAACCCGCGACCGATCTTGTCAAATTTATTGAATGGCTCGGCAATGACAGCGCGTCTTGCGGGTGCTCCTTGACCGCCAGATGGAGTTCCCGATTGTTGTTGGGGCATGGCCTCCTCGGGCTTGACGCTGCCATTGGTGAAGCTACCGTTCATCATCGCAGCGTCTGCTCGCCTTTTGGCGGGGGTGACTATCTGTGTCGGCGCCGACCGCTTCGAAGGAGTCCGCTGGGCCACCGACGTGTTGTCGGATTCGTCGTCGGAAATCTCCAGCACAGGAATGTCCGACCGATCTTTGAGGATAAACTTGGGCTTTATCTCAAGCAGGCAGTTGCGGAAGTTGGACGGCAAGGGGCCAAAGTGGCGGACAAACTCGTCCAGCTTGGAGCGCGCACTGTCGCCAAAGCTCAGCAGCGCGGTTTGAACCTCGAGCTCGACGTTTTGCGGCAGTTCCGGGAGCCTGGCAAGCCCATTCTCAATGCCTCTCAGATGCTTCTTGACCTTGGACTTGATGTTTGGCAAGCTGCAAAAGGTCAGCAACGCTTGTCAATGTTGGGCAGGTTTTGGGGTGCATACCTCTTTGCAAATTCCTCGCCGAGTCGCTCCGACAGAAACGCCTTCAGCTTCTCGACGCCGCAACGGTCAGAAAACTCCTTGAACGTCTCTGGCCATCGATCAAACGATTGATCCTGAAAGATGCGCTCTTCCCACTTCTTGAGGTCCTCCAAATTCTTGCCCTGGGGCCGAGAGGTGATGAAGTATCCCAGCCCAGTGTGGTGCGTCTGGCCCTTCATAATCTCCAACCACTGGTTATGGCCGGTGTCTGAGAGGAGATCCGCCTTGGTAAGGACGCCAATGGTACGAGACGTGGCTCCGAGACGCCGGATTAGCCCAAAGGTAGACGAGTTCTCGGCATCCGTATTCATGGGCATGGAGCAGAGAATAATGGCGGACGGATGTGAGATGTAGGCACGCGAGAGGTTGCGGACGACGTTGACCAGGTAGTCGTCCCGGGCGTCAGCCGGATTCTGAAAGATTCCAGGCATGTCGTAAAACGAGAGGTCAGGCAGGTCGGGCCCCTTGATCTCAAGAGCGACGACGTTGGGCGAGAACTTGGCCGTCGTCTCCTCGGCCGCCCTGTCGATGGACATGTTTACCGCAACGCCGCCCGAGCCCGGAATGAACAGACCATGGGGCCTTCCGTCGTTGAGTATCGCAATCTGCGCCCAACGCAAAACATCCTCAATGTCATTCTTGTCGTGCATGGTCTTGAACTCCAGTATGGACGTGGTCGGCATCTTGATCCATGGGAAGAACGGATCCTCATCGGTCACGTCTGTCTCGTTGATACAGCCATCCTCGGGAGGCTGGTAGGTGTACTCCTTGCGCAGCCAGACTCGGCATGACCAGTCGCTATTGCGAGAAACACGGATGTGCAAAGGGCAGCGCGTGCACGTTCCCTCGCTCCGAGGTAGGTCTAAATTGGCAAGACCGGACATGAGGCTGGATTTGCCGGTCGACTGATCGCCGACAAGAACGAGTTCGGGGAGCTGGACGTCGTGAGAGACGCCCAGCTGCTGAAGCTCTCCCAGAGTGTCATTGCACTCTTTCAGCTTCTTGCCGATGTCTTGAAAGGAGTCATGGAAGAAGCTCTCGTCGACATTCGCGGTGGGACTGATCGGCACCATGCGGTTCACCGACCTGATCTGCTGCAAGACTGGCTCAGTCGTCTCCGTCACCGGCTCACTAGGCGGCGCTGTCAAATGGTCAGCAATGTTCCCGATACGCCAGACTGGCCGCTTCGTTCTACTTACGTGCGTCGGAGCGACCAAGGCGACCCGTCGATGGGCGGGGAAAGGCCTGGGTGGAAGTTTCGTCGTCCATATCCTCATCCGAGTCGTGTGTGCCATTTCGTGCCGTCTCGGTGATCATTTCGGTTCTCAAAGTCGGGCTTGGGCCCTCTGGGTCAGGCTTAATGGGCCGGGCAAGCCGACGAGAATCTCGTTTCTTTCCCGAAGAAGGTCGAGACATTTCGGTTCATCAGGAGCCAGAAACTTGGGCAACCCGCCGAGTGGATGATCAGAAAGCGGCGACAGTCCAGGCGTGTGGCCTTGGTATATGAGATGCCTTGCAGCTTGGCTTCTGTCAGGCCGACGCCTACGTTGGCGACGACTCAGACTAGCCGGATGAGAGGGTGCAAGAGACAAAACGGGGGGGTATCCGATGACGCTCTCGAGCTGGAAAAAGGATCAAGGAAAGAAATAGTACAGGTGCGGACAAGATGAAGAGAGGCGAGGGGAGGGTTGTAGTCGAAAGAAGAAAGCCAGGAGGTGAACAGTGGAGGGTGAGGTGAAGTGTAGGCTGGCCACCAGTTGGCCGGCTGGATAATTTGGGGGCCCTGAGCCTCTGAGGCAACACGGCAGCTGGATAAGAATTGGTAGAGATGAGCGCAGCTGCGAGCTGGGCCACAGCGCAACAGGCGTTTTTGCCAGGCAGTTCCTTGGGAAATGCAAGCCCGAGTCTTCTTAGGGACGTTGCCGACTTTGAAAAGTGAGAATTACTGGGCGATGTCCTGGTTTCGAGGCGATGAAGTCGTGGCTCCTTAACGGCGATTAATGGTGCCTGGAGTTGAGTGAGTGCATCGCTGCAGGCCTTGGCAGGGGTCGAAAATGGGTGGCTGGGGGTTCCGTGGCAGCCTGTGGGAATGGCAGCTGGAGCCAACTGCCGGGCACCCTGCGGTGCGCTGTCGGGGAACTGCAGCCAATGGGCCGGCATCATTGAATGGATGCTGCAGCGACCTCTGGCGGACTGACAGGCTCTCATTGACTGCACGGGCATGGGACAGGGCGGGATGGGAGGAAACAATGGAACAGCATGGCAACGCAAAGGTTCGGAGCTGTCACTGGCGTCCCTGCTTGCCGTCGGCCTCCATCGCGAGCAAGACCTGCATGTCCCTCGTGGCAGTGTCTTTCTTCATCCATTAATCCGCGCCAGTCCGCATCAACAGTACCTGCACAATGCGCATCAAGGCGCTTCAAAGGGCCCCGTGTTAGTGGTGACTAGGTCTGCCCCACGGTGATCTCTCGGTGAGCCAGGAGGCCCAGCACAGCACAGGCTGTCCAGCGGCTCCTAGCGCGTGGCGGCTGCGGCCCGAGACTCGCTTAATCGCATAACGAGCCCACTCTCTGCTCCCCAGCGGCGGCGTTCCGGAACTCTAACCCCTGGCAACGCGCGCCAGGCCCAGGCAAGCCAGGCTCATCTCGAGCCCCGCGCCACAACTGCTAGCCTTGCATTACCTAAGGGAACATGACAGCTTGGCCCCACGACGACCGTCACGAAGAAAGGAGGGCACGACAGCTCCTGGTCCAGCAGCAGCACCACACAGAGCCACCTTGCTGAGCCCTTCCGAGGCAGCAGTTCGCCCTGTGACATATTTACACTTCATTGTCCTGCACCACCCGTTGCTGCACCATTCGCCCTCGCAGACGTCTCCGTCAAACCAGCGCGACCGCCCGCCAGCTACCCCTCCATCGTCACCGCCATGTCCCTCCAGGTGCCCATGGCACACCGCTCCAAGGAGCAGGGCGCGACCAAGGCCGTCATCTTGGTGAGCTCCCGTCTGCTGCATGATCTGTGCTCCAATGCCTTGGCGCTTCACTCGATGCGTCGAGCGAGTTCAAGGCGACGTCCCACTACCCCTTTGCCGCTTGGCGGGGTGGTGACATCGTCAACATCGCGAGAGCACGACTGCTAACAACCGTCTGTCGCAGGTCGGCGGCCCTTCGCGCGGCACGCGCTTCCGCCCCCTCTCGCTCGACGTCCCCAAGCCGCTGTTCGAGGTGGCCGGCCACCCCATCATCTGGCACTGCCTGTCGTCCGTCGCCCGCGTCCCCGTCATTCAGGAGGTGTACATCATCGGCTACTACGACGAGTCCGTCTTCCGCGACTTCATCAAGGACTCGGCCAAGGAGTTCCCCTCCATCACCATCCGCTACCTGCGAGAGTATCAGGCCCTCGGCACCGCCGGCGGCCTGTACCACTTCCGCGACGCCATCCTCAAGGGCCGGCCCGACCGCCTCTTCGTCCTCAACGCCGACGTCTGCTGCTCCTTCCCCCTCGCCGAGATGCTCAAGCTTTCCGTTGAGCGCGACGCCGAGGCCGTCATCCTCGGCACTCGCGTGAGCGACGACGCCGCCTCCAACTTTGGCTGCATCGTCTCCGATGCCCACACCCGCCGCGTCCTCCACTACGTCGAGAAGCCCGAGTCCCACATCAGCAACCTCATCAACTGCGGCGTCTACCTCTTCTCCACCGAGGCCATCTTCCCCTCCATTCGCTCCGCCATCAAGCGCCGCCTCGACCGCCCCGCCCGACTTCTCTCGTACCCGTCCTCGGACAACCTCGAGACGTACAACATGCCCGCCGCGGGCGCCGCTGATGACGATGACGAGGAGGAGCGCAAGAACGAGGTTATCCGCCTCGAGCAGGACATCCTCGGCGACATGGCCGACAGCAAGCAGTTCTACGTCTACGAGACCAAGGACTTTTGGCGCCAGATCAAGACGGCCGGGTCCGCTGTGCCCGCCAACGCGCTGTACCTGCAAAAGGCGTGGCAGTCGGAGAGCGACGAGCTGGCCAAGCCGAGCGCCAACATCGTGCCTCCCGTCTTCATCCATCCGACGGCGCAGGTGCACCCGACGGCCAAGCTAGGCCCCAACGTCAGCATCGGCCCGCGCGTGACCGTCGGCGCCGGCGCGCGCATCAAGGAGAGCATCGTGCTCGAGGACTCGGAGATCAAGCACGACGCGTGCGTGCTCTACTCCATCATCGGCTGGGGCAGCCGCGTCGGCGCCTGGGCCCGCGTCGAGGGCACGCCCACGCCCGTCAACAGCCACTCGACCAGCATCATCAAGAACGGCGTCAAGGTCCAGAGCATCACCATCCTCGGCAAGGACTGCGGCGTTGGCGACGAGGTCCGCGTCCAGAACTGCGTCTGCCTGCCCTACAAGGAGCTGAAGCGGGTGAGTTGCCTTGCCACCTCGAAAAGGAGTCTGGAAGCTAACGTGAGAACAACAGGACGTCGCCAACGAGGTCATCATGTAAGAGGCTTTGCCGTCGTGTCCTGGTCTCCTTGGCACATCACCTCAGTCCGTCGAGGTCGCAGCCTGATTTTACGAGGAGGGGGGGTGTTTGGAGATGTGGTTTCTGTTTCCGCCACGTACAGCCCGGTGTGGCAATTGGTCTGCCGAAGGAGGGCGAAGCTCAGCTGCCGAAGTCGACATGGCGGGTTACAAATCATGTCTTGGAAGATACTTTTAATGGGAAGCAAAAATACAAATCGGTTCCATATCTCTGTAAGCATGGCGCTGCTGCCACTGGGGTCCCGCTGGCGACCTTGCTGCTGCTGCGGTCGGTTCTTTCCGTGAGGCATATGCGCAAGGGAGAACTTCCACACAGACCGTGCCATTCACCATGTCCTGCCCCCATTGCCTCTACACAAGGGGAGCAAAAGGGTGGAGGGAACTTCACAGACGACGGAGAGTGCATAATTCAGCCGATCTAGCAGGCCGGCCCTCTTTCTCTTTCTCTTTTCTCTTGTCTCTCTTGTACTTTGTGAATTTGCCCACCCAGGTAAACGCGTAGGTAGGTTCTTTGATACCATACGCAACAAAACCTCGTCGTTTCTAAATTGACGCGTGTCACGGCCACCGCTCTCTCTTTCCTTCTCTTTGTAAAAATCAACGCCTTTTCCGCCCGTGTCCGTCCATTCTCCACCGTCCATCATTCTCACTTTCACCACGTGTCGAGCCTCGTCAGCCAAAGCCCTTCACACGGGCCCCTCCCTGCACTAAACACCAAAGCCACAAGTGTGAGAGGGGAAAAGACGGTGAAAACGAAGCCAGTGGTGGACAAAGGGAGAGGGGGAGGCAAATGGACGTTCTAAATTCTACTAGTGTTCTTTTCCTTTCTTCGTGCACGTTCCCGCATCCCGGCGTGTCAACGGCGGGAGAATCGATCCGCAAAAGCAAAGAGGCGCAAAAAAAGAAAACGGCGGAAGGGCGCCCAGATCCAGGTATTCCGATCGCAGCCCGAGACATCCAACGGAGATGAACCGGCGGGGCGATGAAATCGGTTGTGCCGTCTCCAGCTCGTCCGTTCGTGAGCGACTCGCGCGCGCGCGGTCTCTCTCTCTCGAGATCTCTCTCTCTTTAGTAGGCTCATCAAGAGTCGCGGTGGAGGTGCGTCCTGCTCTTTTGGCGCGGCAGCATAGGACTGCTGGGCCTACTCGACGTGACGCCCAGGCCCTTTGCGTCAAAGGGGTCGAGGTTGAGGCGCGGGGCGTCGGTGGTGCGCGGGGTGGAGGCGGGCGTGATGAGCTTCTCGATGGCGGGCTTCTCGAAGCTGGCGATGCGCATGGGCGGGGGGCGGTGCAGGCTGCGCTCGGGTACACTGTAGAGGTACGTCGCGGCGAGGACGAGCGCCGTGCCGATGAGGAACTGTCCATTGCGTCAGTTGATGGTGTGTGCGCGTGCCGGCCACTCGCAGTTGCCAAGTCTTGAATGAAAACGTGCTGGGCGGCGGGAAGGGCAAAGCAGGACAAAGGGGGACGGTGTTGAGAACGTACCGGCACGGTGACTGTAAACTTGAACGCCCAGACGCTCACAACGAAGCTTATGACGATGCTGATGCTCGTGGCAAAGTTCTTGACAATGTTGTCGGCGTCGCGGATGACGAGGCTGGCAATGAGGCCGCCCGCGGCCTGCAGCACGACGGCGGCCCAGACGACGGCGTTGTAGCCCTCGAAGAAGCCGTGCTCGCGGATGCCCGCGCCGTCCTGCCACACGATGCCGCCGAAGAAGGCGGCGATGAGCGAGTAGAAGCTGAGCTGGACGTTGCGCACCCAGACGCTGGCCTGCGTGGGGCTCTCCTTGAGCAGCTTCTCGAAGTAGACGCCCGCGAGGCCGGAGACGACGGCGGCGACGACGGCGGCGGTGACGCCGACCGAGTAGTTCATGAGCGGGTCCGGGGGCGGCAGGTCGTTGGCGATGCCCTCGTACGTGGCGGAGCGGCGCGTCAGGTGCGAGTCCGGGCTGGACATGTCCGGGGCCGCGGCCATGCCGAGCTCGTGCTTGGAGCGCGGGAAGTAGTGGTCGGGGATGCCGTGGAGGAGGAGCGCGTCGACGGCCGTGCCGGACGAGGGGAGCGAGACGACGGAGACGCCCAGCGTCAGGATGATGAGCGAGACCCAGCTCTTGAGGCCGAGCTGGCGCCGCAGGAGGAAGACGCTAAAGATGGCAGTCGTGAGGATCTGTCAGGCGCGCAAAACGCATTCCGTCAGCGCGCACAGCACAAAGGACACCAATCAATCCCTCGCGTAGACTCAACGCACCTTGATCTGGTACAGGACCTGAAAGTGCACGGGGTCCAGGTTCTCCACCGCGACGTACTGCAGCAGGTTCTGCAGGGTGTAAAAGGCGGCCGGCATGGCGAGCTGCCAGCCGTCGGCCGAGAAGACGGCATTGTATATCTGCTCGAAGAGGATGGTGGCGGGCGTGCTGGGCGCGAGCGTTTTGGAGGCCTCGTATATGGCGAGGGTGAGGGCGACGCCGAGCTTGATGACCTCGTTGAGGAAGACGGCCGTCGAGGTGAAGTAGCGGTGGTCGCCGGACGGCGGCATGACGCGCGAGTAGTGCATGATCTGGACGGTCAGCTGCCACCTTTTACATGTCCATGAAGAGGGCGCCTTACCAGTATGAGCGCCGAGTTTTGAAATGTCAGCTGCACAGCGTGCTATTAGCCTTGGATGATCATTGCGCAGTGCGCACGCGACAGCGTGCAGACAGGAGCGACATGGCTGTTGGCAGCAAGCGTACCGTGATCAGAGATATGTTCCTCCCGAGGCTCTTGGCGCCGCCGCCTTTGCTGCCACCGCCCCGCGAGGCGGTGGTCTGGAGTATCGCCATGGTCGCGTTGTCGCCACGTTGCGATGTCACTGTGGAGGAGGAGGAGGAGGAAGCGAAGGTGGCGAGAGGGGGGCCCAGGCCGAGACGTTATGCGCCTGCGCCTCGTGCACACGCGACCCGTCCCAATCGACTCCGGGAGTCGGCCCTCGGCAATGCGCAGCTTTCCGGGGTGCAGAATCGTTCAAATGGTTCTATCGATGTGCGCAGGCGAAAATCGGGAGCAAAGTCGCGATGGTGTTGAACGTGTGTGTCGGTTGGGCGTTGGTGGTGGATGGAGTCCCTCCTCGCTCTCCCCTGAGGTCGACCGACTACCGCGCTCTCGCGCGCGCGCCGCCCCGTCCCTGGGGCGAAAAGGATGTGCAGCCGGGATCTGCAGGGGCAGCAGCGCCAGCAGCAGCAGCAGGTCGTCGGGTCAAGCAAGAACCGTTTCAATTCGACGGCTCCCTGTCCCGCGCGCAAGAAAAGCACTCGAGAAGCGCAGCGTCTCTGGTCGATGTCGCAAAGTCAAAGGTGATGGCGGCAAGGATAGAGAGGCAAACGTCGCACCGAAACGAGGACAGTAAGGTAACAGAAAGAGGACAGGAGGCCCAAATTGGAATGACGTTTTGAGCAGCACACAACCCCGAAAAAGCTGGGGGGGAGCCGGCGCGGAGGGACGGTGGTGGACGTGGTGCTACTACTGCAAGGGAGGGCGGCGGCGGCAGCTGAGGCGTGGGTGGGAAGGGTG